GCGGCAGATAATAAGAGGACAGCGATTGGCTGTTGGCCATGTCAGCAAATCAGCTTGCACTAATCTCTCATTGGCTTTGTTGAGTAAATACTTAGAGCCCTTCTAATAAGAATGTTGTTTATGAAAATTGGAAGCATGGCTAAGGGGGCAAAATTATATTACAAAAAGCTGCAAAACATTTTTTTTTTATTTAGCAAAATTAAAGAGATTTGAATGTAGAGAAAACATTAAAGTCAAAACCAATAAAGTGCTTTTAAGATTTTTTGGTTCCCAGAGCGTGCTTATAGTGCCCTTTTAATAGATCTTTGCATTTTTGTTAATGGCACTACCAATTAATATGTCTGCTTCTATGGTGGTATCTGAGGAGAAGTAAGCTTTAACGTATGTTTACCTGAAGCTGCTCTGCCTTAGTGTTGCTGTGTTTCAAGCACATTACAACACATTCACAAGACAAAATAGTTCACAGATTGATTTATGATATATTTTGATTTCATTAAATTTCCAGTACACTCTGTATGCACCTTTTATAAACTCAGAAGTGTCAGTGCTGCTTTACCGTATATATGAGGATTATGGGAAATGTAGTCTAACATCTGGAGAGCTTAGGTTGTTCAGCCCTAGCAAGTCCATTTTAACATAAGGAAGATGGAATAAAAAAATAAAAAGATCAGGTTTATTAATCTGTTGTCTTTTGGAATCCTTGATGGAACATTTACATATATATATATATATATATATGCTAATGTTTCCATATGTCATTGTGTCATCAGCTTGACTCAGTTCTTCAAGGTCAGAACTATCTTTTAATGCTAATGGGAAATCCCAGCTGGAACACTCTTTATAAGACAAATTTCATGCTGCAGGGTTCAAGTGGAAAAGACGAAAACAACAGAAAACCAAAAGGCCTTTTATTTTCTTAACCACACAACACAGCCTTTAAATGCAGATTTTATTTTTTTATTTTTATAAAAATGTCTCTTTAAGATAATTCCTGTTGTTTTGGAACCTCACTATAAAGAGATGAGTGCAAAAGACATCCCCCAAACATGATACACAATGCCATCTCATATCATTATGTCTGATAAAGTACCAAAATCTGTACATATTTATCCGAGTACACAACATTGTGTTGTACACAATCTGCATCTGTTCTCTACTGATTTATCATAATTTACATTAGCAATAATCATAGGGAAATTAAATATAATTACAAGGAAAAGATGTGGATAGCATATAGTATTTAAATCAATTCAACCTTTTAAAATCAATATGAATTATTCTTTACCTAATCTGCAGTATTTATTATATTATTTAATGTAAACCTACCTTTGTCCTACATGTCATTATTCTGTTTAATAATAACTTATTATCATTGCAAAATAATTAACATTACAAATAGTTCTTACACAGTATGTAAATCCATATGAAACCCTATATATGCCAATCATAAATATACACAATAACACATTGTATTGTACACAAACCCGAAGTCACATACAAAAACTCGCTTTCACTTTTTGGGTAAAATACATGCATATACAGACTAGTGTACATTAGTGTACATTACTATAGCTGCTTGGCATTTGATATAGGCAACTATGTGCCCATATATCTGCCGCTGGTGTTAAATGATTTTTTTAATGAACACTTACAAATTGATTTAAAAAAAAATCATAATTGGTTCTATAAAAAAATTTAAATGAGAACATTTATTGCTAATATTATGTGCTATCTCTATGGCTAATATTATTTTCTATATTTAATTATATATCTATCAGTAATTAGTGGGAGCCTGTGCTGTCTCCTAGCAACCATAATGTGTATTGTTTGTGAGAATCTTCCCATTTCAAGCGCCCATCTAATATCGTGCCAAGTTCATTTTCAATCAATGCAGATACGCACAGTCATATTAATTATTTTTTTAAATAGAAAATTGTGTGATTTAAGAACCATGTGAAAAATGGGATCTAAACTATGAAGGCTGGAAAAATATATTAACCTTTGATACTTTAGCCTAAACTTTAAAACTATGCTATAAGTGCTATACATTTAACCAAATTACCAATAAACCCCGAGGCAGGCTATACATCCCATGTATCATAAATCTTAAAGATCAAAGATGACTTTTTTAAAAAAAATGCATTGTTCGGTTTGTTCTACCAGAGTCATCTTTTCCTCTCTTGCAAGCTTCAACATTTCCTGTTTCACAGTAGCTGTACTAACCTTGTTGGTTTATGGGTTTGTCAAGCTGAGAGCTGAATTATAAAGCCCATAACCTCCTTGTTGAAAGAGGTATGTTAAACAGGCATTATATTTCGGGAGCTATGGGAGCATCTAAACTGACAGAATATCTAGCTCACTGCAGAGACTGCACATTCTAGAGATTTGCAGAAATCACTGGAGCCACAACGCTAGGCTTCTCACATTCTTATTGTTATTTTTGTTTATGTTTATCTTCCTATAGAAGAATTTCTGTGAACTTCACGCATGTAAAATAGTAAAATAACAATAATTAATGCATTTAAATTATTTATCGAAAAAGAAAAAAATTAATGTCTTAACAGAGCTTTTTAAACATTGTCATAATATTTGTGCATCTTAGTTTCAAGAAAGAATGCATTAGATTAAACCATGCTGCAACGTTTGAAATGAAGTGTTTTATAATTTTTCCATTATTTACCATTGAAGATTGCACTACACCTGTTTAAATATATATATTTAAATGAGCAAATATTTCCAATTTGTCTCTCTTGCCCGAAATTTGGTAGTCCTCTACCAAATATATATTTTTAATATTATGGCACATTTCCTTGGAACTAGTAAAAAAACTGAATTTGGAATGATGGTATTGTTCACCAATTTCTCTGCTATGTACCCTATTAAACTTTTTTTTAACAACAGGCATAGTACATTGTGGTAGCTTGGTAGTAATGTGGTAGGGTACAGCAAGTGGTTGTGACTCAGATTTCAGGAAGTGTTAGTCTACAGGCAGGTGAGGTGTATATGTAACAACCATAGCACCCATATTTAGGTCCATATTGTACAGGCTGGAGATATGTAGGGAACAGGCTGTAATATCAGGTGTTAGACTAGTGAGCGGGGAGGCTGACATGTAGGTGGATCAGCTGCGGTTCTAAGCTCTATCACTATGGTTAACCTATGCTTTAAGGTGACTTGTGTGCATTTGCAAGTTAGGTGAGTTAAGACACATAGCGCATCTCCGGTTTGGTTCATATTCCATGGGTGCGTGTGTGTTGCGGTGGCTAGAGGCATTGTGGAGGTATATCATGGTAATAAGGCTTCTTAACCCCAGAGTCTGGGGGGGGGGGGGTGCTGTGGGAAGAACCCTATTAAACTTTTAATGAAGATCAGTTCAGAAAGAAAGTGAAATACATTCTAGCAGCATATGAAACTAACAGGGTTTTAAAGAGCAACATTTGTGGGTCAAATGTGTAAACAAAAATGACAATCAGCAGAATTATTTTACTATTTCCCCCCTTCATGCCACTTATTACTTCCTGCCCCATAGCAGAAGAATAAAATAAAGTAAATACTGGAACTCTCAGTATGTTTGCATCATTTCAATTTGTTAGAAAATTAGGACAACATGTTTACTGGACTTTACAGTCTAATCACACAAAAGTGTGAATGTTAAATGTTGATGCTCCTTAGCACAATTTTAAAATAGTAGTAGTTTTTGTTAAAGGATCTCTGTTATCAGAAAATATATTTACATACATTTGAAAAACTTAGTTATGTGCCTAAATTTTTTAATGTTTAAATCAGTTTGTTAGATTTTCTAATTGAGTTAAAATGTACAACCAATGTGTTCTTTCTTTGGTGCTACAGAGATTTATATACGTTAAGAAACTTCCGAAAATGTTTCTTCTTCAGTGCTCATGTTCTGGGTCCATCAGATGTTTTCTGCAACTACTTTTTAATTCGTTACAGTCTCAGAACAATTAACAATGGTGATACAATTTTAAAATGAACCCCTCTACGTAGAAATCTATTAGAGCTTCACAAATAATTGTAACCAAAGATTGAAAAAATTCTAAAACTGGGTACCACTGCATATAAAGACTTCATAGTTACTTAGGCATCAGAGCCACAAATATCCCAATGGGCAAAAATCTTTTTAAATCTTATTAGATGATTACAGTTGATTCAATGAGTGTCTTAGTCTTTCTGAAAGATCTAACTGTCTGTCATAACAAAAAAAAAAAACATCTTTATTTGTTGTAAAAGCAACCTTGGCGGGTGACATATTGGTAACACAATTCATACACTCTTGAAAAGGCTACCGGCCTTTCTGAGAATTATTGTCTTCACACTGCTGACTAAGTTCACGGTGGCACTGACTAAGTTCAGTCTTCAGAACTGCAAACACTGCTAGTAATTAAATGCAGCTTCTTTAAAAAGGATTACAAACACAATTAAATTGCTAATTTGTCAGGTGCTGTCCCGAATACCAAAAGGTTTCAGATCATGCTTGTGGCTAGTAACAGAACCTTAATCTCCCATTACCCGAGAAATGAAAAGAGTTAGTCATGTACCAGGAGGCCACGGCTATGTTGTAATTTTTGATACCTTCAAAACTAATACTATAAAGAATGTACAAAGCTTTTGAGTCATTTGTTTACTAAAGTATGAGGTATACATGGATACGGGTAAATTCCCCGTAGCTTGTTCTGAGCAGAGAGGGTGAAGACCAAATCTGATTCATTCAGAAGTGTTTTAAAGAACCACATAAGCAATATCAAAGACTACATCGAAAGAAAATAACTTTTTCATGATACAATAGGATGGATAGTGTGCTCCAATCATCAGCATGATCCTCATATATTATTTACTTCATGTGAAGTCATGAAACACATGACATGTTCAGTTTGCCTCCATGTGGCAGCCCCCTTCACTACACACATTACAATATTATACAACAAATACTACAGAATGTCCACTGGAATCTTCTGTAATGCTAGTAATGTTTTATTAAGTACTTAATAAAAGTATAAATCCTTCCTTCTATCCTGAGGGTGGAAAAACTCTTTTCGTCTTTCCTGTGGATGAAGACCTAGAATAAGAGAAAAGTGAAGATTAATAAAAAAATTTTTTTAAAAGGGCACAATATAGCATTTTTATGACAAACTAAAAATGTAATAGCCAATAAAAATAATTTGCAACTACAACTAATAAAAAATATAAGCTGATAAAAAATTGCAAACATGTATGTAGTTGTAAAAGTGTCTTTTGCTGGCAAAGTATCACAAGTTGCAGCCCGGGGAACCCCAGATACTAGAGTGCACTGGGAGATATGCCAGTGGCCAGTCTAAGCCTGGAGAACATTGTGATTGAAGGCTACCAGCCCATGCACAAACACACACAGTGTTGGGCTAGTTAAGATGCTGCATGATTATTGGCTGATGCCAACTAGATCTTACAGCTGGAGGAACAAATCAAACGCCTTTTAATCCATGGCCAAATAAATCAATCCATCCGGGATTTACCTGTGGAGTCTCTTTCAATGAACGTAAGGGCTTTGATTAAAAAGGCTTTTGATTTGTTTGCCCAATCTGTTGCACATTTGTGCACGGGTCTACTGTACACAGATAACATGCACCTGCTGCTATTGTAATATACAAAAGAATGGTGTGAGTCTGCAGGCCATATGCCCTTTGCCAACCCTTCATGTTCCAAGCAGGTTCTACCATTGCTAATCAGGTTTCTGACTCCAGGTTGCATGGTTTGAGCTTCCAGAATGTTTGTGTGTGTGTGTGTGTGTGTGTGTGTGTGTTTCCTGGTTCCATGTTATAATACCTGTGTGAAGGCTCACATTTCTTAATGTGATTTGGACTTAATCTGTGCTTTGTGGCTCCTGATGGACATTCTGATTTTCGAGTTAGAGTGGATATAGATTCATGTTTGATGTTCTTCAAATTGCCCCCTAGTGCCTGTACAATCTGGGGACCTAGCTGAAGATATTATTGACTTTACAGTGGTGGGCACTGGACAGTTGTGCTACACCAGGCCCACCTGGGGCCATTCCCTGCATGTTTTGCATAAAATCTAAACATGTCAATTGTCAATATACATTTGCTTCCGTTAGTATATTATATTGTTTTAGGTGGAGTTAAAATTTACATTGATGAATCGATAGTACAATTGCTCTAGCAACCATTAGAGGGAGCTAAAACACCATGGGACATAGTACATGTACACATTACAAATTAATGAGAGTTTCCCTACTAAGGACCCAAGTCAATACAGTTGCAAGAAAAAGTATGTGAACCCTTTGGAATGATATGGATTTCTGCACAAATTGGTCATAAAATGTGATGTAGCCAACACCTCCAATCTCATCTCATTGATTGGAATCCAGTTGGCTGACATTTAGCTCTTGGAGATGTCATTTGTCTAGGGGTTCACATACTTTTTCCACCTGCACTGTGAATGTTTACATGGTGTGTTCAATAAAAACATGGCAACATTTCATTCTTTGTGTGTTATTAGTTTAAGCAGAAACTAATAATTGTTGTGACTTAGATGATGATCAGACCACATTTTATGATCAATTTGTGCAGAAATCCATATCATTCCAAAGGGTTCACATACTTTTTCTTGCAACTGTATAAGAATATAATATAAGGTTAGTATTGCATGGGTTTAATATATTTTCCCACCTTGCCATAATAGAAAATCACCAATGTGCCTAACCATCAGTAGAAAGCCTCTTTTAATTTGTTTTAACTCAGAGCTATAGTACCATTAAATACCATATTGGTTACATTTATTCACTGCATAGATTTTTAATTTAGAGTGTATTAGGATTTTCTCTATGATCAGTCCAGTTACTTCAATCAATGCAACATGCAATGAAAAAATATATATTCGTATATCGCACTATTTTACTAAAGTGCTGAAACACAACTTAACTATAAAACATTTTGATCTAAAATTCATAACGCTTTGGGGAAAAGGTGGGTTTTTAAGCAGTTATCTTCTACTCATGTTAACATTCTATAATTTACTCTGACTGGGGGCTAACATTCCCCCCATATGGCTGGCCTATTTATCTATCCCGGTGTGGCTGACAGATTTGTCTCTTATATATACCCATAATAGAGTCCTAAAGGACCATGAAATTGGGTGAGTGTCGTATAATATGGGACATATCTTTAAAGCATGGTAAAAAATAATTCAGCCCCCATTGCATTTTTAAATAACTAAAGCCATTAACAAATTGTTACTTCAATCACTATGATCACATCTGCTTTTTAATGTAGTCATGGTGGTAGGAGTCTGGATGTGCAGAGCTTCAGCTTAAAATACTGCCAATCCGAAATTATTTGCAGTTATGTGCCAGGGGCTAGTTACACCCCCGGCACAAGTGACAGATGTAAATTTTGTGCATATTTTACAACTGTCGTCAGCCCACACTGCACACTGGCAACATACATTCTCTGTTTTCACTTTGTAGAGCCTGCAAGAGGGACCTTGTGTCTCACCTTCTTCCCTCCCTCTCTTCCTGTCTGCACCCTACCACCCACGCTCCCTCCTCCTTCTTTGCCTCCCACTTCTTCTCACCCTCCCTTTCATTGGACTCTGCGCAGCTCCTGTGATGTCACAAGGGAACATGCCAAGCCGCGCCAGAACCTTTGCCCACCATTGGATTTATATGAGTAAAACTTCTTCGACAACATTTTTTACAGGGTTATTTAGGAGGGACCTAAAGAATAATAATGCCAATAGATCATTATTCGAACAGAATAAAAAGAGTTAGAGTAACTCTTTAAATATATAGTTCATTCTTGCTATTGTCCATTAAAAACCTCCTCCTGCCCACAGCTTGTTTTGCACCAGTTATACTTTCATTTATAGATTAGAGGATATGAAAATTTGTAAGACTACATATTGAATAAAAATCAGATTAAAAATTTAGGAAGCTAACAGTGGCATACTGGTCCAGGGCTGGCCTTAGGGGTGTGCGAGCTGAGGGGCCGCACAGGGAGCCATGGAGCAGGGGACGCCATGCGGCCGACACAGCTCACACATGGCCGGGTGATAGAAATGCAGGGGGGGAGCTAGAGCAGGTACCTGGGTGGAGGATTTCATTATTCCCGGGTCTGTGAGAAGAAATAAATCTGCCTGATTGTCTGCGTGTCTGCCTGACTGTCTGTGTGCCTGACTGTCTGCTTGACTGACTGCCTGTCTGTCTGCCTGCCTGCCTGTCTGACTGCGTGACTGTCTGCCTGTGTGTGTGTGTGTGTGTGTGTGTGTGTGACTGTCTGCCTGTGTGTGCACCTGTCTTCCTGTTACTGAGAGTGTGTGTGTGTGTGCCTGTCTGCCTGTTTCTGTGTGTGTAAGTGTCTGCCTGTTACTGAGTGTGTGTGACTGTGTGTCTGTAACTGAGCGTGTGTGACTGTCTGTCTGTGACTACGTGTGTGTGTGACTGTCTGCCTGTAACTGTGTGTGAGGGGGCGTAGGGATTTTGTAGAAGGGGGCAGGGGTTTTGTATTGGGGCAGGGGTCTTGTATAAGGGGGGCTGAGCAGGGGATTTGTAGAAGGGGGCAGGACAGGGTTTTTTTTAGGAAAGGGGCAGGACAGGGGTTTTGTAGAAGGGGGTTGACAGGGGTTTTAAAAAGTTTACAAATTTATGCAATACATTTAAAAAAGAAAACATTTTAAAAATGTTGCAGGTGATTTTTTTTTAATAAAAAAATAGAGGGGGAGGAAGGAAGAGGGACCAAACAGGATCCGCCCTGGGTGCCAAATGTTCTAGGTATGCCCATGGAAGCTAATATTTGCTGCAGGAAGAACTTGGACTTGCTTGCACCACATTTTGTATTGTTTCTGTATGTTAGATGGATGCAGTGATATTGATACATTCTATATAGATGCTGTATGTTCGATGGGAACAGTGATATTAATGCATTCTATATGTTTGCTGTATATTAGATGGGTGTTATAATATTGATGCATTCTATATGGGCATTCTATGTTCAATGGGTGCTGTGATATTGATACAAACTATATGGGTGCTGTGTGAGTCAATAGCTCTTATGATAGATTGTCGAGTATGACGTTGCATGACAAAAGAAGACGCAAGGGCAATGGAAGCCAGTGGTGAAGTAAGGAGCAGAGTTTGAAAAAGTTCAACGGTTGGACTAGGGGATGGTACAAGTTTTACTTTGTTGTCAAGTACCAGCAATGCCCCTGATGTTTACATCACAAAATAGAAATAAATAGTCATATAACTAAAAGCAGCGTTTAGTCAGAAAAATGCCCTCATTGATCTTTCTTAAAGGGACACTGTAGTCACTATAAACATTTAATCTCTTTGAATTGGTTACAGTGCCTGGAGCATCCTGGCACTGTCCCTCCATTCAGTGTTGCACATGTTTGTGCAGTATGCCACAAAATAAGAGTCCCTGGCCACCCACAATCCGGCCCCTTCTGTACGAGTTTACACACTTCCTTGTTGTCATACCCATTCATACTGTCAGTTGGTGCTCTGACAGGCTAAAAGCAGTCAGCTGACACTCTCAGTCAATCACAGCTGCTCATTGCTGCTCGGGGTAATACTTCCTTATTAGCCAAAGCAGCACAGAGGGGATGGACTGCCAGGGACTCTTGTTTAGCATTAGAACCATAAAACGTTAAAAACTGTTTAATGTTAAAAGAAATGGTGGTACCAGGGGACTCCAGACACTATAACCAGTTTAATGAGATGAAGCAGATACAGTGCCTACGGTGTCCCTTTAAGAAAAATACCCCTCTCTGTCTCATTAGAGATTTTGTTTGCCTGATGCTGAAGCAAGGAAGGTGAATTGTTAGTGTAGGACCCACCTAAGAGGCTTCCCTAGGCGTGGAAGGTGAGTTTACACCTAATGGCCATTGGGGTGATACAAAACCTCCAGTTATTTTTATATGCATAGGGATTTGGGTAACTCTTTTCTTTGTTTTTTATTGTATTGTATTGTAAATTTTACAATTATAAAACAATTAAGGCCATGCTGTAGCTTAATCTCACATTCAATATTTATTTACCTGCTTGTGAATTCATTCTATAATTCAGACTTTCTGATCCAGAAGGTCCTGTTGCTGTAGCTGAAATAGGTTCTGGTTTCATAATTGACTCCTGCAGAGGTATTTGGTATCTGTCAGGTTGTAAAAGACTAAGAAGGGAACCATATTTGCCATCAGAGCCGATTCCCTGGACCATCTGGAACTCTGATACCGAGGGGTGATGATATACAGAACTCATCTGGCTGGGAGGGCCCATGTGATGATAGTGATATAGATCCGATGGCGGTGTATGATGCCCTTGGAAGACTGGGTAGTGGTCCACAGAAGGAGATCCTAGGGACGTTAAAACAGGCCCTGCCATTCTTATGGGAGGATTTGACGAATAGGCTTTGTTCCAGTCCATTTCATCGGGCTGCATATTGCTCACTGTATGAATAATGGAACAGACATGCTTAGGATTTTATAACGTGATGTATGATCACACAGATGTTTCACAAAGTCCTTTGCTCACTATAGCATACCAGTCATAGCAAGAAAGACTAAACTAAACAATATAATTAATCCCTTTGGATTGAAAAATGAACACAGTGGATCGGCATAACCAGTAGACATTACGCATAAACCTGACAAAAATAGACTTTATATTATGTAATAAAACATTAAAAATACTGTCTAAATGTATTGTTAATCATTTTGTTATTTTAAATGGTTTTATAATTTGTAAGATATTTTTAAAGGGCCGCTCCAAGTAGTTTATCAAACATCTCTTCTACCATAAGGACGAGCTCCACTAAGGAGCTTGGCTTGATAAAGAAATTACCACTGGTAAAATATCATTTTATTAGTAATGTTAAAAAATCTCTATAGTTATACAGTAACATTAGAGTGAAATAAAAAGACAACATGGTTTAATCCAGAGTTTTCTCTGAATTGTATCTATAGACTGATATAAATCAAACACAATATATAGCTTCTAGCATTTATTCGGCTCAAACCATAAAATCTTCGCTCTAATTGTAGAAAACTCGAACTGTGGTTCATAATGTTAAGTGTAAATCTTTTTAATGATACAAATTTATAATATTGAGGCATTCTATTGCAACATCTCTTAAAGGGACTTTCCAGTGCCAGGAAAACAAATCCGTTTTCCTGGCACTGCAGGACCCTGCAGTGCCTCTCTCCCTCCCACCCCCAGCCCATGTTGCTGAATGGGTTAAAAACCCTTCAGTGACTTACCTGAATCCTGCCCCGATGTCCCTCGGCGCTGGGTCAGGCTCCGCCCACGCTCTTAATGCGCATGCGCGGCAATGGCCGTGCTCCCGCATTAGACCTCCCCATAGTAAAAGCATTATTTAATACTTTCCTATGGGGATTCCCGCGATGCTGGAGGTCCTCATGCATAGCGTTTATCAAAACTGTAATAATTACACTTGCAGGGTTATGGGTGATGAGAGTTGGCACCCAGACAGCTCCAATGGGCAGAAGTGGTCTGGGTGCCTGGAGTGTCCCTTTAACCTTTGCTACCAGTGATTTCGGTGACCTGAATAGTTTCTGCACCTGAGCCATCATTGTGGCAGATTAAAAAAACAATATTGTGTAGCCTCGCTGTTAACCAACATTTGGTGCACTTTGAGAACATATCACAGTAACACTATTGTGTTGTTTTAGACCAGGACTGCCCAATAGATAGATCCCCAGATGTTGTAGACTCCAATTCACTGGTTTAGACAATGTTGTCTTTTTCTTTCAATCTAACTTTACTGTATATCTATATAGATTTTTAACATTACTAGTAAAAGTGACATTTTATCAGTGGTAATGTTTTCCGGAGCCATGCTCCTCAGTGGAACTTGTCTTTATGAATTATCAAATTCAATAAGGGATAAGTCCTTTAAATCACCTAGCCAACCTATATTTTAGCTTTAGTACATTTTGTATCTGAGGCCTATTTTTTCAATGGTGTCTCTTCTGCATGGTGCAAAACAGCTCCCTGCCACAAAGTCCCTACACACATTTGCTAATAACGGCAACATTTTGCAAGAATTGCTTTAGCTAATAGTCCATCTCACTGAAATATTTCCTCCAAAGCATATTCTTATCTTCTTCTTATCTTATATAGTACATATTACCCTGTGATAAAATGCATGCATTTAATTATTAAAAAATAATAATAATAATTACATTGGGGTATATCTAAAAAAAATTGCAAAAGTCACAGATTTCTTGTCTGCTGCCTTTGCAAACCCTCCCCTTCTTCCCCAGATCAGACTTTTTGTGGCTGTCCTATCACAGAAGTCCCAATGTAGCATAATGAGAAGTCTTTGCAAGGCAGTTACTCTGAGCAATTGCTGCCCCTTGACTTTAGCTCCAGTGAACTAAACAAACCAGGAAGTAATAGAACTGGTTCTTTGATTGACAGCTGGTGTCAATGTAAAAAAGGACACACTCTAAAGTGCTTTAGGTATTTGTAGTTTTCCTTTAACCCCTTAAGGACACATGACGTGTGACATGTGATGATTCCCTTTTATTCCAGATGTTTGGTCCTTAAGGGGTTAAGTCACACATAAGGCAAGCACACTTTTAGAAGGCTTTTGACAACTGCCAAAGCTTCTTGTTACAGGAAGCTTGCTGCTTTGTATTTAAACACCTGCAGTGATTGATCGTTTCTGATTATAAGTATTTCTTTGCCATTGAATCATTTTTACATTACCAACGAATTGCCTTTTGTTCTGTAAAAAAAAAATTACTTTGGAACCCTACAGACAGATTGTCAAATCAGGTTTTTCTACATTATCTGTCATAATTATTACTGAGAAATAGGTGCTACATAGGTGGGTCAAATACCTAAGAACAAAATATAATAGCCCACATATTGACACGTTATGGAACATTTTACGTTTATTTTATGAAATATTACAACACTATAATTTAATTATAAAGGAGCAATAGATTCTGAGCTATTATACAACACTTGAACACATCTAGTCTATAGACCTTACAATTTAAAGGAAAACTTTAATAATAATTAAAAAAAATTATATAGCGATCTTTTCCCCAGGCTTTGAAGGGATTTTTTATTTTTAAATGAAGTATATGATAAAAAAAAAAATAAGTAAAATTCTTCCCTACTTTTTAGTATATGAAAGGATCCTTCAGCCATATACATACACCTTGTGTCAGACATTTCTTGAAAAACAACTGTTAGTCTCTATGGTCTTCCCCTACATACATATAATTTGTGTGTATGTATATATATATATATATATATATATAAAACTGGTGTGCAGATCAGTGCTTAACAATGTATTGACTATCCACTGAGTTCAGTTGGAATGGGTATTCAATCACTTTTTTTCCCCATCATAACTTTCCTTGTTTGCGCTCCGTGGGTAATGCCAAGCCTCACTAGCAAGCCAGTAATCAACCTGTTGTGTTTCAAAGCTGTTGTATACAGCAAATAAACTCCAAGGAATCCATGTTGAAAATTGAATCATGAGTCAAAAATTAGATTATTTTTTTTGTTGAACTAATTTGCATTTGCCCATCCAGAATACCTTGCGGTAGTAACATCCCTGCAAATGTAAGATTTCTGTGGGAAAAGCAAGTCTTATGGCTTGACTGATGTGCAGATATGTGTTTAAAAATGTACTGACTATATATAAATATATAGTCTTTAAGAATTCTGCACTCAAACAAATGTATCATGACTGGTGCCCAGTAACAGACTATCTACATACAAAACAAAAGACGTTGTACCGGCACTCTCGGTCTTCAAAGTCCAGAAGTCCAGATTTATTTCTTCCATCACATAAAATAAGGTCAACGTTTCAGTTCCACAAAGAAACTTTCTCTAGAACAGTAAATTATATATACATAAAACATCTTGAGCGTAGCTCAAATCAAGAGATGGCTTAGGAAGACTTATACAGGGAGTGCAGAATTATTAGGCAAATTAGTATTTTGACCACATCATCCTCTTTATGCATGTTGTCTTACTCCAAGCTGTATAGGCTCGAAAGCCTACTACCAATTAAGCATATTAGGTGATGTGCATCTCTGTAATGAGAAGGGGTGTGGTCTAATGACATCAACACCCTATATCAGGTGTGCATAATTATTAGGCAACTTCCTTTCCTTTGGCAAAATGGGTCAAAAGAAGGACTTGACAGGCTCAGAAAAGTCAAAAATAGTGACATATCTTGCAGAGGGATGCAGCACTCTTAAAATTGCAAAGCTTCTGAAGCGTGATCATTGAACAATCAAGCGTTTCATTCAAAATAGTCAACAGGGTCGCAAGAAGCGTGTGGAAAAACCAAGGCGCAAAATAACTGCCCATGAACTGAGAAAAGTCAAGCGTGCAGCTGCCACGATGCCACTTGCCACCAGTTTGGCCATATTTCAGAGCTGCAACATCACTGGAGTGCCCAAAAGCACAAGGTGTGCAATACTCAGAGACATGGCCAAGGTAAGAAAGGCTGAAAGACGACCACCACTGAACAAGACACACAAGCTGAAACGTCAAGACTGGGCCAAGAAATATCTCAAGACTGATTTTTCTAAGGTTTTATGGACTGATGAAATGAGAGTGAGTCTTGATGGGCCAGATGGATGGGCCCGTGGCTGGATTGGTAAAGGGCAGAGAGCTCCAGTCCGACTCAGACGCCAGCAAGGTGGAGGTGGAGTACTGGTTTGGGCTGGTATCATCAAAGATGAGCTTGTGGGGCCTTTTCGGGTTGAGGATGGAGTCAAGCTCAACTCCCAGTCCTACTGCCAGTTCCTGGAAGACACCTTCTTCAAGCAGTGGTACAGGAAGAAGTCTGCATCCTTCAAGAAAAACATGATTTTCATGCAGGACAATGCTCCATCACACGCGTCCAAGTACTCCACAGCGTGGCTGGCAAGAAAGGGTATAAAAGAAGAAAATCTAATGACATGGCCTCCTTGTTCACCTGATCTGAACCCCATTGAGAACCTGTGGTCCATCATCAAATGTGAGATTTACAAGGAGGGAAAACAGTACACCTCTCTGAACAGTGTCTGGGAGGCTGTGGTTGCTGCTGCACGCAATGTTGATGGTGAACAGATCAAAACACTGACAGAATCCATGGATGGCAGGCTTTTGAGTGTCCTTGCAAAGAAAGGTGGCTATATTGGTCACTGATTTGTTTTTGTTTTGTTTTTGAATGTCAGAAATGTATATTTGTGAATGTTGAGATGTTATATTGGTTTCACTGGTAATAATAAATAATTGAAATGGGTATATATTTGTTTTTTGTTAAGTTGCCTAATAATTATGCACAGTAATAGTCACCTGCACACACAGATATCCCCCTAACATAGCTATAACTAAAAACAAACTAAAAACTACTTCCAAATATATTCAGCTTTGATATTAATGAGTTTTTTGGGTTCATTGAGAACATGGTTGTTGTTCAATAATAGAGCTGTTTTAACACTTTTGTGGTGGTTGTGTTTGGCTGTAATTTTCATTTATTGTTCCCATACAAATTATATATTGTTTTTTTCAGGACAAGAAGGGCTTTCTTTACATACCATTATTTGTATCATGTCATATAATTTACTTTAAAAAAAAATAGTAAAATATGGTGAAAAAAATGAAAAATAAATGTTTTTTTACTTTTACTTGAAACATCTTTTACTTATCTACAAAAGCTAATGAAAAAAACTGCTAAATAGATTAAAACGTTTGTCCTGGGTTTAAAAAGAACCAGTGTTTACATGCTTTTTTCCTTTTTTTGCAATTATAGGGCTATAAGTACAAGTAGGACATTGCTGTTTCAAAATATTTATTCTTAAAATGTATCAATAGTGACATTGTAACACTGTTATCTGTCATAAATCTCTGAATCACACCTCACATGCACATATTTTTTTTAAAGTAGAAACCCCAGGATATTCAATATGGGGTATGTCCAGTCTTTTTTAGAAGCCATTTAGTCACAAACACTGGCCAAAGTTAGCATTTATATTTGTTTGTGTTGAAAATGCAAAAAACTATTATGAACGCTAACTTTAGCCAGTGTTTGTGACTAAGTGGCTAATAAAAAAGACTGAACATACCCCATTTGCAATACCTTGGGTTGTCTTCTTTTGCAAATGGTATGCCATCATGGGGGTAATTCTCATTCCTGGGCTACTCTCAAAGGCAATATATCCAACCTGGCAAATTTCAATGTAAAAAAATGTGACCTTTATAATTTGACCCTGTAACTTGTAGATGGAGGGGGGGGGTACAGTTATACTCGGGAGACTTTGCTGGATACAAATTAAGTGTTTCAAAACAGTAAAACATATCACAACAATTATATCATCACTGAAAGTGCCGTTTGTGTGTAAAAAATGCAAAAAATTTCACTTTTACTGACAATATCATCGCTGTGATTTGTTTTACTGTTTTGAAACATTAATATTTGTGTTCAGCGAAGTCTCCAGAGTGTACCCATGGACAGGTTTTAGGGTGTCATAGAAAGTTACAAGATTAAATACAGTGCTAGCAAATTTAACCCCTTAAGGACACATGACGGAAATATTCTGTCATGATTCCCTTTTAGTCCAGAAGTTGTGTCCTTAAGGGGTTAATTCTCTGTACTTTCGGCCTGGGTTGTCAGGCAGGTCCCTCAAATTGCAATCAATAAAATTACTTAATTATGTAAAAATTTAGAATGTAGAATTTAAATATATATACATATTTATATATTTGCAGTCTACGTGTATATTTATGAAATTATTTATATAATTTTGTATATGGATATATATAAACTTCGTATTATTTTTATCTATTTATATATATATATATATATATATATATATATAATTTCATTCTAAGTGTATTTTGATATATATATATATATATATATATATATATTAATATCAAAATACAGTTAGAATAAAATTATTTTTTTTTAAATATTTTAATTATTTTTACATTGTTTTATTTACTTATTTATATTTTATAATATATATATATATATATATATATATATATATATATACAATATATAGTTATATATACGTGTGTAATTTAAAAGTGTATTTTTATATTAATATATGAATATATTAAAATAAAAATACACTTAGTATGATATGATATATATATATAGGCGGCGATCGGAGTAACTATTACCGGTATGATGGTTCAGGACTGTCATTGGTCCTCAAGGGGATATTTCCGATGACGGTCCTGTACCGTCAGCGGTCCTGAAGGTGTTAACACTTTTTGAATGCATTGTTTATATAATGCATAGAGAGCAGAAGGACAGTCTGGGGGAGATTTCTTCTGCTTTCCCTGTCAATCAATTTTTAAACATTGAGAAAAATCTATTTTGAAATAAGTTGTTTGCAAATCAATGGCACATTGTGTACATTGAAGTGTTAAAGGGATTCTCCAGTGTCAGGAAAACAAACCTGTTTTTCTGGCACTAGACAATCCTGTAGTGCCCCCTCCCGCCCGCCCCCCTTTCCACGTCGCTAAAGGGGTTAAAACCCTTTTAGATACTTACCTGAATCCTGTGCGATGTCCCTCGGTGCTGGGTCAGCCTCCGCAAACGCTTCTCCTCCGCCGACGCGATTAGTAAATGCTTTCCTATGGGGGTTCCGGCGATGCTGGAGGTCCTCATGCATAGCGTGAGGACGTCCAGCTTAGTTTAGACGACCAAAAAGTCGTCTAAGAAGCCAGAAGTCCCTCTAGTGACTGTCTGGTAGACAGCCACTAGAGGAGGACTTAACCCTACAAGGTAATTATTGCAGTTTATAAAAACTGCAATAATTACATTTGCAGGGTTAAGGGTGATGGGAGTTGGCACCCAGACCACTTCAAACAGCTCAATTAGTCTGGGTGCCTACAGTGTCCCTTTAAGAATGACTCTGGCAGATGTCTTCCTGACTGTCACTAGAGGCACTTCTGTCTCCATTACAGAGAAAAATAAGTTATTTAATGCAATGCTGCTAACAGCAACATTTGATTGGAGGAACGCTGTGTTTTGTCACGCATACATTCTTCTCAACAATGCTTCACAATGTGAAGCGTTGGTTTGGATGAGATCACCGGAAGTCAGAGCTGGAGTCTTTAACAGAGGAGTCTCGGCACTGGAAACGTGGTAAGCAATCTCTTTAATGCTTCACTTGTATAGAGCAAAGAGAGGTGGTCAGTGATCACATCGACTGAAGGAATCCTATAGCCCCCAAAATTTTATAGTTTAAAGTCATTGCTAACAATTTAAACAATAACATATTTACTGCAAAAATAAGCACTATTCTTAAAACAAAAACAAGTTTGATCTTTGTTGTGTGTTGCCATAGTAATTGGGTCATAGCACTGTCCTCATACAACAATGGGAATGTAGAAATCATTGTATAATACTACTAAATCATTTCAGTGTAGTAATGTTACCAACAAGAATTCAATACGATAAAAAGCACTGCTTTGTGCTATTATGTTGTTTGCATTAATTGACACAGATATGAGTGAAAATGTGTTTGCCACAAAACTAAAAATAGATTAAAGACAATGAAAATCAATTCATTATAACATGGAGGAATGTTAATTACTGTGGATAACCAATAATGTGTTGGTTTGCAATTACACATTTTTTTAAATTTTTTTTCAGGAAGGATCAGTGTCCTGTTAATTTAGAACTAATTGTCTAATTTGCAATACTGTTAAAAAATAAATATACACATTGACTTTATATCAAGTTCCCATTAATATATATATGTTTGGATTTATTTACAAATTTTGTTTAGACTATACATAGGAGTCTATTTGTGTTTCTGAATTGCAAATTTGGGAGGTGCAGATGTTAATTTCATTTTGAATTTACAACAATTCACACTTTAGTGCATAACCTGGCTAGTGAGTAACCCTGTGACACTGTTTTACTATAGTCTACCTAACACAGTAAATAAACCTTTTAAGTCTTCATTTAAAGAGCATTTATTTGAGTAGAACTGTAATGGTGTAGTATTCATGGGAGCAGAGCTTCATTACAAGGTCAATCGTAATGCTGTTATTAGGCTTGTATATAGAGAGATCAAAAAGTCCATTGACCACTAGGATTAAAGGTTTACACTGTAATATTTCTGCTGTCTGCTGTGGTTTCGATAATGTTTTGATTATAGTTTTTTAAATGCTGAGACGATAAGATGTTAAATCTAGGCCATACACACACATTCTCAGAAGAAGTAAAAACAGATTATGTTCTAATTTTGAACTGGAGGTTGCTTCATTACGTAATTTGTATGCTGTTCCAAATTCCAATTATTAATTGGAATCAATTAAAAAATAAATGTAATTGCAAGCACAATTTACTGAAACTAATAACTGTACAGGTTATTCAAGATTCTATATTCTAAATAAAAGTTGTGATTTCTAAGCTACTACCAATAAAATGTATTTTGTAGCTCGTATAAAAATACTTTACAATTGCTGACCAGCAGCATGCGGGGGGACTCTGGAGAAATCTGGCCTCTTAGGCTACAATTTGCAGCTCTGGTACTCGAAATGAGCCCATGAGACATCCACACGGAGGTGGAAGAGGTGGCAGACCCCGAGATCGGGAGCTTTGGGTCCCCTGAAGGAAGCACAAAGCTTCGGGGGATGCAGCCTACTCGAGAGGAGAGGACGCTACCACACGCCAGTTTACGGAGAAACTTGCCGGTCCCGTTTCCCCCCCCCGTGGGTCGGGGGGGTTATCCCGGTCCCCACTGAGGAGAGCTCCAGATGTGGGGAGACTAGGTGGTGTCGAATTCCCAAGGCCTACCTTGAAAGATGGCGGCGGCTTCGAGGTCATTACTAATGGCTCATGCTTTATGGAGCTCCAGGGGGAGAAGTCACACCACCCACCGCAATGAAAGACCGCAAAGCAAGTCCAGTGGCGAGTCCTCTGCTAATGCCCGCTGGGGAGAGCTCAGGACTGTGAGAGTCACGGGGTACTCGGTCTAAAATACACAACCCCTGGAGGGGAGTTGGGAATCAATGACACAAAGCAGATCCGCCTGGCGAACTTTCCAAACAGCTACTAAGCTTGCCAAGCACTGAAGTCGGATGACTAACAAGCCTGGGAAGGGAAGCTCGACTGCCACCCAGATGAGTCCCTGGGATACCTGCAAGAGCCTGTGAACCTATATTATATTGCCTATTTAGACCTGCTGTTTCACCTCTTAACAGACTATAAGTCTCCAGCGACTACATCAAGGCACTCTATGTCACCACAGAGGCACTCACAACCTAACATAGCAAGAGCTGCACAAGAGTCTGCAGCATTTAGGTTACCACTTGCAGCCTATGATCCAAACTTTTTAGACACCCACTGACAGGGCCGGATTAACATAGGGGCTGATGGAGCTGTAGCTCCAAGCCAATGTTTATGAAATAGGCCCACTAACTGAAATAAATCAATAAATAATTTATTTATTTTTAAAATTTTTCTTTTTTTTTTTACTACTATTCAAATGCTTTTGCTTGCATATGAAAACTTAAGGGGCATGTAGGGGAGCAAAACTGGTGTGGACTGGCTGGTGTGGACTGTTGTGACAATAAAATTAGTTAAGGTAAAGCTGACTTTCCGCACTATTTAAATGATCTTGCTGCTTTAGTCTCTCTAACACTGTGGCATGTTACCTTTCATCTACACTCACTACATACACATTTTCTCTGTCCCAGACAGGAGATTGTGCCTGCTAGCAAAAAGGTTAGTAGAGGGATTGACCAGCAAGTGCTAGGGGACAGTCCTTAGAAAATGTAGTGTAGATCTAACACATCATTAGACGCATTCATAGCAAGCTCAGGGTGCTATCTGCGCATTATGGATGATCATCCTGCATGATTGGCAGGCAGCCTGACATGCATTCAGGCCTTGCTGATCATCTAATTCTTCGTGCAGACACGCTCCCCCTTTTGGGCATGTTTGTCCCTTTGGTTGGTTCTGGTTACTTGATTCACATCATTGACCCACCCTTTTATCCTGCCTACCGAAATCCTGCTTCAACGGACACTACTGTTAGGGGTATGGATTTACTTGAAAGATGAAAGTGAGAGATTGGCATAGGGTTTCTGTTTTATGATAGCTATATCCTGTGAGTTTCCCTCCAGCACCACCTCCACTAGATACATGACGCTTGGAAGGTATATCTGTTTTAGTGTTTTCTGTTGATAATATTTTGTAATTAGGCCCATCGTAGTTGTCCGTATCAGGACCAATGGGAAATTAATCCGGCCCTGCCCGCTGAGGCCATTTGTTTTCCCTAATCACTTCTCCCGCTTAGTCTCACACAGATTTATGTAATATTACATCGGTCTGCTCAGCTCCAATGGTCTTTACTATAGTTCTTCTGCCTAGCATATAAACTAACGTTTATTACTTAGACAATTCAAGCCGTGTCTTGCCTATCTTCACTGCAGCATATATCCAGAGAATTAGACACGTTTACCTAGCAGGATTATTCTTTATCAAAAAATGTGTAGAATTACCAATTGCCATTTCACTGTATTGCCATGTAACATGTATTGCCTGCTCATGCTGTTGTGGCATTGCCAGCCAGCTTGTACCTTTACTTTACTTGTACAGCAAAAATTTTAAAAAAATAAATAAATAAATAAAATACTTTACAATCACATTGTTACATTGTGGATCATAGTGAATAGCTCATTTAAAGCCATACTCACTGTTCTTTTGAAGATAGTCATCGCTTCTGGTTTTTGTTCTTAAATCCTGGGGATCCTTTGTAGTCCTTAGAGCTCTTGAAAAGTGTTCATCTACCACACTGTTAATGTCCCCTTGATAATAAGTAAAAACTACACATCGTGATCCCAATTCTGTCTTCACTGGGTGATCCTTATTTTTGTATTCACTGGGGCTCTTCCTTAAATCTTCCATATTGAAAAACCAGTCGGTCAATACCTGTCAGTAAAATGTACATCTTTTAGTTTTATAGATACTGAATTTGTTTTATTATTTTGGTAACAATTACAAGTATGGAATAGCAACAAATATATTTGAGATACAAACAGAAGTTATCATGAGAAAGCAGCTTTGTAGTTAATACTGTTAAGTATATGTGGTGTTGTATATTACAACAATGTATAAAAATTACAGCACATACTAGATTTGTTATATATAGATATATTTTATTTATCTTTTATCCCTATAGATCCATCCACTACAGGATTAATGCTTTGACTATCTCCATGGAATTCATGCAAGAAGGTGTACGTACATATTCCATTCAACAAAACTTGTCCACCACATTGTTTGTTTATGTTTGGTATTATGGTAGTCTACCCTTCAAGGCAGCCATATTTGCAGGTTGGAAACTGGTGCAGGCAAGAATATTTAAAAAACTGCATGTCAATAAGTAGTTCAAGAACTTCCCAGAAATATGATACTTTAACTGTCCACTTGACCTGATCACTTGAGATTGTAGTGTCACAAACAACCTACATCCAGAAATGCTGAAGAGAAGTGATATTGTGTGGTTCTCTTTTGCCTTGGTATGTTCATGTTTCATTGAACAGAGCCTCTATTGAGGCTTGTATTGAAAGTTCAAAGTCTACAGGAGATCTAGTCTATACGTCAATCAAGTCAGGATCAGGAACAAGTTCTGTAGTCCTTCTTTTGTACCCATGTAGGATGCAGTAGCTTTACCATGGCATTCTGGGTCAATAGTCATCTAATCTGTGATAGAGAAGTATCCAAGGGCACATACAAACATTTGTACAAGCAATTTCCTCCTATTTATGACTTGTAGCGTGTATGAAACACAGAGAGTAAGTATTTAATTAAAAGCATGTTTGTTTTTTTTACCTCTTAACAGTGTGTCAAGATGATAATAAACCATTTTAACATTGCTGAAATACAAATAATGTTTCTAAATTTAATAAACTAGTTCAGAAATTCCTGTCAACATGTACTTCCATCAGTAGCACAGAACATCTTCTCGATGTCTTTCATTCTTCCCACCAAAGTTCTGCTTTATTCACATGGTTGATGGTTGGGAGCTACCCTTCAATGTATTACCTATCACACGCTACTTATCAAGGTTCCGATTTCTTCATTCATCATTATTATATTCGGGTTCTTATCTATGTTTGTTATACTGCCGGTATCCTGCTAAATACACAGTTACTAATTCATCAGAGCTCCCAAAGCCTAGCGACGCCAATCTACCAGTCCTCACATCAACGTAACTAGCCCTGTAACAGTTTTGTTCTGAAATGGGCCTATCAATTGGGTTTTTTGCCTTTTTTTGAATCAACGGTATACAAAGATATATTCTAAAGGTTGAACTTGATGGACCTGAGTCATTTTCAACATAGATTTCTATGTATTTATGTAAGTAAATACCATCTCTGCACAGAGAAAATGGCAAATTTATTATAACCCCAAGAGTATATATGTGCATGGGTCACATCCTTGTTTTGTGCGATATCTAAAATAACAGTATTTAAGGTAGAAAGTCAATTGTTTAAAATGTTGCACTGCTCCCTAAATCTGTTCCAGTCTTGAGATACATGGGCCCGTGTTTCCCCAATTTACCTTTTTTTCCAGCATAAATCTATTACTTTAACTTTTATGAAAGGCTAAAAGAAAATTTTAACTTCACAAAAGCCAACAAAATCAGCAACTACCAGTCCAACTATATTACAATTCTTAGTATTAGACTTTTTACTGGAAATATACTAAGTTCTCTCACTTTACACTCATCAGCAATCAACCACTGCATTGTCATTTTGCACTATGTGTATTAACTGTAGCTGTTTACATGTAATTATTCCAGTATAGAAAAAGCAGACTGTGAAACAGAACCTTATCACTAAGATGAGTAACTAGTATTCTGCGTGTTGAGTAATCATAACTGCATTATCTTTTTTAAAATAAAACTTAAACAGGAGAACAGGAACCTTTAAATTATCTGGAACTAAATACTATAGTAGAAGTACAAGTATTGCAAATAACTTTAGCTACTGGTGGGAAGTATATATATATATATACATAAATTAAATCATAGCATGGTTAATCAGTGACAGATGCAAAACCCTGGAATTAGATTTACCAAGGTTACAGGTGATTCTAACAAATTTGTAATTCTTGTATAAAAGTTGTCCCTCCGATATTCATTTATGTAAAGCGATCAGAGTGCATCTGCATCTTTGCCCATACAGTTTAGAGGAAAATGTACCAGTAATTAAAACTGATCTTATAAGACAGTTGTGGGTGATTCTCTACACACAAGCAGCTGGGTTTAGATAGAAGCCAACCTACTAATTCCAAACAGCTGTTCTGGAGAGATATTCCAGGCAAGCTCATTATATCACATCTGTGATATCTAAAATCCGACTATTCAATAATCACACGAAAAAGGAGTTATTTAAAAATTTTTTATATATATATATATATATAGATATAAATTTTTTATACATTTATTATTTTTTAGATATTTAGATCAACATCATTGTATATCACAAAATACATATTTAAAGGCAGGTCCAAGAAGATTTAATGCAAATTTCCCACGAATTAGACATGTGCATTCGTTTTTGTACGAATAAGATTTTGTCCAGAAATTCAGTTTTTTTCGTATTCGTTTACTAAAACGTAAACGAAAGCACTACATGCGATATATATAAGTATAATATAATATATACAAATGAAACAAAAGGGCAAATGCCGACTGCATTACCTTTTCATTTAGTTTTGTTCGTTTAATACACTCCATGCTGCAGGGGAATTAACCCCCACAGCACAGAGAAATAACACCAAACGCCAAAAAAAAAGCAAAAAAACAAGGAGGGAGCAGGCAGCGCTACCAGCTCCCTCCTTGTAATAAATAACCATTCCTACGTCCCCCACCTTTAAAACCTATGGGGGTCACTATGACCCCCATATTAATAAAAGGGAGGTTAAATCTTCCCACAGGCCTCTACTCGCGGCATGTGGCAAGTAGGGGCATGTCGCCTAAACTAATTTAAAAGTACTAGTGACTGGGCAGCTATTGCTGCCCAGTCGCTAGTGCCATAAGGGGGGACCTGGCACAAGTGGTGGTAAACAGAATATAACTAAAATGGGGGGACATAGCGCACCCCGCCACTCGTGACCGCCGGTTGGGGACTATGAATATAAACGGGGGGTACCTAATGTCCCCCATGGTCCCCACCCATGAGCAGCAGGTGTGGACTTTAAAAAATTAAAGGAGTGACCTAATGTCCCCCCTGGTCCCTACCCCTAATAGGTGCCTGCGGGACCTGTGCCAGGTCCCCCCTTATTGCACTAGTGACTGGGCAGCAATAGCAGTCAAGTGACTAGTAGTTTTAAATTTGTTTAGGGGACATGCCCCTACTCGCAGCATGCGGGAGGATTTATCCTCCCCTTTTATTAATATGGGGGTCATAGTTTTAAATGATAGCGAGTAGCCACTAGCTGCTCGCTGTTTAGGTCATAGTGACCCCCATAAGTTTTAATGGGGAGTGAGGGTACAAATTGTTATTTATTACAAGGAGGGAGCTGATAGCGCTGCTGGCTTTCTCCTTGCTTTTTTTTGCGCATGCGTAGTGCTGTTTGTGTCCTAATGGACGAAAAATAATCATTTTTGAACAAATTTCGATCGAAAACGAATGGTTTACGGACGAAACTCGGGATTGACTAATGAAATTTTTATTCAGTACGAAATCATTCGGACGAAACAAAAATTTCACTGGTGCACATGTCTACCATTAATTATATAAGAAATGTAGTTAATGCGACATGATAGTCTTTAGTATACATATTTTACAGGGACAGGGATTTTATGGGAAATAGGGATACACAGAAAAGTTAAGTACCTAGAGAACAAGTGCTTTATTTGAGCACTACAGACAGCCCCCATCAAACGGGTAATTGAATCAGACTGACCACTACATGTGGCTATTTAATTAAAATGTATTCTCTACAAATCTGTATGTAATGCTAGTTGATAAGTGGTGTGTTTAAGCTCTGAGTTCATTCACAATATGTTTGTTCTTGCTTGCTAAACCTGCTTTTATATACAAGTTATACAAGTCACCAGATATTCTTAGATGTCATGGGGAGGGTTGGTTTGAGTTTATTTATGAATAACTCTTGGTTCGGCTATTGCGATTTATTTACGATGAATCTTAAAAGGGACACTCCAGCTGCCTAAATCACATTAGCTCGCTGAACAGCTTTATGTGTGAACAGTGCGTCCTCTTTTTCATTTTACAAAAAGTGTAGATTTTATTAGAAATTTACACTTCTTTAAATTAACCTAGTTACACCCCCCAAACTGTCAATCAGACAAGCAGTCACGTTACTTCCTGGTTTGTTTTGCTCTGTGAAGCTAAACTTAAGAAATAGGCATCAGTTACTCAGAGCACCTACCTTGCAAAGACTTCTCACTGTGATAAGACAGCCACAGAAAGTATGGTATGAGTTAGAAGGTGTCACGATTAGTGATGTCCCGAACGGTTCGCCGCGACTCATCATTGAGTAAACTTTGACCCTGTACCTCACAGTCAGTAGACACATTCCAGCCAATCAGCAGCAGACCCTCCCTCCCAGACCCTCCCACCTCCTGGACAGCATCCATTTTACATTCATTGTGAAGCTGCATTCTTAGTGAGCTGTCCAGGAGGCGGGAGGGTCTGGGAGGGAGGGTCTGCTGCTGATTGGCTGTAATGTGTCTGCTGACTGTGAGGTACAGGGTCAAAGTTTACTCAATGATGAGTCCGTAGCGAACCGTTCGTGGCGAACCGTTCGCGAACCGTTTGGCGAACCGTTCGGGACATCACTAGTCACGATACTTACCCAATCAACACGCTGCTCCAGCATTCCTATGCGCATTAATCAGGAAGCTCCGCCTCCCAGTTCCTTCTGCCTTCCCAATCAGCGCTTGCATTCGGACTTCCTGAGCAATCCAAATGCGGCAAATGCATTTGGGTATTCTAATAGAGAGAGGAACGCTGCCCCCTCGCAAGCCCACTATGCTTATACTCATATGACACCTAGCATCATTTCTGGGTCTAGGAGTGCCACGTCATCACTGCAACCCCATTCCTGCACTTTTTGGGATCGCAGGGTTGACGTGGATTATTCAGTGTCCACTTCAGGGTATAAAGAAAGTTTTCAGCCCCATAGTTATTGCCCTACCGTGGTTTCCTCTTGCTTCCTTGCCTGGTGCATTATATAATCCTGATTTTCTAGTTAGACAATTTTGGCTTGTTTACTGACTCTTCTAACCTCTGTAATCCTGACCTGGCTAGTTATATTGTATTTTCATGTTACTGGTTTCCTGATCTTGGCTAGCTTCACGTTTACGATTTCTCTCTTTTATACGTTAAACCCGGCCATTCTTAGGTTCGGTGATACGTCCTATCTGTCTTCATATTCCTGACCTATACTTGTAAGTTGGGTAGTTTAGCTGAGATTTACAGCTTTTTAAAGCTGTTTTTTGATAGAGCACCAATATAAAACAAATGCATAAATAAATGCATGCACATTTTCATTTGGGTTATATATACTAAAGAGTTTTTTTATATTATTTTTTTAATTTTTTTAATTTTTTTTATTTGGGCAATGGAGTATCCCTTTAACTCTTCATATATGTTATGTTACATTACCCCTGTAGAACACACTGAGAGGATGATGCATATGTATCTAAAATATAGTCATTATTATTATTATTACTATACTGTATTTATAAAGTGCCAACACATTCCACAGCGCGGTCCATGGGTACAGTTGGTACGAGCTAAAAGACAGAGGCACTATACATCTAAGAGGCCAGGAAAAATTCAACAAACAGCCACAAGAGGAGTTGAGGGCCCTATTCCCAGTGGAAGTTATATAACATTTAGTGTTTTGCAACAATTTCTGTATATAGATGCTTACTTACAGTGAAATACAATGTCCACAAACTTATATTTCTTATGCACATAAATAAAAATGTGCAAAAAATTTGCACAAATGTTTCTTAATTCCTAAAACCTTTCGATAGCTTCAGAACTGACCTCGACAGCTGATGAAAATGCACCCTTTTTAAACCCAGCACTTACGTCCTTGTTACTGTTTGCCATTGTCCATTCAAATGGTTTTTATAAAGAAACATTGAGGAGAAATCTCCAGTTCAAAGAGACTCATAGAGATGTGTAATTTTATTGAGATTTATGATTCATATGAAAAAAAACAACAAATCACACGTTAGGGTTTTATTAGGTAAAGTGTCGTAATCAAGTATTTGTATGTGCAAATAAAACATGTTGACTTGCTATACAATGCTAGTGGACTCCGACTTCTTTTTTTTAGGCCCCAAAAAATGGCAAATAAGAATTCATTAAAAAAAAGTATGAAACAGTTAAAAAAAACAACAACACAGAAATCAAAAATCAAAACCACTGACACAACCAATACCGTGAGAGTTCACCTTCGAAAGCTAATTCAGTGCACTTTGATTGGGTGACTTGCAAGCCAACCAATTACAACTCTCTAATGGCCATCTCACTTTTCATGAGAGAAAATATTTATCGATGTATATCTATTTTAATTTGTCAATGTTTTTTGCAAATCAGGTCTTTTTTCTGTGTTTATTTTAAACGGTTTTGTCCTAGAAATAAATAAAGAAGATTTATACATTATTTGACCCCCTTCCATAACAGACTTAAACTTGTTAGGACTCTAGAGTCATGCTTTTCTTAGCATTTCTGCTAGGAAAATAGATGCACTGGTTGCCCTTAGCTCTGTTTTAATGTTCAGAAGCCAGCCTGCGATGCATGATAGTGGATAACATGGATCTTTAAACTGACTTCCAAACATCACTGAATGCAGGAGCAGGATGGCTATTTACACCACTAGTAAATCTATCTATTTATATTTATAATTGCAAGTCTTGTCTTACATTGGTGATAAGTTTTAATGGAGCTGCCATCAGAAGGTCATAGCAGGTAAAACACTTGAAACCACTTTACATTAAAGAACATGGCATGAACAGTTTTGTATATGTTTTCCTCTTCCGTACTAAGTATTTTTCAAGTTTAAAATATATTAGCCATGTATTTATTTGAAATATGTTGTGCATACATGGCAGCTCAGAGACAAATAAAAAAAAATTGTAACAATATAAATTTAAAATATTGTTAATAATGTAAAATTAATTATTTTGTCCGTTACATAATTTTTAAAAACAAAGATGTATTCCTAGCACTATAGCACCTTAATGGTGGGTTTTGCACTATAGGGTCAGGAATGCATGTTTGTGTTCCTGACCCTATAGTGTTCCGTTAAGCCTAAATCATGTCAATTATATATTTGGGGGTACACAAAGGAATAATGTGTGTCTATGGAAGATATCAACCTATTAGCAGTTTGATATTTAGATTTTAATTTTTTTACATTTATTTCATTCACAGGGTTTTCACCTAAGTAAGAATTCAAAGTGAATTTCAAATCCAAGACCAAAGTAGTTGAAATAAAAGCACACCTGCCTTTCAGAATGTTTCCAGTTTTGGATTACACACCAATATATGAGTGTCTCAGGGGGTCCGGCAATTTCTATATATATATATAATTAGGCCACTATGAATAAATAAATACTGATTTACCAATTCTGAATAGCTTTTTGCATGGTACAAATATGAAATGGATTCTAAGCTTGTTCAAGTAGGATTCTCATGAACCTATTGTTTCTGTTAACATTTGTAATAGCTTATCTAATTAACTGTTAAATCCCTTTTTTTAAATTGTAAAGCACTGTAAAATAAGTTGACACTGAGCTAAACAAACCAGGAAGTAGCAGGACATGGTGTCTGATTGACACGGGGTGTAACAAGGTTTAATTATGAAAGTGCCAATTTCTATTGAAATCTACCTTTTTTTGTAAAATGAAAAAATAGGTCACACTCGTCACACATATATAAATGCCACTGCTAATAATAAACATAGCCAGGTTGACAGTTTACTGAGCCCTTGGGCATCAAGAGTTCCTGGGACCCACAGTAGTAATTTTATTCCCAGAAGAGAGCAATTATGGCAAACACATTTTATTAAAGGATCACTATAGAGTCAGGAACACAAACATGTATTCCAGACCCTATAGTGTTAAAACCACCATCTAGACCCCCTGGGCCCTTCATGCCTCCATAAATATAGCAAAATCTTATTGTATTCAAGCCAGAAGCTGTAGATCTGCATGCTGTTTGCCTAAAAAACAAACAAAAAAAAAACAAGCAGTCTGCTGACATCATCAGAAGTGGTAGCCTGATCCAATCACAATGCTTCCCCATAGGATTGGCTGAGACTGACAAGGAGGCAGATCGGGGGCAGAGCCAGCATGATTCAAGCACAACCCTGGCCAATCAGCATCTCCTCATAGAGATTAATTGAATCAATGAATCTCTATGAGGAAAGTTCAGTGTCTGCATGCAGAGGGAGGAGATATTGAATGTTTGGATGCATTTTAGACAGCCATGACCCAGGAAGGATCTCTAACAGCTATCTGGGGAGTGGCCAGTGGAGTTATCACTAGGCTGTAATGTAAACACTGCATTTTCTCTGAAAAGACAGTGTTTACAGCAAAAAGCCTGAATGTAGTGATTTTACTCACCAGAAACAAATTAATTAAGCTGCAGTTGTTCTGGTGACTATAGTGTCCCTTTAACCTTTTTGGAGCCTATACAAAAATTACAAACTCTAGAGTGTCTCAGGGGGTCCTGCTCTATAGTCTATCCTGTAATAGTATGAGACACCGATTACCAGTTCCCTTTTCCAAGATGATAACCATTCCTTTTATAAAGAACTGGGGAGATATCTAATCCCTTTGTCAATAATGAGAACCAATCACACACTTACATTAGCATACTTAAGTGAAGATTAAAATAGAGAGTCTCTGCCTCCCTCCATGCCCCTAACTATATGTTGACTTGGTAATAGTCAGTAGTCATCAGTACATTTTACTTATAATTGTAACTTGTTAGATCTAGCGTGATTAAATGATGCCCTTATATCAACTTTGACTACTGCCCACGGAAATAGTCATCTAACTATAATAAATAAAATAACCTTAAATTGCACTTCAAAATACACCAACTCAAATCTGTAGCATTATGGCTGGTTTATAGTTTACGTTACGGCTGGTGTTTATATTTTGCTCCATATTCAGAATATTGTGCAGCTAGCTACAGCTAACCTCATTTTAACCATCTCTCCTATTTTGTAGATATATACATACATAAACATATACTACATTCCAAAGATGACAATCTGGGTCACCTCAGCCTGCGAGGTTGTTGCTTCTGTGTATAACAAACTCTTGGTGAAAGGTTCCCCCTAGAGCCCCTAGCTCTGTGAGATGAAACGAACAATGTTACAAAACCTGTTGTGGGTGAGTCTTTAACAAATTGTTTATCAGCCAATCTTTACAGTTCGACTGTCTGACCTTCCACTCACTGATTACCAATGCTGCGAGATGTAAAGAGGGAGAGACGGATAAAAACGCATTTATGTTTCATAATACACAGTTACCTACTAATTATATAAATGCAGCCATTTACAATGCTATGCCATGAACATTCATCTTCTCATCTACAAAAACTTCACAGAAAAGCACCGTTGCATAGTGCTTAATTAAAGGGACACTCCAGACCCCTAATGCACTTTCAAAAAGTTTCATAGAAACTGGCGCTTTTTAAAATTAAATATTGGAATATACAAAATAGGAATACAGCTGAAATCTAAAAATGAAAAGCACACAATAGTAAAACACTGTTTAGTGAATAAGCCCCAAATGCTTAGAGTTGCACTCACGAGTTGGTGTTAAGAGGCATGTCCCATTGTACAGCGCTACGGAATGTGTTGGCGCTATATAAATAATAATAATAATATCAAGATGCCTGTTGGGGGGTCTGGATCTCCCTCCTTGAATGTTTAAGGAACTTCTTTGGCATAAAAGAAAACTTTCAATGCTTGAAAGGCTTTTTCAAAAGGAAAAAATTCATGTCCTGTGCATTTCATCTGTTAAATATACAGAATTCCTCAAGGACCATTAATAGCATAAAACAGAATAAAACAATACGATATAATAATATTTCTAAATTTCCACTCTCTAAAAGCCACTGGTTAGTTAAAATTTTGCCAGGTGAGTAGAAATTCACCTCTGGTAAGCATTCGAGTGGCTAGTAACTTTAAAAGGGAAAGTCCACTACCCAAATAAAAATGTAAAAATGACTGTTTTGTAGATTTTATTTTTGACAAGTGTGCATTTAATGATTGAGAGTTTATTAAAACCTGCAGTTATCTCGTCTTTCTGTGGCTGTCCAATCACAGCCTTTCAAATGAAGCTCAATGAGACGTCATTAAAAGGCAGATACTCTGAGCAATTGCTGCCTCTTTAGTTTAGCTCCAATGAGCTAAACAACCAGGAAGTAACAGTCAGGGTTTGTAACAAGGTTAATTTAGAAAAAATAAAAACGCCAATTTCTATTGAAACCTATACTTTTTTGCAAAATGAAAAACTAGGTCATACTCTTCACACATAAAGTACGTCTGCAAACAAAAAGTGTTTAAGGGATCTGGAGTGTCCCTTTAAGGCCTGGCTAAATAGCATAGAACTCCAACTGGTAAACCTTGGAAAGATGCAAGTAAGTAATATTTTTTTCACAATGTATTCAGATCTGAATTGAAATAAAAATACTGAACAGGAAACATAAACTTGTTTTGCCCTCATTATATTTATAGTCAAAACAGACCATTCTTTTGAATGCAAAACATTTGTGAAAAATTAATAATGCTGTACATGACCCAGCAATAAATCATTTATGTATAATAAAGTAATGACCTGGAATGGTGACTAACACGCTGCAGCCGGTGATTATGTGAGCTGTAGGATGTGCAATATATATATTAAATATTGAGTGGGGTTTGTTCACTAAACAGTGCGCTGAGATGATTAGAGAACACTGTTTTGAAGCTTAGGCCAAAATAGCTGAGTTGGATAATTATAAGAGTCTGACATAGTTTGTCAGCTGATCATAACTTGCTGTTTCGTGAACGAATACACCTATGTAATACTTTGCTCTCTTTATTGCTGCTGTACGCTATAAAATTGCCCAATTTCAACTAAACCTCTCGTAAGGTCAGGCAATAGTGATGTCGCGAACCGTTCGCGAACTTCCCACGAACGGCTCGCTGCGGTTCGCCACGAACCGTTCGCGGCGAGCTCCGGTCAGCTGACACATCCCGGCCAATCTCCAGCAGACCCTCCCTCCCAGACCCTCCCACCTCCTGGACAGCATCCATGTTGAAGGCAGCTCCATGTTGAACGGTTCGCGACATCTCTATCAGGCAATCCTAGACAAATCCTTAAACCCATCAACCAAAACCAAAAATCTTTTTACTGCTAAGATCATTTTACACACCATATCATGCTGGTTTATTAGATTATACTTAGTATGGTTTACTATTATTTAAAAATCTTCACTTAAGCACCAAGTACGATGACCTATTCAATCTGATGCAGTTCGTTTAGCATGCACACCAAGACAGCAATTCATTTATGTGTCTTGTTAAAGCACATGGTACTGAGACGTATCCATGAATCCGGTGGACATTTAAGATACCGTGGAATAACTCAGTCTGGCTAAGGGCTATGGCAGTTGTAGTACACAAGATTGTCAGTGCATAACCTTAAATATAACTAATAATCCTAAACTACAAATATATAAATTTCCTTTCAACTGGTCCTGAGAAAAGTTAAAAATGAAAAAAGTTAAGGAAGGAACGATAAGTGACCACATATCCAGGAAGAAAGCTTTCAATATGATATCCCAGTATGATTGTAAAATCTAGCACAATAATTATAGTAACTAGATGCGTTGTTAAAATACATATAGTACAGCATAGGCTGCCCAATGGCTGTAGAACATGGTGGACTCTCCTGTAGCATCCTATGTAGACACACACCCCAAAAACAGACTATTTCTTCAATTTACCATAGTTTCACATATGTTATGGGGTGTGTTATGTATTGTGTTTAGACAACTCTAAGTAGATAGTATGACTTTGGTGAATTCACATTGGTGAATTGGCAAGTAAACTGGATCATTTAGGTTAAACTGCACTAGGAAAAGCTTTAACTCAATTGAGATTATTTTTTTTTATATATACTCATCTATTTGGGCCTACATTTTATGAATAAACCCATTGTGGCCTTATCACATTTTTAATTCAAACACTAACAGTTTTTTATATGTATGTGCGAAAGATAGATATGTATATGATTTTAATTTGGTTTACATGGTGGCGTCTAGTCACCAATCCCCCTAGTTTAGCGTAAATGCAGAAGTATTGCCGTAGCTAATTTAATAGTTACATATATCCATGACTTATGCAGATACATCTCCTTAATTTTATTTTATTTTTATGTATTATTCTTTCTTTCATGAATTTAATAGACTATAAATTGGTGCTGTTTAAATATAGAAAATCCTGCTCTTTGGTTAGTACATATCCGATAAAATGTGCCCAGTTATAAATGTAGGTAGTGACTGGCAAGTGGTCCATGGGAATAGTAGTTCTCAAACATCACAAAGTCTGGCATTTGACATCTCTATATTAAAAGGTTTACTCATACAACAGTGAATAACAGTGTTACAAAAAATGTTGGACAGATTGATTCTCCAAGTTGGGAGTTCTTTCAAAATGTGGGTATGTTCGTCAAATGGAAATAACCTGATAATTTGTGAATAAACCCCTATTGGGAATCTTAATTTGCATTTTCAACTTCTTTCATAGAACTGATATACATGGATTTCAGAGGGATTGGGGGTCAAGAGGCAACATTAGAACATTATCTCATATGCGGTCAACTTATGAGAAAGGTGATATCTAGACTCTATATAAGGGTTAGGCAACCTTTTAGTAGTACTGAGCCAAAACAAGATCTTGAATTCCCTTGGTGTGACGGTTCTATTTTTTAAAAATTGAGGTGTGTATGTTGCCATATTCTGCTTATGTTATTTATGGGTACTACAGTTGCTTTGTAACTTTGTAATTGTGCGAATGTGAGCTATTCGTGAGTAGTTTGTGGTATTGTATGTAACATCTATGAATGTGGGCTGTGTACGGGTGCTACTTGTGGAATTGTGTGTGGATGATATGTCACATTGTGTGTTTGGTGGTGTGTGGGGGGGGGGCTGCTTATGGTATTGCATGTGAGAGGCTGCTTTTGGGGTTGTGTACATGTATGTGGATTGTCAGTGGTATTGCGTTTTTGGAGATTCTGTGTATGTTTGTTTGTGGGCTGAATGTATGATTTGTATAAGATAGACATCTTATGCAGCTCTATGTATATCTAGCAGTGTGGGTGACTTCCCCCTGGACGCGGCTGGCCAGGTACAGGTCATGGGCAGGAGTTCCGATAGCTTTACTCTAGTGCAGATTACCATTCACAAGTGCTGGGAGGAAGTGATCTGAGATCAATTCCTCTAAGTGTGCAATTAGTGCATTGAGGATAGCCTCTCACCACCTGCAATCACCTCTTGGTTTACACTAGTAGATATTGGAAGTACCGCTGGGACTCCCGATAGGCCAGAGTCATGGGCTGCTGACTCATATGTCTATTCTAAAAATAAATAAATACATAGATACATGCATACATATATAAATACACAGATATATTTTAAAAATGATTAACAATCCTTATTCCAACATCAAAGTGATAAATCGAAATCAGAAAGTAAACATAAATCAACTTGAATGGGCTTCAGGATGTTAACACAAGAAAAAAGTAGAATTTAAAATAGTTCTTCTTATGAAAATACAATATTAATAATTTTGAATCCTGCATCTATAATTCTAAGTAAATAAGTATTAAATAAAGCGTTACCACTCCAACATTCTCTTGAATTAAGGTACTGGCACTTAAGGGGTTAAAGTGAAACCTGTGATTATGCAAATAAATATCAGTCCACTCTTAGTATGTCAATCACTATGAAGCTGCACGCTGCTGAGATTTACCTTTTACAGATTTATAGCGATGAGGTTTGGTCCCATATAAAACCACTGGGCATGTTCTTGGCTTAGATATATTCCAGTGCGTGTGCTCAGGCTGCCGGAGCTGCGGGAGGTTAAAGTGCTTGGTGTGAAATAGTTGATCACTTTTTCAGTGACTGACTACCTTCCCTCTGTAACTGCAAACTGAAATGTTTGGCCTCACGGCTTTGCTTCTGATGTGTCTCCCTTAGAGCTAGTGTTAAAGGCGTTTCCATCTCAGTGACAAGGAATTTATAAAATGCACCCAAACTTGAAAACCAGGAACAAGAAGCAAGGTTCTACTGGGTTCGCGTCTTGCTGAACAATGAAGAAGCAACGTTTACTTTAAAAAATCTTTTGTTGCAAACACAACAAACTCACAGTAGTTAACTGTTCAGCAAGAATAAAGCTAGTGTGTCCGGTCTGATCATAAGGCGATCACTCAATACTCGTCTTGGCTAACAGAAAGGAAAAATCTTGTGGGCTAAATCAGGTTATCCATCGGGTTCATTTTTGGGAAGTGTCACTGACTGGAAGGAAGGAGAAAACATGCAGACATGCTTCAAGTAGAGGCCACAGGATGATTAACATTCACTATAGCAATATGTGTCAGGAAAAAAGAATTTGTGAACTAAAGGGGTATTGCTTGGATTAAAATGTGAATAAAAAAAGATAGATATTACCATATTTATTAAGGTGATTCTAAATCAAATCAAATAAAATGTAAGATGATTACTGATACACAATGATATTATTTGAAATTAGAGGAAGTAAGACTGAAGGATATAGTGTAAAATTACAACTTTGAGAAATAGTAGTAGATACCTGGAGGTGTCTTCCAGCTGAAGTGTTATGAGCTCTATAAAGAATTCAGTGCATTTCTTTGCAGTAATGTTTTGTTTCTTCAATGGGCAACGCCAGATTTACCATTAGGCAGAGAAGGTACCAGCTTATAGGCTCCTATACTGTAGGGGGTGCATGTTTTGAGCAGTTAATGTGCCTTTTTGGAGGTTAAAAGCTCTGATGCAGAGACACAAGTACCAGAAGCCCTGGTCAATGTCCTCCATAGCCAGCCTCATCTGTTTTTTTGTACATATGTTTGTGTATGTGTATCTGTGTGTGTGTCAGCATATGTATTTATCTGTGTTTGTGTGGAAGTGTATTTGTGTCAATATGTGTGTGTATCTTTGTGTGTTAATATGTGTGTTTATCTGTGTGGCTGTGTGTGTATCTTTGTGTGTGTGGCAATGCATGTGTATGTGTGCATACATCTGAGCATTGGATAGGGGGTTGTAACCTCTAACCCTAATGCTCCAAACCCTCCAAGCTGTTATGCATAACTGTTTGTGAAATGGATTTGTGAACACATCGTTTTAATATCACAAAGTTAGAATTTGTATATTTGTATTACAAGTCAATGACAAATTATCTTATAATATAGTCATTGTTTATACATGTGTATTTAAAGGAACAATACGATGTTAAAAATAAACATATTCTATTTTAACTTTGGGGTGTTCCTTTTTGGTTTTAGATATAGGACCCCCCTCCTCTTTGCCTCACCGTTCCTCTATCTCAGATTAATCTTGATGATCTCACGTCCAATCCAAAGCTTCTCATAAAGAAGGATTCAGAAATTCCCTGAGTCCGTCAACAGAATTAATAAAATAATAGGCCACATCCTGAGAGCCGCCACTTTGTACTTACCTAGGTACTGGAAAACTAAACATACTCCTTCAATTAAAGAAGTGCTAAAGCTGGCTATAGACAATAAGTCTCACGAACTGTCACACAGAAACAACTCACACATCTTTGCTACACTAAAATTCCATTGGGATTAATGGTAAATTGAAATTAAACAAGTTTATAATTTGTAAGACTTGCTTTCTAACTGTACAGTATTTGTAGTTTACATGCCTTGTACATTATTTATTGATTGTAACATTGGATGGACCTCCCCTTTCCTCTGTCCAAGTTTCCCCTTCCTTTCCCCTCCTTTATTATACTGTTCTTATAATTCGTTTTAAAATTTGCAAAACTTTCAATAAAAACTATTTGAAAAGAAGGATTCAGGACCTGATGCCTTTCACTTTAAACAGTTGAGCATAGTGGAAGTGCTATAGTGGACTGTTGTGTCCCTTTAAAAAAACATAACTACTACAGTGTACTGTAGTTATTATGATGTCAGAAGTGCCCTGGCACACCCCAATGAAAGTAGTCAATCTGTTTGGTAATGGTTAGACCTTTGACCTGCAGTCCACCAGGCCTTGTTCCCTGTCCCGCAGCCAGAAGGCTAAGCCCTCGGGATGCAGGGGTGTGTTCATTGTCTGAGGGAAATCAGCTGACTCTCTCATACAGTGAGCTAATCCTGCACATCCCGGGTCAGCTCAAGAGTGAGCATGGAAGCTCTCACTTAGCTTAGGAATGGGCACGGAAGCTCTCACTTAGCTCAGGAATGAGCATGGAAGCTCTCACTTAGCTCAGGAATGAGCACGGAAGCTCTCACTTTGCTCAGGAGTGCACACTGAAGCTCTCGGAAGCTCTCACTTAGCACAGGAATGAGCACGGAAGCTCTCACTTAGCTCAGGAGTGCGCATGGAAGCTCTCACTTAGCTCATGAATGCACACGGAAGCTCTCACTTAGCTCAGGAGTGTGCACAGAAGCTTTCACTTAGCTCAGGAGTGTGCATGGAAGCTCTCACTTAGCTCAGGAGTGCGCACAGTAGTTCTCAGAAGCTCTCACTTAGTTTAGGAATGAGCATGGAAGCTCTCACTTAGCTCAGGAATGAGCACGGAAGCTCTCACTTAGCTCAGGAGTGTGCACAGAAGCTCTCACTTAGCTCAGGAATGAGCACGGAAGCTCTCACTTAGCTCAGGAATGAGCACGGAAGCTCTCACTTAGCTCAGGAGTGTGCACGGAAGCTCTCACTTAGCTCAGGAATGAGCACGTAAGCTCTCACTTAGCTCAGGAGTGTGCACGGAAGCTCTCACTTAGCTCAGGAATGAGCATGGAAGCTCTCACTTAGCTCAGGAGTGTGCACGGAAGCTCTAATTAGCTCAGGAGTGTGCACGGAAGCTCTCACTTAGCTCAGGAGTACACACGGAAGCTCTCACTTGTAGCTAAGAGAAGATGGGAAGCAGTGTCCAGTTGACCACAGGTAAGAAGTCAAAACATTTCCAAACAGTATAAAATTAATGCTATATTATGGTTCTGGAAACTTCCATAGACTGCTCAACCTCTGGACTTAGTCTTTATAAATTCCCTCAATAGCATTACTTTATTGTTATGTATTATATTATATGCGTTACGTCCACTGCAGAAGTGCAGAAGTCTTCCTCATTATTTGAGTTGCCAAATAATACAAGGCAGAATACAAGGCAATGTCCCCCATATCTTCATTGCAGTAGAACTTCTAAAATGAGCTGTTTGCGGCTCTTAGAGCGTGTGATTGTAAGCGTGAGTGAATATTTACACTATCATAGCAGTGTTGCATTCAAAGAATCAGCACTCTTGAAACTTATGTTAAAGTGGGTTTTGTAAGGCGCTTTTTGCCAATTAACGTGCGATTATGCATGTGGATTATAATTGTACTTAAATAAAATCTTAAAGCGACTCTATCACCTAACACTTACCATTCTACTGTTGTTTCCATTTCCTCTTTCAAAATCTGTTTTTCTTTGCTTCATTTTTGATCAATTTCTCTTTAAAACATAAAGAGAACATTTGCCCTTGGTTGGTTTGAACAAACATTTGCCCTTGGCTGGTTTGACAAAGGAAGTGAAGCCTTAAGCTCCACCCTTTTGTCACATTTGTCAGACGTTGGAAAATTACACAAGACAAAATAGTGCCTACTTTGTCTTATGTTTTAAAGAGAACTAGATCAGAAATGAAGAAAAGAGGTAAGAAAAAGGTAAGTTTGATGTGACAGAGCCACTATATTATTTTCACTAATTTTACATGTTGATATTTTTTTTAATGTAAATCATTACTTTTATGGATACAATGTTAATGGAGCTTGGCAGGAAGACTGAGCCGTAAACAACTAATTTGATACAGTTTTTTGCAATTAAATTTCCAACATCATTATTTTTTCAATGTTAAATATCTTTTTGAAAGAAATATTTTTCTATAAAATATTTTTTTTACATTAGAAGTCCAAGGCCTCTAGGGACTGCTGTCATCTGCTAAGCGAGTGCAAAAGGGGCCACCTAAAAGAGAGATATGCTTTTATATTTATTAAAACTCTCACTCTTTTTTTTATTTTTAATATTTTTATGTTTACATTTTTTTGTATGGTCTGCCAGGCATATAATTAAATTGTCATCCTTTAGAAGTTGTTATAGTGCCTACAATAGTACCCCCTTAAATTTGCCCCTAATATATATCCTGAGGAAGACCCGAACGGGTCAAAACGTTGATCAAACAACCTGTAAACCTTTAATGGATTAAAGACCGTTAATATTCTATTTATTATCAATAAAAAGGCTTGGATACACAGCTCTGGATAGAAGGGTGGGGAGCGTGGTTTGACTTCCGACCGTGATGGCCTTATAGCTCCAGAGCTCTGCACCAAACGCTCACAAAACTGCCTTGTTTCAGCATAATCTTGCACAAAAAGGTCAGAGACCCACCCCTGAGTTGACCCACATAACAAAGAGAGACCGGGTACTGATAACCATCCGGAAAACAGCCAAAAGAGCCACAAAGAAATGCCATCAGTGGCAGACATGCTTAACTCGCAGAGGCCTGCAGCACATGGCGTGCAAGGGAATGACAGCCCCACTAGGCCACACTCACCAAGCACTGCCGGAGCGCCTGGACCCACCTGCAAACCGCCAGAAAGCTCTTCCAGCGAAATACTGCAATCACTGGGACCAGACGGGTTCGATGGCACCTATTACAAGAAGGACTTGGTGCCCCATCTGACCAACATGTATAAAACATAGATGGAGGGAGAGGCAGCAAACCCTGACCTTGCCATTGCAGATATAGCCCTAATCTCTAAACCGGGTAGAGATGGGACTAATGTCCCAAATAATTATCTCCCCATATCCCTCATAAATTATGACCTGAAAGTCTATGCTAGCCACCCGCTTAAATCCACTCATCACTAAATATATTCACGCAGACCAAGTGGGCTTTGTTTCCACACGACAACTATATGAAAACACACGTAGGGCTGTGGACCTGATATGGTGGGTGGGGAGGTCTCGGACGCCCGAGGTCCTTTCCCTGGACACAGAGAAGACGTTCGACAGAGTCCATTGGCACTACATCTTCAGACTCCTGTCAGAGATAGGATTGCCAGCGGCCTTCGTCAGTGCGAAACAAGCACCTTACACAAACCCCAGGGTGCAAACAATACTGCCTGGAGCCACCACGAAGTCCTTTGACCTAAAACCGGCACACGCCAGTGCTGCCCACTATCCCCACTCTTGTTTATCCTGGTCCTGGAGCCATAAAGGGATTCGGCAACACCTCAGAAGTTGTGAGGTCAGGTATAGTATACCTTTTGAAAATTTCATATAAAAGAGTTTTTATTTCCAGGTTTAGCAATGCACCTACCACTCTCCTGGAGAGGTACATGCACACTGGACCTGCCCACTCTGATGAAAAATTTTATCATGCAGTTGAACACACGACTGCTGTGCAAGCGCTTCTACACTGTGAAACCGATTGAAACTCTGTACCTCTGCCAATTCATTATGCTTTCACTGTATACTATATTTGCTGAATGCCTTGTCTCAATCGCCATTGAGGAGCCATGTGACCTTTGAATCTGCCAGTTAGATCTGGAATTGTCACTAATTAGACCAGGCAACTTTTGTCTCTTATTTGCCAGTTTGAATGATCACATGAACACTGTAATCTTATCTAACTATTCTTGGCTGACAAGGAATGAAACCTGGCATGTTTTTCTGATGTCGGCCCTACAGAACACAATGGGCACTCACAGATGTTCTTCTGCACTACACTGTTGTGAAGAATGGATAAGTACATATGGTATGTCAGCTTTAACAATCTCCTATCACCTCTCATTATTGACATGGTGTTTTCACCCATGGACCTGTCACTCTCTGAGTTATATATATTTACTAAACAATTTTCTTTGAAATGTATTGATTGTAATTCTCTATCTGCATAGACCATATATTGAAAAATACCAGTAAGTCAGCTGTTGTGGAGAGAATGAAAAACGCTTATCTAGTACCAAGAATAACACCTCGTCAGTCTCCATTTTTTAATGTTTGGCAGAATATCTAAACCTCTTTACCATGTCTATATGCATTATATATTGATTGCTGCCACATAATTTTCAGTTTTTTTTACAGTAATGATAAAATGGATCCAATAAAGTTGCTACAGAGGGTGTTTACATTGTCTATATGTATATTAAAATCAGTTCATTCTAATTACTTTATTGAATATCCTAAAAGAAAACTCCAATCACCATAACCACTATAGCAGCTGTAATGGTTACGGTGCCAGAAGTTCCTTGATACGCTACAAGAATAATTTGTCAAAGTGACCGCAGTCCTGCATATGGATGCTCAACAGAAGTAGAATTACAACAGAAGTAAAATTCTTCCCTCTTTCACTGTGTGCTCCCTCCCACCTCTCTCTGCTAATTAAATAGGTTTCTTGTTATTTTTTAAAGCTAAAAAGGTTAAATTCACTAAATATTCAGTTTAGTGAATAACCCTGTTAATGTTGTGAAAGAAAATACTCACTTTTTCCATTACAAAAACCATTGTTATCCTACGCATCTTCCATATGTAGATGGAATGTCTACCTGTTCCATTGACATTTGTTGTTTTGTAGATTGAATACCCACCTCACTGACCTATTCCCTATTCAACTGTTTCCTATTCTATATGTAAGAAGATAAATGATTAAACCTACATTTGTTGACAGTTTCAAACCAGGACAAATGTGACTCATTATGCTCGGAATATTCAAGAATATTCAATTGCTTTATATTTTTATGGGCTTAAGAGCATTTTGGAACTGTAATAACTTGAAATTGTTCTCTTTATCAAGAACATTTCTACCCATAATGAAAGCAGAATATCACAGATGAGATGTGAGTTAGATTATCATACCATACACTGATTAGCTACAGCATTAAAACCACTGACAGGTGAAGTAAATAACATTGATTATATAATTACAATGGCACCTGTCAAGGGGAGGGATATATTAGGCAGCAAATGAACAGTCAGTTCTCGAATTTCATGTGTTGGAAGCAGGTTTAATGGGCAAATGATAGGATCTGAGTGAGTTTGACATGGGCCAAATAGTGATGGCTTGTTGGTTGGCTCAGAGCATCTTCGAAATCTCAAGTTTCGTAGGTTGTTACCGGCATGCAGTAGCTAGTACATACCAAACGTGGTGCAAGGAAGGACAACCAGTGAACCAGCGTCAGCCAAAGGCTTGATGCATGTGGGGAGCAAAGGCTAGCCTATCTGGCTTGATCACACAGAATAGCTAGTGTAGCTCAAATTTATTTTATAACTTTATGCTGGCCATGATAGAAAGGTGTCAGAACACACAGTTTGCTGCTTAAGACTGTTCAGAGTGCCAATGATGACCACTGTTCACTGCCGAAAGCACCTTCAATGGGGACGTGTTGCAGAACTGGACCATGAAACAGTGGAAGAAGGTTGCATGGTCTGATGAACCAGGTTTTATTTTAGATCATATGGATTACTGGATGCATGAACGTTGTTTGCCTGGGGAAGAGATGGCAGCAGGAAGAAGGCAGGCCCACGGAGGCAGTGTTATGCTCTGGACAATGTTTTCCTGGGAAACCTTGGGTCTTGACATTCATGTGTATGTTACTTTGACACGTATGACCTACCTAGTTATTGTTGGCGACCACATTTGGCAATGATGTTCCCTGATGGCAGTGGTCTCTTTCAACAGCATAAAGCACCGTGCCACACTACAAAATCATTTCAGGAATCGTTTGAGGAAAAAGACAAAGAGTTCAAGGTGCTGCCTTCAAATTCCCTAGATCTCTATACAATTGAGTATCTGTGGGATGTGCTGGAACAAAAAATCTGATCCATGGTGGCCACACCTTCCACCTTGCAGGACTTAAAGGATCCACTGCTAATTTCTTGGTGCTAGATACCACAGGACACAAGGTCTTGTGGAGTCCATGCCTCGACTCCTCAGAGCTGTTTTGGCAGTAAGAGGGGGACCTACACAATGTTAGACGGTTTAAATGTTGTCGCTGATCATAGATATGTCAAGAGGCTCATAATAAAAGTGATTCAGTGTTTGGATAAGACAATGCAAAATATATGAAGGTTCTAGAGGGGATAGGGGTAGTGTAATGAATAATATTGACAATCACAGTGGGTAGAGGTGGTAGATAAGAGTAATGTGAATTAATCGGTAAGGAGTGGGCAATGGTGAGATAGTGCCGTTTGCAGCCATGGAGAAGTGATGATACCCCCTCTCCTAGTCTGCCAGTAGTTTCCGTTAACCCACCACAAGCCTACCATTTAATTTTCCTAGTGACACCCCAGGCTTTCTCCTACACTCCCTATCTGCCTGCTGACCTCCCTAATCTCATTCCCTACTGCTTTCGAATTCCTCCCTGTATTTTGTATTTCTGATAAAATCAACAGCTTCCTGCCAAATCTCTTTAGTTCCTTCAATACGTAATCTTAGTAGTCTCACCATCCTGGCCTCTAAGCTCCCTATATTCAATCTCATCCACACTCAGATGTCTGGAAGCTATAAATTCATATTTGCTAGTATTGGTGACCCAAGGCTTGGAACTATTTCTATTTTTCAGGTTATATTTTCTATATTTTGTCTTGTTGAATATCTTCTCAGGGTTAGAAGGCCACTTGACCTGTAATGCAGTAATTGAAGTTTTAGAATTCTTTTCTTTCATAGTTTTCCGTTCTAATACTCTTCCCATTCCGTCTGTTGTACCAGGTTGCTAAGTAGCTTTTGCAGTAGCCTCCAAATCTGCAGACTGGATAGACATTGTTCATTTTTTAACTTGACATTTATATTATATTGAAGTGGAGATTTTATTTCAGTTGTATTAACCTAATTATGGTATGTACGATTTCTTTGGAGATATTTTGTTAGTTATACAATGTATCTGTATCTGTATAATTCAATAATTGTATGAATCCAAACATTTTTAAACACATTTCTGAGAGCAATCTTTTGATATCCATTTACATTCCTACAATATGGAGGTTATGATACCTTTGAACTGATTTCTAAATTTCTTTATTATCTATTTCTTCCATTTGTGGTCTATACATAAGATACACTGCAATCGTTTCATCCGGAATAATCAAAATTGTTCCCATACTTACCATCATTCTTTTCATATTTTATTTTCCTGATCAATTTCATGGTGCCATGAGATTGATCAGGCTTTTCTCTTATGAGGCTTAGAAGCTATTTACACAGATTGTCTGTTAGGGATTGGTCAGTTCTATCCATCAGAATTGTGTTTCCTGGTTGTTTTTTCTCCTTGGAGTGGGAGGAGCTACCCATTAGTTATCGTTGCCATAATAATTGGCCAGGAAAGGAAAATGACATTAAGCACAGAAATAAGTTTCTTTGGTATAATTTTGTATTTAGATATAATTGGCAAGTTTTATAACACTGAAAAGTTATTTGATCGATGCGCTAAAATAGCTGAATAATGTTATTCACAAACCAAAAACTGTGAAGAATTGCAACTTTTTGGCCAAAATGGTGAAATTAGAAAGCAAAATCTCTGATTATTTTCTAGCACATATATTTGTACTCTAGAATGTTCAATTCCATTTGAATTGTTTTTACGATCCTCGGTTTACTAAATAGCTCCATACATATTACATTAATGTAATTTAGATCTATACAACAGAAATGGATGACAGTAGTAATTAGAATTTTTTTTCATCTGACAACTAAAACTGGCAAATGTATATCTTTTTTTAAAACACAATTTGAATTGTTTCTCCTGTGGCAGAAGCCAACAGAAATATCTATTATATGATAAGACATTTTTGTCAGAGCAATATTTGAAAAATTTAGTGTATGATGGGAGTGGAGGCCTAGAAGTACGCAGCGGGCATATATTTCCACTGGTTCAAAGGCTGATACTGCATTATTAGAATGCACCAAATTCCAGGCTGTCATTATGATAAATAGAGTTGTCAAGGTTTTTGCTAAAGTGTTATATTTCCTATAACTAGTAAGTGCACAATCACATTGGTCCTATTATTATTATTATTATTTTATTATTTATATAGCGCCATCAGAATCCATAGCGCTGTACAATGGGTGGACTAACAGACATGTAATTGTAAGCAGACAACTGGACGTACAGGAACAGAGAGGTGGAGGGCCCTGCTCAATGAGCTAACATTCTAGAGGGAGTGGGATATAGTGACACAAAGGGTAAAAGTAGGGGTATGAAGTAGGGTGTATTCACTGAGGGCTTAGTAGGTAATTTTTGACAGCTGCAGGAGAGGAGTCATGGGGGGTGGAGGATAAAAACCTGCTAACAGTTTAATTGATATGCTTTCTTGAAAAAGTGAGTTTTCAATGATTTTTTGAAGGAGTGGAGACTGGGTGAAATTCTTACGGAGAAGGGAAGGGAGTTCCACAGAAGAGGTGCAGCCCTGAAGAAATATTGGAGGCGAGCGTTAGAGGTGGGAGTACGGACAGAGGATATACGTGGGTCTTTGGCAGAGCGTAGGGGCCTCGACGGGACATACTTGTGTATTAGGGAGGATAGGTAGTTTGGAGCAGCATTATGTAGGGACTTGTAAGCAAGCACCAGAATTTTAAATTGAGCCCTTTATCTAACTGGAAGCCAATGCAGGGACTGACAGAGCGGGGAGGCATGGGAGGTGCGAGGGGACAGGAAAATGAGCCTTGAGGCTGCATTAATTATAGATTGCAACGGTGCAATCTGGGAACACGTAAGACCACTGAGAAGAGTATTGCAGTAGTCCAGGCGAGAGAGAACAAGAGCATGGACCAGCACCTTAGCCGCAACCGGGGTTGAATAGGGGCGGATGCGTGCCATGTTTTTGAAATGGAAGCGACAGGATTTGGCGATTTATTGGACATGAGGGGTGAAGGAGAGGTTGGAGTCAAAAAGAACACCCAGGCAGCGAGCCTGCGAGGTAGAGGTGATGGTAGCGCTGTTGACTTGGAGGGAGACAGACACGGGAGTAGCAACACTTGAGGGAGGAAAGACCAGAAGTTCTGTTTTGGACAGGTTGAGTTTAAAGAAGTGAGCATCCATCCATTTGGAAATCGAAGAGAGGCAGTCAGAAACACGAGTCATAATGGGTGGAGAGAGCTCAGGAGAGGACAGGTAGATTTGCATGTCATCCGCATAGAAATGATAACTGAAGCCAAAGGAGCTGATGAGTTTACCAAGGGAGGCAGTGTAGATAGAGAACAGTAGGGGACCAAGGACAGAACCTTGGGGGACACTGAAATAGAGGGTTGGGGGGAAGAGGCAGAGTCAGAGAAAGAAACTCTGAAAGAGAGCTGGGAGAGGTAGGAGGAGCACCAGGAGAGAGCAGTATCCCGTAGACCAAAATTATGGAGAATGCGAAGAAGCTGTTGATGATCAACAGTGTCAAAGGCAGCAGAAAGATCAAGGTGCCCAGGCTGTGGGCACCAAATTCCTAGTCAAACCATTATTTTAGTGGTTAGACTGAAATGGGCGTTCTCTGAGCTGGCAGTGAAAACAATGTTACACTCAGCATTAGCTATATAAGTTTCCATAATGACAGCCTAGAATCTCTAGAATGCAAATTAACAGAATTGACATTACTAATGCAAAACTAGAAATCCTGCTTTAGTACTTTAACATGAATGGTTTGCCCACAGCCTACTAGCATTGACGCCATTACAACACATTGTAGTGGTTATGGTGCTTAGACTTGCTCCTTTAAATCCTTCAGGGCCGGACTGTTTTGGCCATGTTGTACGTTAAGGACCAGAGCTGTTTTAACACTTTTGTGGTGTTTGTGTTTAGTGTAATTTTCCGCTCTCTCATTTACTGTTCCCATACAAGTTATATATTGGGTTTTTTTCAGGACAAGAAGGGCTTTCTTCATCTACCATTATTTGTATCATGTCATATAATTTACTTTAAAAAAAATAGTAAAATATGGTGAAACATTTAAAGAAAAAAGTGTTTTTTTTTACTTTTGCTTAAAAAATATTTTACTTACCTACGAAAGCTAATGAAAAAACTGCTAAATAGATTCAAAATTTTGTCCTGAGTTTAAAAACATCCAGTGTTTACATACTTTTTTTTGCAAGTTATAGGGCTATAAGTACAAATAGGAAATTGCTGTTTCAAAATATATATTTTTAAGATGTATTAATAGTGACATTGTAACACTGTTATCTGTCATAAATCTCTAAATCACACCTCACATGTACATATTTTTTTAAAGTAGATAACCCAGGGTATTCAATATAGGGTATGTCCAGTCTTTTTTAGTACCCACTTAGTCACAAACACTGGCCAAAGTTAGCATTAATATTTGTTTGTTTGTTAAAAATTCAAAAAACTATTATGAACGCTAACTTTGGCCAGTGTTTGTGACTAAGTGGCTACTAAAAAAGACTGGACATACCCCATTTGCAATACCCTAGGTTGTCTTCTTTTGCAAATAATATGCCATCATGGGGGTAATTCTCATTCCTGGGCAACCATACGCTCTCAAAGGAAACATAACCAATCTGGCAAATTCAATGTAAAAAAAAAAGGAAAATCAAGCCTTATATTAGACCCTGTAACTTTCAAAAACACTACAACACCTTTAAATGGGGGGTACTGTTATACTCGGGAGACCTCGCTGAACACAAATATTAGTGTTTCAAAACAGTAAAACATATAACAACAATGATATCATTAGTGAAAGTGTAATTTGTGTGTAAAAAATGCAAAAAAAGGCACTTTCACTGACAATATCATTGCTGTGATATGTTTTACTGTTTTGAATCACTAATATTTGTGTACAGCGAGGTCTCCTGAGTCAAACAGTACCCCCCATGTACAGGTTTTAGGGTGTCATACAAAGTTACAGGGTAAAATACAGTGCTAGCAAATTAAATTATCTGGACTTTCGGCCTGGGTTGTCAGACAGGTCCTTCAAATTGCAATCATAAAAATTACTTAATTATGTAAAAATATTACATAAATATGCACGTAGAATTTTAATATATATACATATTTATATATTTGAAGTCTATGTGTATATTTATTATATTATTTATGAAATTTTGTATATATATATCCATATACAAAATGTCATAAATAATATCATAAATATATATATATATTCCGTATTTATTTATTTTTATTTATTTATATATACATATATATATATATATATATATAATTTCATTCTAAGTGTATTTTGATATCAATATATATATATATATATATATATATATATATAGAATAAAATTACATATACACCCTGTTCCAAATTATTATGCAAATTATATTTTTCTCATTTACCTAAATAATTGATGTAAATAACAGTCAGCATAATTCTCATGTTATCAACTATTAAGAGTACAATTTAAATAATGTGTGTATATGTATGGGGTCAGTGTGTGTGTATGTATGGGGGGCATTGTGTTTGTGGGAGAGGCAGTGTATGTGTATAGGGGCAGTGTGTGTATAGGGGGGAATTGTTGTGGATCTGTCGGGGTAGGAGGGGAGATTAATAAATCTAAACTTTTTTTTTTTTTTAATAAACATAAAATAAAAACATCTCTGGTGGAGAAGCCCTGGTTATCCAAGTAAATAGAGAGTGAGCTTTAGCCTGCAACTTCTGAGGCTAGAGTTCCCTCTCGCGAGATTCGGAGCATAGCCGTGGTAACCGCGGCAACACTCCGAGCTCGCGAGTGGAGAACCCAGTGGAGCTGCAGGTTAGAGCTCCCCGGGTCCTCTCTCCTTCACCAGGATTTCACTCCTAGCGGGCCGGTGAGGGAGATCTCTGATCTCCCCTCCGGTCCTGCAGAGCTGGCAGGGAAGAGCGAGGCATGGTTCCCAGTGTGAAAATCATATGATCATAGCACTGGGAAAACATTTTGCATCGCCCCTGTGTGCCCCTGGGGTGCCGCGGCACACAGTTTGGAAACCGCTGGGTTACACAGTTGAATATGCATTTTGTTTCCCCGCTCCCTCCCAATTAGATGCTTTTCTCCATATCAATACTGTATTGCTATGTTAAAAGACCTTGGATTAAATTGACCAGAAATAATTCCACAAACATGCTAGTGAAATTTGTTTACTACAGGGGTCTTGTATAGCCTTCATATATCATTCAAACAGGGCATTTAAGGCAGTCTCATGTAGTGCCTAACGGAGAAATTGATAACTTAACCCATGCCCTGCATTGTTTGAGGCTACCGATGCTGTCACTTGAGTTTCAGAGCTTCACAAACTATGGGACACCCTACAAATTATACCGGTACCTTTCAGTTATTGTGTTTATTGTTTCTATATTATATACTGAAAGTATATTCTGCTTTTTGACGTATAGATGTTGTCATCCTTGGTTTCTAGCATATAGCTCTTGTCATCCTTTGTTCTAAATTGTAGCCATCATCCTTGGTTCTAGCATCTAGCTCTTGTCATCCTTTGTTCTAAATTGTAGCACTCATCCTTGGTTCTAGCATCTAGCTCTTGTCATCCTTTGTTCTAAATTGTAGCCATCATCCTTGGTTCTAGCATCTAGCTCTTGTCATCCTTTGTTCTAAATTGTAGCACTCATCTTTGGCTCTAGCATCCAGCTCTTGACATCTTTGTCTCTAGATTCTAGCTCTTGACATACTTGGTTTTAATTTCTAGAACCCTCTGAACAACAAATGGCACACGATATTTCAAACTACAGAAAACAATAAAAAAAAATACTATAAATACTAAAAAAAGGTCACATACAACTCTCGAATGTCATTATCCATGTTTTCTTTTTTTGTTTTTTTTTAAAAGGATTGAAATGACTGTTATTTTTGCCTTGGTAAATAAATTACATGTTACACAATCCCACACGTCAGTGATCCACACCTTACTATAAATGTCACCTTGTAATGTTTTGGTACATTTAATGTTTGCTGGCTAATTGCAGTGCTACGGAATACTTTAAACTGGAATTCCCCCTCGCTTGCTGATAGTTTCAATACATTACATAACTAAATTAATTAGCACACGTAGAGTCAAATTCAAATTGTATGCTTGCAGACACGGAGTATTAAAAATATCCTTTGATCGCATGGCATGATTAGTCATTGGCAAAACATCTTTACAATGTCACTAAGATGCAAGACTAGATATTAGGGAATAATTAATTCTGGAATCTGCTGACTGGGTTTGTTCTTTTCGATGAACAGAGACAGAATTCAGGCTTCAACACACAGTATGTCATTTACATTCCAAATTGTCAGACATTTTAATAGAATTAATTGATGCTGTCCGAAAGGTGAACTCTATTCATAGGAATCTCAACTTTTTGGGAGCAATTAATTTTTTAATCTTGCAATGATGCTTCTGGATTTCAAAGATACCCACAAATAAGCAAATTACGTTTTGTTCTTTGTTTGTTTTGTCGTGACTTTGCCTTGTCTGAACTGCAGTATGATGTAATTTGCTACATTTTTAACATAAATTCAAAAGAATTTAGACAGAACATCTCATAAAAAAGACAAACAGAAGTTACAGGAGATTTTTTATTCAATTACATAAATTTCCAGAGAATTGACACTTCCCCTTTAAAGCCTATAAAGGTTTTGTAAACAGACGACTAACATAGTGGGGTTAATATTTTAGTTACATTATATGCTCATACATTACAAAAATCTGCTATTATTTACATGGAATCCTATTTTTGGCAGGTCCTACGCAATCCTAACAATGACTCATCTAACATTGACTCTCATGTATGAGATATTTCACTCTGCTATAATTAAGACATTCATTGCAGATTTTGTAGCCTGTGATGAATTTTGTATGTAGCACAGGGCTGTCAGTTTAAGTCAATGTTCACTAGATGTGGTAACAGCGTGATGCAAGAAAGATACAGTGGTATCTATTGACATGTGAAGCTCATTGATGTTTGGTTAATCTGAGAGTCGATCGCTTACAATGCACCTTGACTCGGAAACTTTAAAGGCAAGGAGTTTTCTTTAGGAAACAATTCCCACTGCACAAAAAGTTGTACATACTACAGACTGGGCTTTAAAAATAATCACTTGACATTTCATAGGGAGATATTGGCTCAAGATTAGTAAACATTTTCTTGTAATATTGTAAATAAGAATTGTAAAAAATTCCTAGCATCACATGGGCCAACACCCGGTACAATTATCTTGTAGTATTGCCACAGTTCTTGGACCTCTCTGTACCTGCAATGTATGGAGAAGGGAGAAAAGATGTAACCAGAATCAGGAGAGTGGGCATTTATTAGCCCTATTTTCAGATGAGAAGCCACAGTATGCTGAAAAATATGTACGTGCAAATGATAAAAAACCTCAAACGTTTATTGTGGAAAAAAGATAATAACCCTGAAATAACATGAGATGTAAGGGTATGCAACCTTAAAGGACCACTATAGTGCCAGGAAAACATACTCCTTTTTCTGGCACTATAGGGTCTCTAGGTCCCGCCCACCCTCAGGGCCCCCCTCCCGCCAGGCTCTAGGGGGTGGAAGGGGTTAAATTTACCTTTTTCCAGCGCCGGATGGGGAACTCTCCTCCTCCTCTCGTCCTCCATATCGCCGTCAGCGGCTGAATGCGCATGCGCGTCAGGAGCTGCACGGGCATTCAGCCAATCCATGGGAAAGCCTTCTCAATGCTTCCGCTGGCGTCTTCTAGCGCTTCTAGCGGCTGTCAATGAGATAGCCACTAGAGGCTGGATTAACCCTAAAGTAAACATAGCAGTTTCTCTGAAACTGCTATATTTACAGCAGGCAGGGTTAGCTGGATTTCATTAAGCTGAAGTGGTCTGGGTGCCTATAGTGGTCCTTTAATACAACAAACAATTTGGCATGCAACTTTTATTTAACATAGAATGTCCTGGCAAATTACCTTGATAACAAATATAATTCAGTGATATATGAACGGAGAAGGGGTAGATGCTCTAGACCAGAAGTAGGAAAACTTCAACACTCCAGATGTTGTGGACTTCATCTCCCTTGATGCTTTACCAGTATTTTAGCTGTAAGTGCATTATGGGAGATGTAGTCCACAACATCTGGAGTGCTGAAGGTGTGCAACCGCTACCTATACCATCAGTACATATTCTGCTGCACAGATAACGCCTAGTACATTAACCACATAGCATTCATAGAATGCATGCTGAAGACAGTACTGTAATCATCAGGTATTAACTGGGTCTGAAAGCACTCTGAGGACTCCATGCAAAGTTTCAGTGGAAGGGCCCCATACACATACTCACAGTACAGACACTGACCTATACACACACACTGATATACAGACACCGACCCATTCACACACTCACTGACACAGACATACAAACAGACAAACATGCACTGAGCCATTCACTAAGCTGGGAGATAAATGTGCAATTTAAAATATTGGGTCAAAATAGCCAATTAAAACAAATTCTCAGCTTGGCTCTTTAGGCATACTGTTTGCAATTCCCAGTAATCTTGCTAGCCACATTTACTCATCTAATCACTTATAACACCCCAGGCATTTTACACCCATCATTTCACTCCCACTCAGTAACACTAAAGTAACTACCCGCCCAATGTCACATGGGCACATTACCCCCAGGCTCACAAATTCCAAGTGCGTTTCGTGCAACACACATACCCATTTACACACAAGGGGTTGTGGGCTAGAGATGTTGCAGGGAAGGGGGAAAGGAGGTTATGCAGTTTTTATTTCCTAAACAGACAATCCCATGACACAGCTAACCTTATTCAGGCATAAAATTATGGGATATTTGTCCTCAACCATTTGTAATCTGTTGTTAATTATCATGACTAGTGACTGAATTTTGTTAAACAGCTGATGCACATAGAAAGAGCAGATGCAAAAAGGGGCAAGCAATGTGTCACTGAACCTTGGCTCACCCTTGTTGATGATCCACAATCATATGCAATTCACAATTTAGAATATAAACCTGTCTGAATGCAGCATTTATTCAAAGTTAAAATCTTTGTAGAAGTCCAGTTGGTCAGCTTTCTAACAGTGTTCAGTCAATAGGCAATCACTGGCGATTGGGTTTTGTAATATATGGGTGTGCTATTGAGTATTTGTTCGCATGATATAAATGTATGATAACCCTATGGCAAGCAACTGTGTTGGATCATTTTTCACTTTTTGTGTGCCTCAATTATGTTCAGCTGCAGAAAAAAATGCAGCTATTTTAGTCCTGTCCCCAGAGGGAAATAACATACATTGTGACCAAACCTAGCTCAATAAAGCTGACAATACAATTTATTATATTTTGAAAGTGATTGTAAGCGAATTGGAGTTGCAGAATGCACTTGCACGGTGGGCTTGCTAGAAATATGATTTTTTATTTATTTTTTATGGTGCAGGCAGAAGGAATGGAAGCTTCTAATTAACCCCATAGACAAAATACATTATATCAGTTTGACAGCATGATAAATGAGTTTGTGGTTCCTCCTCCATCGCCTGGTCAAGACTTCATGACATAGATCATTTGTGTTATAAGTAGCTTCAACAGCCTTCACGATAGTACAAGTTGTACAGGGCAGGCAACTGTACATTAAAAAGTCAGCTACCAGCTATGTGCGCATGTGCATTAGGTCTCCCCCGCTGGCTGACGACAGCGTGGGGTGAGTGTGGGCGGAGCCTGACCCAGCACAAATGGACATTGACACTGGATTCAGGTAAGTGACTAAAGGGGTTTTAACACCTTCAGCCCCGCAGGACGGGGGGGCACTAGGTAGGGGGACACCTATAATGCCAGGAAAACGGCTTTGTTTTCCTGGCACTATAGGATCTCTTTAAGCCTTTATTGTAAACTCCTCTAGCAACCTACTTTTTCATATATGAAAAACAGCTTAACCTTACTTCTTTTCATTTTACTCCACTCCCTCAAGAATGTGAGCTTGTTTGAGCTGGTCCGTCAGCACCTTCTATTCCTGTAAGTCCAACTTTATAATTTATAATACTAAAAATATTACCCTTATCAGAGTGAACCAAAAAAACAAAAAACTGAAAATGTGGTTACTCTTTTTTATTTGGAGACAGGATGGAGACATTGCATATTTATTCTGTACACAACAGAGATAAAGGGTCGAAAGGTGATTGTAGGTGTGGCATTTGCCCTAGGGAGTTTGTTGTTGTTGTTTCTCATTGACAAGCAAATAAATGTGTCAATGCCAGACAACCAAGTCATTATACACGAGGAAAAATTGCTAACAAAATATAAAAAAAACCAAGTTTTAAAGTGTGTCAAAATCTTTCACGTGGCAAGATTTCATTGGTGAACTTCGCAATAGCAACCAATTTACAAGTCCACAGAAAATCACTGTAGGGAGCGAGAGATGAGGGTGTGCTAACCAAGGTACCTCTTGCTTCCGCCCTTCCTACAAATACTCAGACATAGGTACTGTCTCCTCTAGCTGTAATGGATGTAGGATGCTGCATTAACATGTCTTTTATTTGACCCAAAGTCCAAGCTTCTTTTTGATGCTTGCCTCCTGAGAAGTTTACGGAACTTCACATTCTAAGCATTGGTGTTCTGAAGACCTTTCATGGTTTTAGTACTTTATATAAATTTCCTTATGTGTATAATAATGGTTTTCTGGTTTTGACTTGGCTTTGAAAATATTTGAATCATGCCTTGCCATTCTAAGCCTTAGTAACGTCTGTCTCTATTACCTTTACTACTCTATTTGTGCTCTGGGAACTAATCTATACTTTTCTTATTGGATTCATAAACAACTTGACATTGCCATTGAGAAGAAGTTGTTGAAGTTAATCAATTCAAATTCAATGTGCTGGAGTACAAAGTGTCAGGATTACAGAATGATCCAGCACGTAGAATTGTGTAACACAGAGGACTGATAGGTAACGTATACCGGACCTTAGAATTGCTGGACTAACGTACCAAAGGACAGTCAGGAATAGCCGAGGTCAAGGGAAACAGAAAGAGACACAACGATAAGGAAAAGCCAGGAGTCAGGGATGCCAGAAAACAGGGAAGTCAAAAACAATGCCAAAGTCAAACAACAAGAATCAATAACGCGCTCTCGGACAACCTCAAGGGAAACCACGACAGTGCACTGAGCAGGATGAGAACTGGGCCTAAATACCCCTCCTCTAGGTCTGATAGGCTGTAGCCGGCCATTGACCCCAAAGGCAGTTACCAGATCCCATTTGCATAATTGCTGCTCAGCATTAACCCTTCTGTGGATTAGGTTGTTGCTCGGCACAACTTTTCCTGTGTAGACAGTAAATGTCATTAACCACATTTTTGTAAGCAGATGAATACGTGACATTACCCCCCCCACCTGAAGAACACCCACCGGGTGGGCAGGGCCAGGTTTGAGAGAAAATTTGGCTTGAAAATAGCAAATCTTGCGACCAGCATGTATATCAGATACCAGAACCCAAGAACGATCGGATGGTCCATAACCTTTCCAATCCACCAAGTACTGTAAAGTGCCCTGAGAAAACCTGGAATCAGTTATGGAGGAGACCTCCTACTCTTCCTGTCCAGAAACAACTAAGGGAGGAGGAGGGACACTTGAGACATTGCAAGAGGTTTGAGCAAGTACACATGAAAGGTATTAGGAATTTTCAAGGAGGCCGGAAGGGCCAGAGAGTACGCAACAGGATTGATCCTATGAAGGATACGAAAAGGTCCAAGGAACCTAGGAGCAAATTTCATGCTAGGGACTTTGAGCCTGATGTTACGAGAAGATAACCAAACCCTCTCACCCACTTGGTAAACAGGGTTGCCACCTTGACGTTTATCAGCAAAATGCTTGAAACGGTCGGCAGCAGTACCCAGAGCAGATTGAACTTTAACCCAGGTATCACGGATGGAAGCCAGACGGTCATCCAAAGCAGGAATAGCCGTGTCAGAAAAAACAGCCGGTAGGACAGTAGGATGCCGGCCATTATTAACAAAAAATGGACTATGCCCAGAGGAGTCATGGTCAGCATTGTTCCTAGCAAACTCGGCCCATGGTGATAATTCAGACCAATTGTCTTGAGTGCTATTAACGAAACAACGCAAGTATAACTCCAAAGACTGGTTAGCCTTCTCAGCTGTACCATTAGTCTGGGGGTGGTAAGAGGATGAAAAAGACAATTCAATCCCCAATTTCTTATTGAAAGCCCTCCAAAACCTTTATCAGATACAATATTGTGAGGAATGCCATGCAGACGGACAATCTCACGTATAAAGATCAGTACCAGGTCTTAAGATGACAGTAATTTCTTGAGAGGGATGAAGTGAGCCATTTTAGAAAAACGGTCAACAACCATGAGAATAGTGGTATAACCATTAGAACTAGGAAGCTCTACAAATCCATAGACAAGTGGGACCATGGGACATCATGAACGGGAAGAGGTTGTAACAAGCCACAAGGGAGTTTATGAGGTACTTTGGAAACCGCACAAACAGAACAAGCCTGCACATACTCCTTAACATCCTTCCTGAGGGAATCCCACCAGAATGACCTCATAATAGCAGAAGTGGATTTATTAATACCTGGGTGACCAGCAGACACATTGTTGTGAAACACCTTCATGATATTAACCCTTTCCCCCAATGGAACGAACAATTTGTCCTGAGGTTTACCGCAGGGCGCCTGAGACTGAGCCTCTATGATGGAGCCAAGCAGTGGAGAGGACAATGAAAGGATAGTGGAAGCAATGATACATTCCGGGGGAATGATACAGGACTTTTCTTGCTCTTGTATAGACTCAGTATCAAACTGTCTGGATAAGGCGTCAGCCTTGACATTATTAGAACCAGGTCTATAAGTAATAAGAAAATTAAAGCGAGAAAGGAACAGAGACCACCTAGCTTGTCTAGAAGACAATCGTTTAGCATCTCCTATGTAGGCCAGGTTTTTGTGATCAGTAATGATCAAAAGGGGGTACTTGGAACCCTCTAAAAGATGTTGCCACTACTTGAGAGCTAGAATAATTGCCAACAAAAAAAACATAATTGCGCTCGGCAGGAGACAACTTTCTAGAGAAGTAACCACAAGGATGCAATGGAGTATCCTGGCTCTCCCTTTGGGAGAGAAGTTCCCCTACCCCTGTCTCTGATGCATCAACTTCTAGTATGAAAGGTTTACTGGTGTCAGGATGTATCAATATGTCGGCGGAGGCAAACCGCTGTTTGAGAGTTTCAAAGGCTTCTATAGCCTCCTTAGACCGTATCGTACTGCTAACCCCCTTGCATGTCATATTGGTGATGGGGGCTATTACTGAAGAAAATCCCTTTATAAACCTTCTGTAATAATTCGCAAAACCAATTAACCTTTGAATGGCTTTCAACCCAGTGGGTAAAGGCCATTGTAGAACCGATTCCAGCTTTTTAGAATCCATTTGAAACCCCGAGGCAGAGATATTATATCCCAAAAACTGTACTTCAGATTGGTCAAAGATGCATTTCTCTAATTTACAATAAAGTTGATTCTTTAACAAGGTCTGCAGAACTTGTCTGACGTGATCGTGGTGAGTATGAATGTCAGGAGAATAAATAAGGATATCATCCAGATAGACCAAGACAAACGAGTAAATGTAATCCCTGAGTACATCATTTATGAAATCTTGGAAAACCGCTGGAGCATTGCACAACCCGAATGGCATAGATATTCATAGTGTCCACTTCTGGTATTAAATGCAGTCTTCCACTTGTGGTTTTCCTTGATTCTCACTAAATTGTAAGCACTTCTAAGATCAAGCTTAGTAAATACTTTAGCACCTTGGAGTCTATCAAATAATTCAGCAATAAGAGGAATGGGGTAGGCGTTCTTAATAGTGATTTTGTTCAATGCCCTGTAATCTATACATGGGCGCAACTCACCGTCCTTTTTAGATAAAAAAAGTATCCTGCCCCAGCAGGCGAGGATGATTTTCATATGTGGCCTTTATTCAATGGATCCTTAATATATTCCTCCATTACTCTACTCTCCTGAGGTGACAGAGCATAAACTGCTCCCTTAAAGGACCACTCTAGGCACCCAGACCACTTCAGCTTATTGAAGTGGTCTGGGTGCCTGGTCCAGCTAGGGTTAACCCATTTTTTTTTATAAACATAGCAGTTTCAGAGAAACTGCTATGTTTATAAATGGGTTAAGCCTTCCTCTAAAGCGTCTAGCGGCTGTCTTATTGACAGCCGCTAGAGGCGCTTGCGTGATTCTCACTGTGAAAATCACAGTGAGAGCACGCAAGCGTACATAGGAAAGCATTGTAAATGCTTTCCTATGCGAACGGCAGAATGCGCGCGCACGCATTCAGCCGAATGGGCGGAGAGGAGGAGGATCGGAAGAGGAGAGCTCCCCGCCTGGTGCTGGAAAAAGGTAAGTTTTAACCCTTTTCCCCTTTCCAGAGCCGGGCGGGAGGGGGTCCCTGAGGGTGGGGGCACCCTCAGGGCACTATAGTGCCAGGAAAACGAGTATGTTTTCCTGGCACTATAGTGGTCCTTTAAGTGGCATAGCGCCGGGTAGTAAATTAATGGAACAGTCATAAGGTCTGTGAGGACGTAGAGTATTCGATTGAGTTTTGCTGAATACTTCTTTAATGTCTTGGTACTGTATAGGGATTTCCGGGTTTTGAGGTGTACTAGTGGGTAATCCAATAGTGCCCACTCTTTTGACAAGATTCAATATACACCTTTCATAACAATCCTTACCCCATTCTAATATTTCCCCATTAGCCCAGTCAATATGAGGGTTATGCTTGTTAAGCCAAGGAAAGTATAATATGATCAGACAGGAAGGGGATGCAATAACCTGAAATGTAATCTCTTCCTTATGTAAAGCACCAATGGACAAATTAATGGGTAAGGTTTTGTGTGTAATAAATGGTTGTGAGAGTGGTCTCCTATCTATAGCTTCAACAGCTAGGGGTGATAATCTCTCCTTGATAGGTATAGTATTACCTTTAACAAACGTCGATGAAGTTTCCAGCAGCACCTGAATCCATCAGGGCTTTGCATGAAAAGGTCTTATTTTCAAAGGCAATAGTAATATCAAGGAGAAACCTATTTTTATCCATTCCAGAGGACGTTTCCATTACACCTAAGACCTGTCCCCTTAAGGTGCGGTAGTTTTCCTGATGTATTGGACAATTGTTTCTCATATGTCCTTTTCTACCGCAGTATTGACATAGGCCTTCTTTTCTCCTATATTGTCTTTCTGCTTCAGACAGTCTAGTGCCCCCCAACTCCATGGGTTCAGGTTCAGACTGTACAGGAAATTCAGGGACAATAGGTTTGGAGAAGTGGGGTGCTAAAGGCATATTGATGTGTCTGGTTTCTAGTAGCTTCTCTGGTTCTTAATCTATTATCAATTTGCATGACAAAAGTAATAAATTCATTACGTTTTTTACGGGTAAGTCTTTGGCGGCAATCTCAACTAGCATAGTTTCAGATAGTCCATTTTTAAATGCAGAGATTAACCCACTATTAGTCCAGTCTACCTCGGAAGCTAGGGTACAAAATTCTATGGCATACTCTGAGATAGACCAGTTCCATTGTCTGATATGCATCAGGGCAGTAGAAGGGTCTAATGGTTCAACCGTAAGTTTAAATTCTGTAATAAACTCCTGGTAATTGTGTGCCACACTCCTATTACTCTCCCATAATGGATTGGCCCAAGCTAGAGCTTTACCTTTTAATTGATTCATCAGGTAACCAATTTTAGCTCTGTCTGTGGGAAAAGATCCCGATGAGGCCTCAAAATGATACTCTATTTGGTTAAGGAATCCCCGGCATTCTTGGAAATTACCATCAAAACGCAGAGGAGGAGATAGAGAGATAGTTGGTACCTTGTATACTATAGGCGGAGGTACACAAGGCGTAGGTGACATAGTAGGAGCAGCCGCAGGTTGCAGATGTGCTTTACGAGTAAGAAGCGTACTGAAAGCCTGGGCAAATTGATCCAAGCGGTGATCATTATCCTCCAGTTTCCTTTCGCAAGCAGCTATGTGCTTACACAATTCTACAGGATCTATGGTCATGTCGTAAGGTCAGGATTACAGAATGATCCAGCACGTAGAATTGTGTAACACAGAGGACTGATAAGTAACCTTAGAATGGCCAGACTAACGTACCAAAGAATAGTCGGGAATAGCCGAGGTCAAGGGGAACAGAAAGAGAGACAACGATAAGGAAAAGCCAGGAGTCAGGGATGCCAGAAAACAGAGAAGTCAAAAACAATGCCAAAGTCAAATAACCAGAATCAATAACGCGCTCTCAGACAACCACAGGGAAACCATGACAGGGCACTGAGCAGGATGAGAACTGGGCCTAAATACCCCTCCTCTAGGTCTGATAGGCTATAACCGGCCTTTGACCCCAAAGGCAGTTACCAGATCCTATTTGCATAATTGCTGCTCAGCATTAACCCTTCTGTGGATTAGGTTGTGCTCGGCACAACTTTTCCTGTGTGGACAGTAAATGTCATTAACCACATTTTTGTAAGCGGATGAATACGTGACACAAAGAAAATAGGAAAATAACCCCTTTCCTATACTCTATATTGAATGATGTACACACTTTTTTTTGTATACTCCAATCAAAGCATGTAAACAGGTCCTGCGTGACTGGAAATACATTTTACATAAATAGGAGGAAGAAACATTCTTAGAAAAACTATTTTAGAAGTGACAGTACAATAAATCATTTTTTATTCATTGTACTTTTCTGGGTTTCAAGCATCTAACTGGGAAAATAATTCTAAATATAGTCACACTGTGGAAACTATTTGCCTTGAAAATATATGTGGCATTAAAGATACATTTTCTTAATGCACCACATAAAGTTAGTTAAAAATAACATCACATTATAAAAGACCATATCTGGAACAATACTGCATTTGTAAGTATTGCTAATGGAGAAGGTTCCAATGTTGGTAAACTTGAGAAATGTAGGAGGAAAGCTACCTCAATTGCCATACATAGTTAAGTACGCTGAAAAGAGACGTGTCCTTCAAGTTCAGCCTCTCTCACATTTTATTTTAGCAGTTGATCCAAAAAGAAGGCAAAAAAAAAAAAAAACAGTTTGAAGCACTCCAAATTTTGCCACAAACTAGGAAATAATTCCTTGACACCAGAATAACAGTCAGATTTATCCTTGGATCAAGCAGCCATTACCCTACAATTGAAAAATTATTTCCTTGAATATGCATCTATTTGCTGTTAAACCATCTGTATGGACTCTGATAAAACCACTTCTTAAGGCAGAGAATTCAACATCCTTATTGTTCTTCCGGTAAAAAAATTAATTTTTCTTTACCTTAGACTAAATCTCCTTTCTTCCAGTCCAAACGCATGACCTTGTGTCCTATGTGTAGCAGTGTTAATTTTGGCGCCAAATTTCAATTTAGTTTTATTCCTGTAATTTAAAAAAACAAAACAGGGACCCAATATTGGATCATTATAGTGATCCTGTAATGGCAACTTCTGTGATAGAGGGGAGGTCATCTACACATTGCGCTAGCAAAATGTTTAGTAATGTATATCTTTTCTTTAAAAAAACAAACAAAAAAAAAAACATGTAAAGATATGGGCATGAAAGGTTTGTTCACAGAAGTACAGACATAGATAACACATTAAAAAAGTGTTTTTTTTTTAATGCCAAGATAAATAAGTCGAGATGTGTTAGTGTACATTTAAAATGGCTTAATCACATATGGACCAAAAAAATATGGTTTACTTAAAATGAACACTCTGCTAGTATGTCCTTGAGCACAAAGTAAGAGACCGCTTTAAAAACAAAAATCACTTTTACATTAAAACAGTGGTTCTTAAAGGGACACTAGTCACTGTTAAACATTTTGGCATAAATAACTGAAGTTTTAACATGCCGTACTCTGGATGTTTGCTTTTTTTGGGGGGTGGGGGGGAAGTGGGGTCGAACGCTCACAAAGTACAACTTCCAGAAACTCCTGCTCCATGAGGATTGGTTGATCATTTCCTTGTTTGGGAAAGTGCGAACATACAATATATGTAAAGGTTGGGAATTTACTGCGGATGTAACAACTAAAGGGACACTATAGGCATCCAGACCACTTCATCTCACTGAAGGTCTGGGTGCAGTGTCATTATCCCCTTAACCCTCCTTTGTAAAACATTGCAGGGTTGAGACAACCTCTAGTGGCTGTTACCCGTACAGCCACTAGAAGCGCTTCCCGGCTTCTCACAGAGTTTAACTCAATGAAACGGCATTGGGACATCCTCACACTTTGCATTGAGGACATCCAGTCTTCAAAATTGATTGAGTGCTTGCCTATGGAAAATCTGCAATGCGTGCGGCGCTCGATGGCAGCGCATGCAGTTCCCCAGTCGTCATGACGGCACTGGAGGAAGAGAACAATTCAGCACTTGGTGCTGGAAACAGTCAAGTGAAAAAAGGGTATTAATCTTTTACTCACCAAGGGGTCTGGGCCTTTATTTATAGGGAGAGGGACACTATAGCATTAGAAATATTATTTGTACTCCTAAGGTTATAGTGTTCCTCTTTACATTTTTTTTTTTATTCATCTCTAAGGTTTTTTTTTTTTTTGTTGGTTTGTTTTTTAAATACATTATGTATACAACGAATCAACAAAGAACATATCAATTTCCGCCTGGAATGTCCCTTAAACTCCTTGGACTCAAAATTGGGTGGGACAGGTGCATCATCCGAGGCATATAAACATAAATTGTGTAATAGAGCATATTGTCTAACAAAGGATCATATTACAATTTGGAAAAAAACAGGTTATTGATCAAATGTTTGCAAATAAAGAATGGGTTGCAAAGATAATAATGTATATTATTTTGGTCCCTGTCACAAACAAAAACTCAAGAACCACTGCACTAACAATCTAAAGTGTTGATAAAATATCTAGCAATATGAGTTTAATGTAGCAAGTGGTGCTGAATATAAAGGAAATTTCATATTTAAAACAGCCAAAACAGCCAAACTGAAAAAGATGACTTGGAGAATTTTTTACATTTGGCTGCAATTATAAAATCTAATTTGAATTCCTGGCAAATGACACTTTAGTAAATAATCCTGTATATGTTGAAATGCTTCAACAAGAAATATTCTATGGTTAAAAACGCATGGACACGTGGCAGCTATTTAAAATACCAACACTAATTAAAGAGCAAGTTTTACCCATTCAATTAGCACAAAAGTATGAAATACAAGCTAAATCCATTTAAATATTTTTTTTTTATAAATCTCAAATCTTAAAGGAACATATATGAAAAGTTAGAAAACACAGCTTTTTTTTTTTTAAATCTAAATACAATTCTAACCCCTAATTAAAGCAAATTATTTTAATTTAATTAAATGGAACACAGTTACAAGAATGAGAGCAGTGCAGATCTATCCAAGCAGCAAGAAAAACCAGTCCACGATTTAATAGGGAGAAAGCCAGAAATGGCTGACCTTTGGCACTGTAGCTGCTGTAGAATATGCTTCGCACATCTGTCTGGATGAACTTCACGCCACAAGCAGTCTCAAAGAGCTGCAATTCCAAAGGTTTGGGATCACTATTTAAAGATATTCAATGGCCAAAAAAAAGAGACTGATCATATAAATGTCATTCTGCATTTGTTAATGGTTTAGAGCCATATAATAGTGCAAAATAGTAGGAAAGTCAGGCATATCTTAAAAAAAATGTGAATATTAAGGGACAAAACCTTTCCCCAAATGATTTTTCCCAACAAATGGTGAGTTGATTTCGACAACTTTTCATAGTATACATCAACCGCTGTACATGTTTGTGATGTGCAGTAGATGTATACATGTGCTAACTTATACATGATGATAGGCCATGAATATTTGGGTAGCTCAATTTTAAACAAGTATCATGGGCATTATTTTTGGCTTGAGATATACCTAGACAGCCGTTCCCTTCTGCTACATAAATGATGAAATATTAAATTTGTATCGTTCTATTTGAGGACGGTGGGTGTTTTTATTAACTGAAAAAAATTAGAAACCAAAGTTTGCTCCCAGGTGTACATTGTCTCGTACTGAATATACCCTTAGTGTCAAGTAGATCTAGTTATATAATTGTTCATGAGTGTGACTCTCTTTTTCCATAATTCTTTTCATTATGTGTGCTTCAACTAAAATATTAGTCTGATGAGGCAGCTAAAGCTCTATAGGATTATGTACTATGGGACCTCAAACGCTGGCGATTTCAAAGCTACACTTACTCAGAATGGACCATTAAAGAGAGAGAAAGAGGATGCTGGTCAACCTGCAAATTCAGTCAGCACACCGTATCCTGAAAGAGACACATTTCTCTAACAGGGTTAGTCACTAAAGTGAGAATTTAACGACAATATAGCCAAATTCCAAAATTTCTTGAGGTCAGCTATGCTTTCAGTTCAGCGACTCTGGCTCAAAATGTGAAAATTACTTTGGATTCTCAATTTAGCGAATGACGTAGTAAGTTTTAAATATTTGTAAATAGCACCTTCTCTCACTTTATGGACCTCTACATAAGTATGAAACTGCCTGAAAGGTGTATCAGTGCTCAAAATTAGATTAGGTAAATGATATAGTATTTAAATCGGCGGTATTCAGAAAGGTGCACTACTGCTGCAGTGAAACCACAAGTCCCACAATGCTCAGCAACCATCCCAAATCACAAGTTACATGCCTGTGGCTGGCAGAGTATCACAGGAGTTGTCATTCCACAACTAGGAAGCAACAAGCTGGCTGTCAAAAACATCTAGAATACTTCATTAGATTTATCTAAATTTGTAGGCCTCTGAGGATACAGGTTGCGCTATGTAGAGTCCTTTGAGGTCTTAATACAGTCCCACATAAAACGACACTATTTTGGATTGTGGTTGCATATCTTGTCATATATCTCTATCATTTTCCTGAAATAATACCTGTTACAAAACAAACTAATCCAGTTTCATGGGCTTCCGGAAACCTTTACGAGTTTAAAAATAAAATAAAAAGATAGAAAGAAAGAAAGAACATTCTGCAATTTTTTTCTCTTTCTCCACTCTGTTCAGTAACTGCAACATAAATTTTCAAAACTTCTTGACAGTTCATATTCAGGCAAATGCCACAAGTGGTTCTCCCAAAGTCCCCATACAGGAAGCGAGCTGAAACATGTGTTTGTGAAATTACAAATGTCCTTTATCTGTGTCGTCTTCGTCACTGCTGCCGATGCTGCTATCCGTAGACTCTGCATCATCCTCTGCTGGATCAGCTTTATCGTTTTCAGGCTGATCACCGTTACTGTCCTTGTTATTTGTAGACCCTGTATCTTCATTCGTTTTTTTGTCTGACTCTACTTCATTTGTAGGGTTTGAGTTCTTGTCACTGGTTCCCTCAGTTTTTCCCAAATGGAGGAATGTGTCCCAGCCTTTGAGCCTCTCTTCCCTTTCTCGAGAGGTTTCTTCAATCTGTAAAACAATAAATAAACTCATTAACAATCAGGCAGTGCTTTCAGCAATGCAAGAAAGAATTACTGAAACCATATACGGACATTAAAACATTTAAAATACAATGGTACATGTAATAAGACCGTGTCACTGATCATTGTAGAACACTATGTTTCAGTACACATGTTTGCGGTGTATGTTTTGATAGGAGAACTAATTTAACTGTACCTAAACTAGATTATGAGTGCAGTCACTTTGAATAACTCATGCTACAATATTTCCATTTTCAATGCACAGTCATTTTCTTTTCATCTGATTTCCTATCAAGAACCGAAACACCAGTTATTCAAGGTTCATTCACATGTACACTTATAGCAGCTATACCAGGCTGCTAAAATACACTGACACAAATTACAAGCTTTATATACACAATTAAGTCCCTCTTAGTCTTGCAAAGTAAAACATTGCTGTTTTTGAGAATCTTTTGCAGGACTAAGACTGCAAAGAGGTGCTTCCTGGATTCTAACGGAGTTTGACTCCATTAAACAAAGCTGGACCTCCTCACTCTCTGAATGAGGACATCCAGCATCTGTGAAATCCCCATGGGAAGGAAATTGGGGCAAAGGGGAGAGCCTAAGGTGCTCGCAGCACTCGCCTACACATGATGACTTTGGGGGACGTGGAGTACCAATCTAGCAGCCAGGGACATCAGCGCTGGAATCACATAAGTGACTAAAGGGTTTTTTAACTCTTTATTGCCAGAGATGGGGCCACGAGGGGGGACCATTGGGCACTAGTGTTAGGAATACAGATTTGTATTCCTAACACACTATAGAATCCCTTTAATGCTCATCGAATCTAACAGGGTTTGACTACATCTCCCATGAATGGGAAAGAGTGACCCCTCATGACATATGATGGATTAACATTCATTCATGGATTGTATTAAATGCAAATCTTTTCTGTGCCCCGTCATCATTTCTTTGGGTTCTATTTATTTCTGTCGAGTTGGGGAAAGGGAAAGGTTCCTTCAAATTAGCCAGACTATCAGCTTAACAGATCCTGCAAACTCTGTTAGTGTAGTATTTATCACGTTTTAAAGAACTTTCAAACCTGATCAAACTACTTTTGCAACCTATGCACTTAAATATCATAAAAACGCACCCAGCTATATTAAATTAGAAATATGCAACTGGTACTCACCAAAGTCAGTGAATCAAAACATAATGCATTGCAAAATAGACTCCTTTATGTACTGTTAAATATAGAATACCTGGTAATCTGTTACGCCATCCCACGCTTCAACCACCAGCTGACGACCACCAAACCACCTTCCATTCAGAGTCTGGATACACATATCACTTTCTTCTACCTCTCTGAAAGCCACGGAGGCCACTCCATCAGGGTGTCTCTGGTGTAATTATATTGATAAAACATAAGATTTTTTTTTTCTAATAACTCATTTTCTTAGTCACTACAGGACTACTGCTTTACATATGTAGTCAACACTAAAATACTGGTGATTTGATGCTGTGCTGTCTACATTAACAGCGTATATTTCCCATGATACACTACCAGACTTTGACCTGTCTGAGCATGATGAGAAATATTTTTGTAAAACATATCTAGATCACATGCAAAGAAGAATATGTAGCATATGTTTTACAAAAATATTTCTCATCATGCTCAGACAGGTCAAAGTCTGCTAGTGTATCATGGGAAATATACACTGTAAATGTAGACAGCACAGTATCACATCATTTTGACATCAAATCACCAGTATTTTAGCATTGACTACATATGTAAAGCAGTAGTCTTGTAGCAATAGTCCTCTAAGAATAGCCTTTACAGAACAATACACTACCAATGCTTGAAATGAACAGCGCAAACTAATTACACACATTCTAGTGTAGAACAAAACAATAACAGAACAATAACAGAACCACCAGAACATTCTAGTGTAGAACCAAATGCATCTATTAAAGTTTGCCTACAAGGAAAAGAAAAAAAAAAAGTGCAGAATTCTGAAACATGACTTAATTTACTTTAGGTATCAGTTTTCATTTAAGTATGTGAAACCATGACGTGTGTCATTCTGGTGACAGGCAAGTACAGCCCAAATAAGCACAATTACAGCTTGCAAATGTATAGAACAGAGTAACTATAGAAATACAAATCAAGGGATACTTTGGCTCATGGTATACTGTTCAATCGAATCCATTAACTCTTAAAAGGACACTGTCCTTTTAGCTATCCTTTCCTTATACATCCTGTAACTTAATGATTATACTCCCTTTGCCACTTGTCTTTGTTTACATTTATAATTTTTTCTTACTTGCATGTGATCTAGATATCCCTGTACTGATATTTATTATTTTATCAGTGTCAATCAGTTTGTCATTCTGTGAGTGTGCTTGGCGTTTCACACAGACACATCGGCACGTGGATTGTGTGTAAATTAGCTTGGCAACAGAAACAGGAATAAAAAAAGCTGTATAACTAACACTATATTATTCCTCTGCCTTCGTGGCCAGTCAGTGATATATTTGTTTTCTTGGTTCATTGTAAAGAAACATCCAACTTACACAAGTTTGGTATTACTTACATCAAATATTAGGACTTTCTTCACTTGTCCAAACTTTTCGCATTCAGACCGAAGATCTTCTCGAATTTCATTTAGCACCAAGGGATCTTCCTGAAAGAGGAAATGGGCAATGAATAATTGAAAATATACACAAGTAGAACAAAAGGAGGAATTAAATATGGAAACAGCTACATTTCAATATTTGGCCATTTATTATTTAATAAAAAAAACGAGGCACCGTCACCAGTCCTTTATTAGTACCAGTTAAAATAATTTAAGGATCACTCTGGGCACCATAACAGCTTCATATCAATTAAGTTGTTATGGTGCCTGGCTGTTTATAAACGGATTAACCCCAGAGTGGTGTAGATGTCGCTTGTCCACTCTGCCGCTTTTCTGCCATCCACATACTAAAAAAAAAAAAAAAAAATCAGTCAGACAGCCACTAGAGTTGCTTCTTTGTCCATTGTCTCCATGCCCTGCAGCGTTTCCAACGCTTTGAACGTTTGCCAAAGAGATGATTTGATTCAATGCATCTCAATGAAGAGATGCTGATAAGCACAGCATTTTGCCATGCATGCTCAACAGGCTCCCAATGCTTTTCTATTGGAAAGCACTAGATTGGCTGAGATAATCAAGATTGATGATCTCTGCAAAGGAGGTGTGACCAGCTGTGGCAGGACCAGCGCGGTGTGGGTAAAAACTTACGTAAACTCACATTTCCCATGAAATTACCTAAATAGTTAAACACTGTGGTGTCAGGAATACAAGTCTGTATTCCTGACACTATTGTTCCTTTAAGTTCAAGTCTTCTAGTAAAATCCAGCCCGCAAAGTGGTAAATCAAAGTAGCTGGCAATGGACACAAAATACCTTGATATTTAGCTAGTACCCATAATCCATACAATTATTGGATTGAGGGACTAGTAAACCTGAACAAAATAATGTGATTTATTTTATCTACTAAAAAGTTACTGCAGAAACCCTCTAAACACCGACTATTAAACACGGAGATAATGCATTCTCACTATCTATACTGCATTCATTTACACAAGCAGATGGCAGCATTTTCTGAAAATAACCAAAGTCGCACATGAGATTTCGCCATTACTGTAAGCCATTTATAGTTTTGAAAAATAAAGTTATGGATACCTATTATAGCCGTTTGTACACTAAGTGACTTTTTTAAGGAGCATTTTGTGTTTATGGCAGATCTATGTCAAAAGCAGCCACGACCAAAGGCAAATGATCTCTGCAAATATTTCAGGACATCTTTAGTACGTTTATATGAAAATTACACTGGAAGGCGTCAATATAAACTAATAAATGACTTGTGATTGCTCTACGTCTCTCATGGCAGACACTATTTACTGCATGTAGCCAATGATCTAAAACCCCAGTAGTTAGCACTGGAGGTTAAGCAAGTTGCCCTACCCACATTCCTTTGTTTCGCATAAGTATAAAGCAATGTGGTTTGACCAGTACTTGCACATCCAGAAATTCCATTTCACTGTCATTGTGCAAAATATGTCTTGTTAATGAAATGCATCCGTTGCCCCAATTAATATAAATACTCCTTGTAAAACTGGGATAAAACTGTCAGGATGCCATTTGTGTAAGAGAAACAATTACATTGCTTCCTGTGAGAATACTAAAAATGACACTGCATGCATTTTAAACCAGCTTAAATTGCATTTGCAAGAGAATTTGCATTTTTAATGATCTATACTATTCGATGATGATGACTAAAGGGGCAATTTATAATAATACACTGTGACCATGAATGTATGAACCAGATAACATATCGAACATGAACACAACTAAAAATAAAAATTAAACTGCAACAATAGAGAAAATGTATAGACGTATTCTGGCATGCATGTTAACTAAATACATAAAAGGTTGGACATATTTATTGTTTGTGATTGTAACGGATTTGTCGGGTACTCTGTTTTCTGGAAGCAAGCTATCATTTCTAGGACACTGTATGACATTTAAAGGCCATGACAAAATACTGGTTGTAACCTTTTAAAGACCTCTCACAGGCTGGAGGCTATGGAATACTCTAAGTAGGCCATGTTTGTCCTTGGGCCCCAAGTTAGAAAACCCTTGAGCACAATATAAAATAGTAGTCAGCAAGTATCTCATAAAAGAAAATAAAGTGACATTTCTGTTGTGGTGTTTTCTCACGCTGTGCAGCCTTTAGGCTAGCCATCATTGTTATGGCTATTATAGGGGGCACTCCAGGCTGTAGTTGGCCTATTCTTTATTTTTAAATTAATATATACACACACAGGTTTCTGTAATTTGCAGTGAGTTCTTCCCAGCAAAAGAAGTAATCGTGCAACTATGATGTTCCAATAATCTTCTTTGACAGTAGACCATAACTTTGAAGTTGTAGCCAAGTTTTCATATTAACGATTTTATTCTATAGTGACCAGCAGGATCTAGAACACCAAATGTGTGCGTGTGTTAAAATATTGAAACCCCCACTAATACAACTACAAAATACAAGTTCAGGGCAATGGAAATGTACTTCTAAAACTCTAGACAAGCATTTTGTAAGTAAAATTAATTGTCTCCAGTATGTATTTGACAGTGCACGGTACAGTCGTTTTCTATATAAAGACACTAGATCTGCTCACCTCAAAGTCACTTGGGTGAAACATGTTTTTAATTATAATGACTCGCTCAAAACGCTTTCTTACTTCTGCCTTCTTCTCAGGTCTCCAGTCCAATTGCCTAAAAAATTAAAATGATAAAACAAGGAGGGATACTATTTTAAAAGTATATAGGAACACATGATATAAATATAAAAATAGAAGTACTGCAATGCACAGTTGGAGACAGTTTCTATATTTTACACAAAATGTGTGCCATAAAATACCTCTACCAAAATCATCCTAATAGGATTATTTGAAAAATTTTTGCAACCTCTTTTTTTAATCACACATTGCAGCTCGCTGGATTTTTGTATCATAATTTATATTTTTTTTAATTATTTGTATATAGTTTCTAAATATTGTTGGTCATATTACCTACATTCTTAAAGAGTTACTCCAAGCACCATGACCACTTCAGTGCTGGAGGTGTAATGCCTCTTCAGGCAGTGTCATTAGCTGGATAATGTCATATTCTGCACACAGACTTCCATTCATTATTATTATTATTATTATTATTATCATTATTTTATTATTTATATAGCGCCATCAAATTCCGTAGATTCATTGGCTGAAAGCACCCGGCTGACGCTCTAAACCAGGCTTCCCCGAACTTCCGGCCCTCCAGATGTTGCTGAACTACAACTCCCATGATCCTCAGCCTATCTATTTCATTCATAGAATCATGGGAGTTGTAGTTCAGCAACATCTGTAGGGCCGGAGTTTGAGGAAGTCTGCTCTAAACCAATGAACAGTCGGGCAAGATTAGCATCCGATTCGATCACGATCACTTAAGCCACCTGTAGTCATAATGATATTTGGAGTAACCCGTTAACAAAATAAACAAACAGCAACACAAAATAGCTACATGAATATCTTGGGGAAAAAAAACAAAAGCAAACTAAAATGGCAAAATCAGCCAATTAACTACATGAATGGAACTAATAGCACTGTAAACAGCTGTCAATTAGATCCACCAGCGCATGCTGCTGAGACTACACACTTTTGCTGCATAGATAACTTCTTCCTGTAGTCTTTGGATTTCTTTCTCTTCTTGGTGGCATCATACTCCCCCTTGAGTTCAAATGTTGCACATTCAACATGAAGCCTATATCCTCTTATCTCATAGTCATCAAGTAGTTTCAGAGCCAGACCCACAGATTCTTTCTGTAAGGGCAAAAGATGAAGAAAAATGTTAGCACTTAAATAAAAAAATATATAGACTAGAGATCTAATAAAATGCATACAAACAAAAGAAAATAAAAAGCAGCCTCTAAGCAGCCAGAGAATAAAAGGGGGGCAAGCCACCTCAATGGTGGCTTTAGCACTATAGGGTGAGGAATACATATTTGTGTTCCTGACCCTTTGGTGTTCCTTTAACATCTAATACAAGATCCACTCTGAGATATGTATACCTCGGAAGTTATGGTATTCAGATACATTCTTTCTTGTGTTATACGACTGTTGCCCTTTCTCAGATCACAATTAAAGTGTCAATAATGCCTTAACCCCTAAAAGACCAGGGGTTAGGGAAATCCCTTTCTATCGTGGCATACATGTGATATCACTGGACATTAAATGGACACTCTAGACACTATAATCATTACAGCACACTGTAGTGGTTATGGTGCCCTGAGTCCCTAGGCACCATGCACCAATAATCTATCGAACCATTTACAACTGGCTTGACTCTTACCTTGCAGTGTAAAACACCAATGGTCCTTTTATATTTCTGCTGATCCCAGAAGGACTGCAGACGCCCGCCACAGCAAGTAAATTGTCAAACCATTCATAAACGGTTTGACAGCTTACTGGCAGAGAGCACCCAGGGATTCTTGGTACCATAACAACTTCAGCATGCTGTAGTGGTTATAATGACTAGAGAATCCCCTTAAGGGATTGATATAAATGTAACATTTAGAATGTCTTTTGTACTGTTAATGCTGCAAGAGAACCAAACTTTTTGATAAAGTAATTACGAGAGATTGAGTTGGAGGAAGTGAGGGGAGAATAGTGTATTTTGAATTAAGGCGGTATGCTTCATATAATAAATTGGAAAAGAAAAATCATCCGTTCGTTTGGAATAACTGATGTCATGGAGCAATAAAAGTATAGCAACATTTGATAACATTTACAAATGCTAATAAGCATCTCTATGTAATCTTTTATATAACATTGAATCCTGCAACATTCTCAAAAAAAAAAAATTCTTTCACTTTTTCAGTTAGTGCAACATTCTAGATTAAAGGACCACTATAGGCACCCAGACCACTTCAGCTTAATGAAGTGGCCTGGGTGCCAGGTCCAGCTAGGTTTAACCCCTTTTTTTTTTTTTTTATAAACATAGCAGTTTCAGAGAAACTGCTATGTTCACACTAGGGTTAATCCAGCCTCTAGTGTCTCACTGAGAGCCGCTAGAGGGCTTCCGCGCTTCTCACTGTGATAAGACACCAGCGTCCATAGGAAAGCATTGTGAATGCTTTCCTATGGACTGGCTGAATGCGCACGCAGCTCTTGCCGCGCATGCGCATTCAGCCGGTGACGGAAGAGAGGAGCAAGTGAGGCGGGAGGGGGTCCCTGAGGGTGAGTGCACCCTCAGGGCAATATAGTGCCAGGAACACGAGTATGTTTTCCTGGCACTATAGTGGTCCTTTAAGGATTTAAATTTATTGAGGGATTGAAAAACATGACAATCTAAACCAGAGGCAGACACACACATCCAGTTGCAATTACAGCAGCCATCTTAGATGAGGCAGACAAAATATGATCTTCATTTAAGTAATATATCTATTTGTTGGCGAGATCCCCATTACCACAAGCATAAATACCTGTATATCCAAGTTTTAATATTCAAGATTGTCACTGTACTAAAGGGGTGAGTGAATCCCTGCACTGTTTATAGCGCTCCACTTGTTTGGTATAATATTTATACCTCATTTTCTGTGTACCTGTATATCAGTCTATATTAACATTGGCACTCACATTTGGTTGATGACCGTATCTTACATCTGTGAAGCATCGACTACATCTTACAAATAGAAAAATGCAAGAGTTCTCATAACCAAACAGAAGAACGATCATTTACTGACCTTGAGATAACAGCACAAACCGTCCCCCTTGAGATTCCCTTGCTTATCTTTATACAGCTTTACTTTATATTCCTCTGTCATTGGATCTCGCATTATAATTCCACATTTGGACATTATCTGTACAAATTCGTCATTGGTTAAATCTAGAGGAAGCCCTGAAATATACAAAGAACAGAACAGAATAAATGTTTCTTTAAAATGCATTTAGTAAGTAAAATGTACATAATCTGAGCACACAACAAACTAACCCACCTGTTACATAGACATTTGTGTTTCTCTGGTCTTCTACATTGAACCACCCTGAAAAAGAAATGAGGCCGCATTGAAAAACAAAACATTTAAATCCTTCAAGTTGCTGATCATTTTAGATTACCATAAATTAATATACCTCATAAAATCATATTTAGACGTTAAACTGTAAAACCACTGTCTCACACATTAATATGCAGAACAGGCAGGAAAAGATCAATGAGAAATTAACCACCTAAGACACATCCATGTTGAAGGCAACTTTCCTAGCTAATAACCTTTGCACACCAACATATATACATAATACACACACATATAAATATATTATTTGTTATTTTTTTATTATTACCTTTAAGCAATTCTGTAACAAATTATCTATGAATAGAAGTTTGGAAACTTTCTAGTACAAACAAGATACCCAAAGAAGCAAACAATATGGTTTATCTTTGCTGCACAATGGTGCACAGAAAAATAAGATTTAAAAACAAATAGGAACATTCTAATCTGCTACTCACTTTAAATTAACACTCCAAGCACCATAACCGCTAGAATGGTTTTACAATTTTAACTGGGGTCCAACGGGGCGCCAGTCACTTCATCTATAAAGCGCTCTGCATTGAGCGAAGCCCGACAGTGCACGACTTAGCTCAATGGCACAGAGCAATCGTTTGGTGTTCTCAGCCAATTGGCTAATGTAAGCTCCATGGAGGAACTTCTGGTTCTCACTGGTGGAAATGACTGGTGAACTACAGGCAATATGTAAAACAGTTTGACTACATATACTGGGGAAACAGGCCCTAGGGCACTCCTGGCACTATAGCCACTACATTTCGCTGTCATGGCTATGGTGCTTCTGCTCTTGCACCGTGTGTCCTGACTGGGTCTGGACAAAACTGGATTACCAATGTTGACAGATACATAACTTTATGTGAATTTCATTAACTACGGAATACACTTGATTCCACTCCACTAATACAATGCTATTGAAAAGTACATACACAGACGTATTAGTAAAGGAACACTATAGTCACTAAAACAACTTTAGCTAAATGAAGCAGTTTTGCGGTAAAGATCATGCCCCTGCAGTCACACTGCTCAATTCTCTGCCGTTTAAGAGTTAAATCAGTTTGTTTATACAGCCCTAGCCATACCTTCTTGCATGTGACTTACACAGCTTTACTAACATTTCCTGTAAAGAGACATCTAATGTCTACCCTTCCTTTACTGCAAATTGTGTTTCATTTGAAATTTCTTATAATCTGCACTGTTAATAGCTTGATAGACCTTGCAGGAGCCTAGATTTCAATTTACAGAGCAGGAGATAAAACACTTTTAATGCAAGTTAACATATGATTGAAAATGAAAGATTTTTTTCATGCAGTCTGTGTCAGTCACAGCCAAGGGATGTATGACTAGGGCTGTATAAACAGAAACTAAATCTTAACCCCTTGACGACCGATGACAGTTCAGGATCGTCATCTGAGAAATCCCCTTGGGGACCGAGGACGGTTCATGACCGTCATCGGAAAAATCCCCTTGGGGACCGATGACGGTCCTGAACCGTCATAATGGTCTGGGGCTACTTACCTGATCGCCGGCGGCCCCCCGGCGGCGATCAGCGCTCCTCCCGGTCCAGGGAGACTGCATGTCTGCCCGGGTAGTCTCCCCTTGGCAGATCAGAACCCCGCGGCCACGTGATCACTCGATCACATGACTGCAATAGGTGTCTGTACCTGCCTGCAGGGGGACTGTCTGTGCTGACAGGCAGTCTACCTGCAAGTGGAAAATCAAAAATAAAGTAAAAAAATAAAGCAATCCGTGTAAAAAAAAAATTATATATACATACACACACGTATTCTATCTATATATATATTTTAATGTCATACAAAGTGTATTTTTATATTTATATATACGTATATTAATATAAAAACACACTTAATTTAAATTTCACACGTATATATATATATATATATATATATATATATATATACACACACACACACACACACACATATATATATATATACACACACACACACACACACATATATATACACATTATATATATATATACATTATATATATATATATATATACACACACACACACACACATATATATAACAAAAAGTAAAAATTTTGAATAATTAAAAAAAATTATATATATTAATATATATTTATATCAAAATACACTTAGAATGTAAATATATATATATATATATATATATTTATTTCTATGTATAAAAAAATAATACGAAATATACATATGTCCAGATACATAATTACATAATTTCATATACACGTAGACGTCAAATATACAAATATGTATATATATTAAAATTCTACGTGCGTATTTATGTAATAATTTTACCTAATTAAAGGTACATTATAGTCACCTGAAACACTTTAGCTTAATGAAGCAGTTTTGGTGTATTGAACATGCCCCTGCAGCCTCACTGCTCAATCCTCTGCCATTTAGGAGTTAAATCCCTTTGTTTATGAACCCTAGTCACACCTCCCTTCATGTGACTTGCACAGCCTTCCATAAACACTTCCTGTAAAGAGAGCCCTATTCAGGCTTTCTTTATTGCAAGTTCTGTTTAATTAAGATTTTCTTATCCCCTGCTATGTTAATAGCTTGCTAGACCCTGCAAGAGCCTCCTGTATGTGATTAAAGTTCAATTTAGAGACTGAGATACAATTATTTAAGGTAAATTACATCTGTTTAAAAGTGAAACCAGTTTTTTTTTTTTCATGCAGGCTCTGTCAATCATAGCCAGGGGAGGTGTGGCTACGGCTGCATAAACAGAAACAAAGTGATTTAACTCCTAAATGACAGTGAATTGAGCAGTGAAATTGCAGGGGAATGATCTATACACTAAAACTGCTTTATTTAGTTAAAGTAATTTAGGTGACTATAGTGTTCCTAATGTAAGTAATTTTAATAATTGCAATTTGAGGGAGCTGCCTGCCAACCCAGGCCAAAAGTCCAGAGAATTTAATTTGCTAGCACGGTGTTTAACCCTGTAACTTTCTATGACACCCTAAAACCTGTACATGGGGGGGAAACTGTTTTACTCGGGACACTTCACTGAACACAAATATTAGTGTTTCAAAACAGCAAAACATATCACAGCGATGATATTGTCAGTGAAAGTGAAGTTTTTTGCATTTCACACACAAACGGCACTTTCACTGATGATATTATTGCTGTGATACATTTTACTGTTCTGATACACTAATATTTGTATTCAGTGAAGTCTACTGAGTATAACAGTACCCCACATGTAGAGGTTTTATAGTGTTTGTGAAAGTTACAGGGACAAATATATGGCTTGATTTTACTAGTTTTTTGCATTTTTAACACACAAATATAAATGCTACCTTTGGCCAGTGTTTGTGACTAGGTGGCTACTAAAAAAGACTGGACATACCCCATTTTGAATACCCTGGGTTGTCTACTTTAAAAAAAATATGTACATGTGAGGTGTGATTCAGGGATTTATGACAGATAACGGTGTTACAATGTCACTATTGATAAATTTAAAATATATATATATATATTTTTAAACACTGGGTGTTTTTAAACTCGGGACAACATTTTGAATCTATTTAGCAGTTTTTTTCATAAGCTTTTGTAGATAAGTAAAAGATTTTTCAAGTAAAAGTCCAAAAACATGTTTGTTTGTTTTTTCACTTTTTCACCATATTTTATTTTTTTTAAATAAAATATATGACATGAAACAAATAATGGTATGTAAAGAAAGCCCTTCTTGTCCTGAAAAAAACAATATATAATTTGAATGGGAACCGTAAATGAGAGGGAGGAAAATTACAGCTAAACACAAACACCACAAAAGTGTCAAAACGGGTCTGGTCCTTAAAGTACAACATCGCAGAAACAGGCCGGTCTTTAAAGGGTTAAATGGCAGAAAATTGAACAGTGGGAGGCTTCAAAAGCATGAGCTATACACCAAAATTTCTTCATTAAGATAAAGTTGTTTTGGTGACTGCTTCATTAAGCTTAAGTTGTTTTGGTGACTATAGTGTCTCTGCAAAAACATTTTAATTGTTAAGTAATAAGTATAAGTAATAAGACTAAAGAATTGTTTAGGTGTTGCTGTTATACCCAACCCTCAATCGAAATGTGCATAAACAAAATATTTAAATTGAATAATTAAACAATAATTTTTATGCAAACACAAATCCACCTATCATTATATAAACTTTGCTTATGTCATTGGCAGGAATTCAAACCTTAATGCATTAACAGCTATAAAAATCCAAGCCATTAAGCCGATAGAGTGAGTAACGTGGTAAATATAACTCACTCCCAAAGGAATTTAGTATAGCAATTCTGATTTACTTGCTAAAGCAAAATAATCCTCCAGGGTCACGTGTTTATCGAATTAATCATAGAGAATGACCCAAGCACAGCCCTATGACAAGGAACATATTGGTTTAGAAATAGCACCTTTAAAAACAACTTTGGCATGTTTCCTTCCAAAACATTTGCCGTTTATTTAACGGATTAAAAGATATACATCTTCTGTATATTAATCAGATTGTAATGTGAAATTGATTATACATTCTGTACTAGTGTATTGCTCCATTAGGATGTACACTGATCAGCCATAACATTAAAACCACCTGCCTAATATCATGTAGGTCCCCCTCGTGCTGCCAAAACAGCTCGGATGTGTTGAGGCATGGACTCCAGAAGACCTCTGAACGTGTCCTGTGGTATCTGGCACTAATACAATAGCAGCAGATTCTGCAAGTTTTGAGGTGGGGAATTAGAAGGCCAAGGCAACACCTTGAACGCTTTGTCATGCTTCTCAAACCATTCCTGAACAATTTTTGCAGTTTGGCAGGGTGCATTATTCTGCTGAAAAAGGCCACTGCCATCAGGGAACAACACTGCTATGAAGGGGTGTACATGGTCTGCGTCAAAGTAATATCCCATGAATGCCAGGACCCAAGGTTTTCAAGTGATTCAGCAATTTGAACTACAGTAGCTCTGGTGAATGACTGGACCAGATGGGCTAGTCTTCACTCCCCACGTGCATTAATGAATAGTGGGCGCCCATGAATCCGACGCTGGTTCACTGGTGATCTTTCCTTGCAGTGTATTAAATTGGTACAGTATATTAGTTTCAAGTGACACTGAGCACCAAAACTGCATATTTTAGAGCATCAAGACTAAACAAGGCACATTGAGAAAGGAACCTGTGTGATACTATGGGTAGGTGTCTCAGCGGAGGTGCTGTAGGTGTGAGCTCACGGCACCCCTGTATACTGGGCTATTTACCAAACTGAGACCTGTCAGGAATTCAAAGTAAATTTCTATTTTAAAGTGACACTATTGGCACCCAGATCATTGAAATGTTCTGGGTACCATATCCCTGTCGTTTTAACCCTGCAACTGAAAACATTGCTGCTCTGCAGGAGAACATTTGACTGGCGCAGCACTGTGTTTAGCTGCAAGTTCCTATGGGAAAGCACTGGATTAGACTAGCACCAAAACAGAAAGCAGAGCACTATACCTTTACAAATAGATTTTTGTATTGCTAACAGTATAATGTTCCTTTAAGACAAAACTGACAGAATGAAAACAGAACTGATTTGGAGAATTTTCCTAATTTGGCTATTTTGAAATTCACTTTGATTCTCGTAATTCTGATTTTAGTGTATAACCCAGCTTGAGAGAGGATGGCTTTTGATTTGCTTTACTTGTATTGGTAATATAGCGCTGAGCATAGCGCCATCTATTGGTAACAGACTAAAAGCTAATATTTCCATAATTTCAGAAAAACACTAAAAGTCACAAAATGCACACATTCCGATTTAAAGAGTTTCTCTATAGTTAAAAATGTTCCATTATTTGTAATCCAGAAAACAGATGGCATTTAAAATGCCAATGTGGCCTTTACTTTGTTCATGCATTTAGTCATAACTGAAATAATAGGGACAATCCAGTTTGCAGTGCTTTCCGCCCCCCACCCCCTACCCTTCACACACATACTTTATTGCTTATAGAGAACAATAAATAAAACAGGATTAAAAGGGACACTATAGTCACCAGAACAACTACATGTACTGCAGTTGTTCTTGTGAGTATAATCGGTGCCTGCAGGCTTCTTGCATTAAACACTGTCTTTTCAGAGAAAAGGTAGTGTTTACATTACAGCCTAGGGACACCTCCAGTGCCCACTCCTCAGATAGCTACTTGAGGTGCTTCCTGAGGCAGTGCTGCACACTGTGCAGCACTGCCATTCAGTGTCTCCACCCTCCACATGGAGACAATGAACTTTCCTCATAGAGATGCATTGATGCAATGCTTCTGTATGAGGAGATGCTGATGGCCAGAGCGGTGTTTGGCAATCTCAGCCAACCCAATGCTTTCCTATTGGAAAGCATTGTCATTGGCGGTGATCATCACTTCTGATGATGTTAACCAAGAAGGCAGATCAGGGGCTGAGCCAGACTGCAATAAATGTAAGATATTGCTATATCTAGGGGGGCAGGATAGTGATTTTAACACTATAAGGTAAGAAATACATGTTTGTGTTCCTGACCCTACAGTGTTCCTTTAATTTAAAGGGACACTAGAGTCATGCAGACCACTTCAGCTCAATGAAGTGGTCTGGGTGCGAGGTCCCCCAGGTTTTAACCCTACAGATGTAAACATAGCAGAGAAACTGCTATGTTTACATTGCAGGGTTAATCCAACCTCTAGTGGCTGTCTTCCTGACAGCCGCTAGAGGCGCTTCTGCGACGCTGGATGCGAAAATCGCTTCCAGCGTGCAGAACATCCATAGGAAAGCATTGAGAAATGCTTTCCTATGGACTGTTTGAATGCGCACGCGGCTCTTGCCACGAATGCGCATTCCACTCTACTCGGGAGCTGACGACGGCGGGGGAGGAGAGGTCACCAGCGCCGAGGGAGCCCAGTGCTGGATTAAGGTAAGTAACTGAAGGGGTTTTAACCCCTTCAGCACCAGGGGAGAGGGACCCTGAAGGTGGGGGTCCTAAGGATGACAGTGTCAGGAAAACAAGTTTGTTTTTCTGACACTATAGTGATCCTTTAAAAAAGTCAGTTTATTCAGGGTGCTTTGCACCATCAGGAAGTTGCTGAGCAAATAAAAATGTTCCTACTATATTCAATGGGGGTAAGGATAACCTCTAACCCTCTGTCCATGAGACGTTAATGGGACTTGTGAGCCTAACATCTGTGGATGGGAAATTATCTGAAGGAATGTTAAGTAATATTCAAAAATGTATTTTGAGCAACAATACCATTAGCTGGAATCAACATGGTTTTATGAAAAACAGACCATGCAAAACTAACTTAATTGCGTTCTATGAAGAAGTTAGTGGAAATATAGATTTGGGTGTTACAGTCGATGTGATTTACTTGGATTTTGCTAAGGTATTTGACACAGTTCCACCCAAAAGGTTGCTACTTCTAAAACTGAAATCGGTTGGTTTAGACAAAAATTGTGTTCTTGAACAGAACACTGGATTAAAGATAGATTAGATTAAAGGTAGTTGTAAATGGAAATCTTCTAATTGAACAGAAGTGTTAAGAAGAGTGCTGTAATTTTCCTCTTACTCATTTACTGTACACACACATATTATATACACCGTTTTTCTCACTATTAAATGGTCTTTCTAAAGATACCATTATTTTCATCATATCCTTTACTAAAAAAAACAAAAAGAAAATTGTAAAAAAACAAATAAAACAAACACTTTTTCGAACTTTGACCCCCAAAATCTGTTATGCATCTACAAACGCCAAACACCCCAGCTAAATCTTTCAAAATTTTGTCCTGAGTTTAGAAACACCCAATGTTAACATTTTTTTTTTTTTTTTTTTAAGTTATAGGTGTATAAGTATAAGTAGCACTTTGCTATTTCCAAACCAATTTTCCCCACTGATATCTGTCAGGAATCCTTGAATAACCCTTCACATGTATATATTTTTTTCAAAGAACACAACCTAAGATATTAAACTTGAGGTATTTTGACTCTTTTCACGCAACCATTTTACCACCAATCTATGACAAATATAAAATAAATAAATAATTGGTGATTTTTTTAACACACATAGCAATTTATCAATACATGTACTGAGAACCTTAAGGGTTACTGGGCCAAAGAACACCCCAATATGTGTTCAGCAGCATCTCCCGAGCACAGTGATACCACCCATGTATAGGTGTGTCGGTATACATACATATATATACACACACACACATACAAACAATGCACACGATCCAGCGCACTCTCCTATCTACTAAACAGCAACTTCAATGTTGACAGATTTTATTAGTTTTTTTTAAAGTCAACATTGAAGTTGCTGTTTAGTAGATATGAGAGTGCACTGGATCGTGTGTTTTGTTTATTGTATAATATGGCCCCCAGCAGCACCCTATTTCCTGTATATGTATAATATGATAATTAAAGCATTTTATGATATATTATACATATATATGATTTCATAATAAGTATTTTGTGATATATGTGTATATATCTCAAAGTACACTTATAATGAAATCATATATATGCATTATATATGTATATTATAGAATGCTTTAAATATTTTATAATATATTATACATATATAATATATATATATATATATATATAAAATTTATTTTTACTTTTTAGCAGCCTGGGAGACTGCCCGACAGCTCAGACAATCCCCCTGCTGGCAGCTCCATAGGGTCATGGGACCCAAATAAGCCAATAGCAGGATTTACTGGGTTATTTAAACCCAAACCTGCAGTTGTTCAGTGCCCGGTCGTGGTTTCCATCCTGTTGGTTATCCGAGAGCGCGTTCCTGATTCGGATTATTGTTTTTTGATCTTGGCTTGACTTCCCGTATTTCTGGTATCTCTGACCCTTTGGCTTTGTTCTTTCTGTATTTGTTCCTTTCTGTATTCCTGACCTCGGGTCGTTACTGTTTATTCTATTACATTAATTGCGGCATTTCTAAGACCCGGTAATACGTTGTTACTGTTTGTATTTGTTACGTGTTTAACTTAATTCTGCGTGTTGGGCCACTGGTCTGTCCTGACACTAATGAAATGGTGCCAGATGCCACAGGACACATTCTGAGGTATTGTGTAGTTCATGCTTTAACCTTTCAGAGCTGTTCTGGCGACACAAGGGGTAACTACACGATAATAGGCTGATGGCTTTAATGTTGTGGCTGATCAGTGTAATTTTGCCTCTTTATAAATGATGGTAAGACCCCACCTTGACGATGTGGTGCAATTTTGGGCAACAGTTTTAAAAATGGTACCTCAGGCTCAAATCAATAAAAGTAGTCTGTGAAGGGACATGGGAACTTGTACATTTGTGTACACTACACAAATATTTGGTTTTGGACCATCTAAATCATCTGTTTAAATTCTCAGATGTGACTTGAGAAGAGGCAAATAAGTGAAGGGCCACAGGTCAACAAATGGCCAAACAAGAGGAATGATTAAGGAACACTGAAGAAGAAAGTTTTCATAAAACTGCAACGTGTTCAGCAGAGAAAATGGAGAGCAGATGTAATGAGTATATAAATAACATCTAAAAAATAACATTTATATTATTATAATAAAAATGCCATTGAATGTTTGTGTCACCTATTGTAGCTTATGTGAAGGAGATGTACAAAATGTCAATTTGTCTTGTAAATGAACTGAAAAACTAAAATGCAAGCTAATATTATCAGATACAAAATAGTTTGGTATCTGTACATCTGTTTACTTTTGAGCCTTGTTAGAAACATAGAATGTGACGGCAGATAAGAACCAACCATCTAGATTGCCCAATTTTCTAAACACCTTCATTAGTCCCTGATAATAATGTAAAGCAGTGGTATATCTATTAATTTTATAATGTTTATTAAACATGTGGAATAACACCAAAACTTGTAGAGTCTCTGCATTTCATGCAAAAAACACCAACCAAGGGATAAAAGAGAAGGCTTTTCATTCTTAGTATCACCATCTTCCTTTACTGATCAATATACTACGTCACCTTTGTATTTTCACATTCCTCATAGAACGGGATAGGTGGGCATCACTAGACTCGCATCACTGGCGATGCCCTTAATGGAAAGGCATGCCAACTGAAGGGGCAAGTCTGTCTACCATCAAGCATGCCGGGCTGACTGACAGCCTATCTAGCTGGCCCCCAACATACAGTACCATGCCGAGAGCATGAGACTCCTACTTTGTGTTATATATATATTTTTGATTGCGCTGGAATTTCAGTAACATTCCAAAGCAATATAAGATTTCTTTCATAAAGTTCATATATATATTAATAGAAGATGCAGACCCGACAGTGCCACCTTGAGTAATGTAACATATCTGATCAAATAAATACCTTTAAAAAATGCCTTTTCACAATGTTTAGCACAGTACATTCTCACCTTGATCTTGCTTGCGTTTTTCTCCTTTTCCTTTTTGTTCAGCTGCTTCCGTCTGAATCTTTTCTTTCATAGGTATTTCTGCATCTTTAGGTCCCTTCGAGGTACCAGATTTCTGAGCTTTGGTAGATTCATTGGCAGTAGTAGAATCATCTGCATTTTCTGTATGTATGCCATAATTTGCATGGTACATTGCCAAGAAATCATCTGTTATCTAGTTACAAAAAAAAAAAAAAGAATCAGACAATAATATTAAATTAAAAATTATGTGAAATAAATTAACCAACTTTATTTTCATGCATGAATATAACTAGGAGCCCCAAATTAGGTGCAATATTTTTCTTTGTACTTATGTAAAAGGAACACTATAGCGTTAGAAATACAAACCTGTATCCCTAATGCTATAGTGTCCCTGTCCCTAGTTTTGTAGGTCCCCCCAACATTCGACAAGTAAAGTGTGTAGAACCTCTTTTTAACCTTATAGGTCTTTCCAGTGCCGAGGCTCCCTCTGGCTAGGTCTCCTCCTCCCGTGATGGGGCCTAATGCACATGCACAGCGACCACCACGCACCCATTCAAGCTTCCCCATAGGAAAGTATTGAATCAATGCTTTCCTATGAGGGACATGCAAGTTGTTAGACATCCTCATGCAAAGTCTGTGGACATCCAATGTCGCATAGCAGGATAAAACTCTACTAGGGATCCGGAAGCACCTATAGTGGCTGACTGGAAGACTGCCGCTAAAGGTGGAGTTAACCCTGCAATGTAATCACTGCAGTTTCTCTTTACATTGCAGGGTTAAACAGACATCGGTACTGCACCCAGACCAGTTCAGATGAAGTGGTTTGGGTGGATATAGTGTACCTTTAATGATACATAGGAAACAATAGAAAGCTTTGTACACCTAAGGCAAAAATTGACAGTATAAAAAGGAATACTTTTAAAACACTTCAAGTGCGCTGTAGGAGTTACGTTGCTTAAAGTGTTCCTTCAACACTGTCAATTGTTACTAAAGTAGTACTGTACTAAACTTTCATGTATCATTAACACGAGTACACTGAAAAATATTGCACCTAATTATTGGCACCTAGTTAAAGATTCATACTTTTTTATCTAATGCATGAAGTCTCTAAGTTTTACTTTAAAGTGCACTTTCTGCTCAAGTTGTTGAATGAGATTAATACTAAACCCTGTAAGAGACACCATTTTATATGGAAATCGGTATTAAAATGTCTAGTTGGGTCCCCCATAGAGATTTTATAGGAAAGCAAAACTCTTAGTGCAGGACACCACGGGCAATATGGTGCAAGCAGGTCCCCAGCACCAACTTACCTTCAGAAGTTAAACCACTGACAAACAGTTTAACCCCAAAGTCCGCTGAAAGACTGATTGTCAGCATCCCATTCACAAAATGGATTGAAAAAGGTACATATCTTTTTCACTTAGTTTTGTGAATGCGGAGTTACTGATAGGCTGAGAGCGTCAGTTGACATTCTCAATCTATTAGCAGCACCTAGTGTAAGGCTTTCTCAATGGCAAAGCTGGCAAGCACCATACTAAACACTATGGGGTTAATGGAAAGTTGGCATCCGGGACCTCATGGTACCATAAAAAGTTCACTCCGATTAGGTTGTTATGGTGCCTGGAGTGTCCCCTTGAACCAGAGTATATTTTTTAAATAAATAAATAAATAAAGCCAATTGGTAGGTGACTTCAATATTGTATTTAATAGAGCACTTTCCTGAGATGTGATAGTTTCACTTTGAGGAAGAGGGGCGTAATTAAGGACTGCTAATGCAAATACCAATTGCTGCCCAGAAATGTAATGTCTGCCAAATTTGGGAAAATGACAAAAATGTACTAGGGCTAGCTGTATACTATATATATATATATATATATATAAACTGAACCCCAAAATGTGTGGATGTCATTGCTGCAGACTGCAACTCTGATCACCCTTAGCCATAGGTGTGGGCCTGTGGTTTATAGGAGATGTATTCCAATAATAAGGTGCCATGGCTTGTAATGCTGCTCTTATATAAGCCATGAGTTGGTTATATTGGGCCGCCCAGGTGTAACACGGCTCTTCCGAACATGTGGGTGGCCCAGGAGACATGAGCCCTCACCTTAGGGAACCAGGCCTTCTTATCCATGTCCCACTCATACTCAGTGCCATCACTGGGGTCCTTGTAGGTTAAGGGGTCCAGCCCCCCTGCAGCCTCACGTTCCTGGCACAGCTGTTGCAGCCGCAGCTGCTCATAGAAGTCATCGTTATCAGCCATAGCACCCGCTGCCAGGCACCGAGCCTGCGGGGTGTGAGCGAGGGCTGGTGGGCTACGGTGAGACCTGGAGGGGCACCGGGTATGCCAGCTAGTACACAACGCGCATGCGCGGTGAGACTACTACTGCGCATGTACGGCGGAGAATTACGGAAGCGTGGAATGGCCAAAACACTTAGAATGCGCAATAGAATCATGTCCATGCTGTTCTGGTCTCTGGCATTGTAGGCCCCTCTAACTGTTGTTTCACTCTAATATCTATACTGTGATAGTGCAATAGTTGAAAATTCAGCTGGTTGGGACTACGTTTATTGTGATTTAACTGTTCATCTCCAGTGTTTGTAATAGGGAAAAAATAAACAGCTTAACAGCAAGGATACACCTCCCAAGATACCTCCCAATGGACAATGAGGGACTCTTCAATTTAGGGGTGTGACTGGTGATGGGACCAGAACTGGGCTACTCTTAATTTAGGGTGTGACTGGTGATGGGACCAGAACTGGGCTACTCTTAATTTAGGGTGTGACTGGTGATGGGACCAGAACTGGGCTACTCTTAATTTAGGGGTGTGACTGGTGATGAGACCAGAACTGGGCTATTCTTAATTTAGGGGTGTGACTGGTGATGGGACCAGAACTGGGCTATTCTTAATTTAGGGGTGTGACTGGTGATGGGACCAGAACTGGGCTATTCTGAGAAATGTGACTTACTAATTAAGGTGACTTACTAATGACAGCTTTTGCAACTAAATTAGTCATTTAGAACATAAACAATGCTGTATTTACACAGACGGATTTCTAAGCACATTTATTGAGGTTTAAATGTGCGTTACTTTGAGACACTGGAAATTCTGTGATGTTATCCCAGATTCTATAAGATAGACTCATTTTGAGTGATTATCCTGTTGTCCCAGCTTCGATCGATATGGTTGCCCCTATCGGAATGTTTCCCAGTATTTTATGGCAGGAACTGCCAGCAAGGCCAAAATAAGGCCTCATGGTGCCTGTGATATATCTGGTGTCGATGGGGGCCCTGACCTGCTGGGGCCCTGGTGCTGTTGCACTGGCTGCACTGCCAGTAGGTCTACACCTGGGAAAAAAACTTTCTTTCTTTTATGTATTTTAGAGCTTTAACCACAGTAGATAATCTCCTTCTCTATACATCAGTGCCTCCCTTGCATAAATGCCCCTAAACAAAAATAGGGTGTGCTGCTCTCCCACACCCCTAAAGATATGTGAAACACAAATAAGGGCCTGGGACACATAGGGGGTCCTTAAGCAGACTTTATGGGATCATCAGCAGTTAAGTATCGGCTATACCATAGTAGAGCCTTTCTCAAGTCTAGGCCCAGACCCTTATATTCGATTTTCTATCTGTTGGGTCTGTTCGGCACCACAGACAGTGTCTGTTTGAATTGGTGTGTGCAGTGCCTTCCACCATTGGCGGTTATAGTATATAGTTAAGTAGTACAGCTAGCCAGCCTAAGGAGGAATGTCAGTGGCAGAACTGGTATGAAAATAATCCATAAATCCAGGGCGAACAGGAGTTTGAGATATGAAATTAAAGGGGCACTGTAGGCAGCCAGACCACTTCAGCTAATTGAAGTGGTCTGAGTGCAGTGTCCCTTTTGCACTTAGTGCTCCAATGCAAAACTTAGCCTACAGATATATACCAGAGAGATAAAAATGAAATATAAAACATATTTTTATTGTTATATTTAAAAAGAAGGTATATCTGTAAGTATCACACTGTGAAAAAGAAAGAGAAGGTTCTATCATGTAGATTAAATATAATTGATAGACCCTCAAGGAAAAAGAGAAAACAAACAATCAGAAGCTCACCCACGTCAGCTCCTTCTAAACAGTAATCTCCCCCTCGACGGGACTTTACCGCTTTAGTGGATGATCTTTGATAGGAGATTTGAGTACAGCCGTCCTGCTTCTGAGTCAGTATTACCTGATCAGAATTACCTCATCCACATCTGGAGCTTAATTATCTTTCTAACTCTAAGATAGCAGATAGTATATAATACTGGATATTACAGCGAACAGGTGCCCTTGAAGGCACAGCTTAGGATCTCTTTAACCTTTAGACAGTCCGATACTAAGGCTTGTCAGTCAGGACTTTAAATTAGTCCATGAAGGCACAGTTTAGTACTGTTGATAGAATTTCCATGTGACACCTCGAGTTACCCTGTCTTAACATTCAGGTTAACAACATTCAGGTTAATACCTTATCGGCTAATATATATATGTTTTTCCTGCTGATACTCTAATTCAATCAGTTGTTTCTGCCATTATCAGTGACTGTACATCTCCTTTGCTACATTTTGCATGGTTTTTTTAAGTAGCAACTATGAGACACATTTGTTGCTAATCTCTACCATTAGTTTGGCTGTCTGACACTACAACGGTTGTAAACTGTAATACCGGTACATATATATATATATATATTATTATTATTATTATTATTATTTTCTCTTTTTTCTCTTTTTCCACATACCTATTACCAAGGGTTATCCCCTTTAAAAGCCTGCCTCATAAAGCTCATCTTTCTCTCTGTCTCTCCAATGCAAAACATTGCAGCTCCATAGGAACTGAAATGTTTACATTGCAGCTCTAAGTCTGCCCTTTAGTGACTGTCTACCAGACAGGCACTACGGAGCTTCCTGAATTGAAACGGACCTTTGATCTTGTATCTGACGCTTTAATGAATTTGATAGACTTTGGCTTCATTAAAGCGGCACTGTCATGCCGAACTTACCTTTCCCTAATCGCTTCCTCTTCTCCCCCTCTCTCAGGATCTATTCTTCAATTCCTTCTACAGGATCTAGTTTTCATTAAAACATAGGATAAAGTAGGGACTACTTTGTCATATGTATTTTCATCTGAATGAATGAAATCCCAATCCGTGCTACGGCTGCATCTACCCACGGTATTAGGGAGCTATCTACTAAAAGGCTGAAAGACCAAGACTGGTCTTTCAGCCAACTTTACTAATACTAAGGAAAGATTAGTAATTAATCTGCTCCTACTCGCTATGCCATGAGTAGGGGCATATCTACTAGACAGTAAACAGAATGTGGCTGCTCACTGTTGTAAAAAATAAAAGCCCCCTCCCTGCTTTTAATTCACAACATAGCCGCAGACAGTCAGAGAAACCATAAGCGGGTAGTTATATCTTTACTATACGTTCCCCAGGGTGTCCTGTCCATCTAATGCAGGTTGCTTTGTAGTTTAAATCACTCAGTGCTGACAGTGGTTAAGCTGAGTGCAAACATTTAATAAGGAAATCTTTACTTGGAATGAAGTGGTGCAGCTAAAGTAGCAGGCTTATGGTGCAGCATTCTGCAAAAACAATTTTAATGCAAAAACTCTTACGATTCTATAATGCAAAAAAAACATGGCATAGGCAAAAATCTATCCAATGCATTTAAGTTGTATTGGTGCCCAGAGGGAATGTCCTTTTAAAAGACATGAACAGAACTGCTGAGCAAGCTGATAGTAGCTACAACACGCACAGATTTATTCCCCTGCCTCACAGTTACATAACTGAAAAGAGACGTGTCCATCAAGTTCAGCGTTTCTCATATTTGTTTTTGCTGTTGATTAAAAAGAAGGCAAAAAAAACAAGTATTTTTTTCCAAAATTCTTCCTTGACCGAAGAATGGCAGTTAGATCTTTCCTTGGATCAAGAAGCAATTACCTAATTTATTAAAAATTACATTCCTAAATATTGTGTTTTTGCAAGTATTTATCAAATTGCTGTTTAAATATCTGTACAAACTCTGGTAAAACCACTTCTTCAGACTGGGAATTCCACATCCTTATTGTTCGTACTGTAAAAAACCTTTTCCTTTGCCTTAGACTAAATCTCATTTCTTTCAGTCTAAATGTGTGACCTGGTGTCCTATGTATAGTCCTGTTTATGAATAGATTTCCAGACAATGGTTTCTATTTGCCCTGAAAATGTGTATAATGCTATCATATCCGCTATGAGGTGACATTTTTCCAAACTAAAGAGATTTTAATTTGTAAACCTTTCTTCATAACTAAAATGTTTTATTAATTTTGTAGTCTGCTTCTGCACTTTTTCTAGTGCCATAATATCTTTCTTTAGAACAGGTGCCGAAAATTGCAAAGCATATTCAAAGTGTGGTCTTACCAGTGATTTATAAAGAGGCAAAATTATATTTTTATGCATGGCAATACCTTACTGATCTTAGCAACTGTTGATTGAAATTACACACTGTTGCCTAGTTTGTTGTCTATAACAATTCCAAAATTCTTCTCGTGCGTTGTTATCGATAATTCACTACCATTTAGGATGTAAGTTGATTGTGCATAACTTTGCATTTTTCTACATCAAATTTCATCTGCAATTTGAGTGCCCAGTTCTCTAATCTATCTAAATCCCTCTGCAGCAAAGCAATATCCTGCTGCTCACATTGTCTTACTTTACAGATTTTTGTGTTATGTGCAAACACTGAAACATGGCTTTCAATGCCTATTTCAAGATCATTTCCAAATATGTTAACAGAACCATGAGGCACACCACTTACCACGTTTGTACAGCTTGAACATGTACTATTAATGACAGCTCTCTGTACTCAATCTTTAAGCCAATGTTCTACCCAAGAACACAATTTTTCATAATTTCTTTTAGTTTGTGACTCACGTAACGTGTTTATGCTCCTAAAGTGTGTCACTCTCTCTATGACCCTTTGTCCATGCACCTTTACATGCCCGTCTGTATCAGCCCTTTCTTCATGCCCTCCTTGGGTCTGCTCTTTCTCAATACACTCCTTATTTGTCTCTCCACCACCCTCTATGTCTTTTTCTGTTTCTCCTTATCTTTGAGCATTGCTGTGCTGCCTGCATACTGCCTGGCCCAGGCTGTTCTCTGCTTGACATCCTTCTGCCTTCACAAATTGAGAGGCACCAACCAGACTCCATCACACTGATATTACATAATGGCCTCTCTGGCTGTCTGGTTTCCCCAGATGGATATCTGAACAATGATTTCAAAGCTTTAGTAAGTTGAGTCCTAGCAATCATTTGTTCAAATCTTACATGGAGGACTTTGCTCTATAATAAATGTTTCTATTTAATCCTCAAGCTTTGTATCCTTAGATGGCATTTATTAAACTGCATGTCTGTTTATAAAGGTTTTGATTTTTTTTTTTCTCAATCATTTTTTATCTATTTTGTTTCACAATTTACAATAAAGATAATTAGTCATGATCAGAATTACAAAATGTTTTTTTTTTTCCCAACATTTATTTCATACACTACATTTTCAGGTTCTTTCAAAGAAACACTAATCTTTAAAAAAAAAAAAAAAAGATTATTTTAAAGAAGCAAAATCTATAGTTAAAACGCTCTTAGCATTTTGAGAATGCCGCTTACACCTGACTTTGCACCCAATTAATATAGATGATGTTACAGCAGCTCTGTAAATTGGGGTGTCTTTGCATTTCTTGATGACATATCTACTAGGGTGGAGATTGCCTCTCGGGATCAAATAAGGAGATATACTTTAAATACTTTAGGAGGTCCCACCTCAGTGCAGCCATCTTCCTTCCACCATTATTATTTTGCTTCTGGAGAGTTCATCTAGTTTCATACCTTTACTAATGCACAAGAGTACAAAATGTGTGGGGGGTTCCCTCAGAAGATGATGCCTATTGCCATGAGCTGTGGCTACTGTCAGCTTATGGGAAATGGTGATGGATACTCTGGCTTGTGTGAAAGATTTTGTGCATATCTTTGTCAATGTGTTTATCTATGTGTGTGGCAGTGCATACGCCCTGCATTCAAACACCAACACTGCAAATACATACACCGTGCATTCAAACACCAATACTGCACACACATATACACCCTGCATTCAACACCAACACTGCAAATACATACACCGTGCATTCAAACACCAATACTGCACACACATACACCCTGCATTCAAACACCAACACTGCACACATCCATCCCTACATTCAAACACCAACACTGCACACGCATACACCCTGCATTCAAACACCAACACTGCAAATACATACACCCTGCATTCAAACACCAACACTGCACACACATACACCCCTGCATTCAAACACCAACACTGCAAATACATACACCCTGCATTCAAACACCAACATTGCACACACATACCCCCTGCATTCAAACACCAACATTGCACACACAATAACACCCCTACATTCAAACACCAACACTGCACACACATACACCCTGCATTCAAACACCAATACTGCACACACATACACCCTGCATTCAAACACCAACACTGCACACACATACACCCTGCATTCATACACCAATACCTGCACACACATACACCCTGCATTCAAACACCAACACTGCACACACATACACCCTGCATTCATACACCAATACTGCACACACATACACCTCTACATTCAAACACCAAAACTGCACACACATACACCCTGCATTCAAACACCAACACTACACACTTACACCCTTACATTTAAACACCAGCACTGCACACACATACACCCTGCATTCAAACACCAACACTGCACACACATACACCCTGCATTCAAACACCAACATTGCACACACATACACCCTGCATTCAAACACCAACATTGCACACACATACACCCCTGCATTCAAACACCAACACTGCACACACATACACCCTGCATTCAAACGCCAACACTGCACACACATACACCCTGCATTCAAACACCAACACTGCACACACATACACCCTGCATTCAAACACCAACACTGCACAGACATACACCCTGCATTCAAACACCAACACTGCAAACAAATACACCCTGCATTCAAACACCAACACTGCACACACATACACCCTGCATTCAAACACCAACACTGCACACACATACACCCTGCATTCAAACACCAACACTGCACACACATACACCTTGCATTCAAACACCAACACTGCACACACATACACCCTGCATTCAAACACCAATACTGCACACACATACACCCTGCATTCAAACACCAACACTGCACACACATACACCCTGCATTCAAACGCCAACATTGAACACGCATACACCCTGCATTCAAACACCAACACTGCACACACATACACCCCTACATTCAAACACCAACACTGCACACACATACACCCTGCATTCAAACACCAACACTGCACACACATACACCCTGCATTCAAACACCAACACTGCACACACATACACCCTGCATTCAAACACCAACACTGCACACACATACACCCTGCATTCAAACGCCAACATTGCACACGCATACACCCTGCATTCAAACACCAACACTGCACACACATACACCCCTACATTCAAACACCAACACTGCACACACATACACCCTGCATTCAAACACCAACACTGCACACACATATACCCTGCATTCAAACACCAACACTGCACACACATATACACCCTGCATTCAAACACCAACACTGCACACACATACACCCTGCATTCAAACACCAACACTGCACACACATACACCCTGCATACAAACATCAAGACTAAGTTATATGATATGTATGATATTATAGGAAGTTGTTCTTTGTTCTTTTTCTTGTTTGTGCATGTTTGTTTACATAAATATTATGCATCCGACTCTCCATATCTCTTTCAGTGGACAGTTTGGCCATCCTGAACAAAATAATTTGACATGTCTGAGTTAGTCCTTGCCTTGTCTCACGTATATATTTTCATGTGTTGGGGTTTCAAAGAAATTTTGTCAGTACAGGTTCCCTTTTTAACTGTGATCTATCTGTCAGTTGAACACATGTGAGCTGTGCGGGGGAGAAAATATGAATCTTATAAAGTACTGGATGTAGTCTAAAAAGTTAATGACATTTTAGAATATATTTTGCTTCTACAAAATAAGCATATATAATTTTTAAAGCACAGTTGTAGAGTATCAGATAATAGAAGTAATGAAACCAAGCAAGATGTAACATATAGTTGTTTTTAAGGGAATTTCTTAAAAGGGTACTTTGTAAAAACAGTTAAATTCCACTAATCAGTCAATGTTTAGATCTGACTTCCTAAGCTGTTACATTGATGTAACAGTATCTTTCAATATGATAGTAATCATTATCTGGGGTAAATACAGGAAGCTTTAATCTTAAAAACTTGACTCAGCATTTCAAAGTAAATTCAAACTTAACTTCAAGTTTTAGTCCAATAAAAACACAAAAAAGTAACCTATGTTTTTAAGTCCACCAATTTTGCCTAAAATATGAAACTCACTTTCAATTCCCAACAATTTACACTTTAGTAGGGAAAGTGGTCACAACATTGGGTGGAGAAGGGGCTGGCTAAAGAAAAAAGAAATCTGAGTCTGAGAGAACAAGAGGTCTTTAGGTAATAGATTGGTTAGTAAATAAGGATAAACTAACCTCCCTCACCAGAAAATGAACAGAGAAACAGAGGATAGTTCTGGCGACGAAATCAGTCCACAAGTGGGTTTCTCTGGTAAGTAGATCCTTCACTCTAAGCGATACTTCTCACATGGTCACATTTCAGAATGTCCAAAACAAATGTGATGAAATGACACAGACACGGGTAGTAATTGAATCAAATTCCAACAATTTGATGCAACACATATGTGGTTTACTCCATGACCTTTAGATGTGTCTCCATGTTAGCACACACTGTATGCTTTCACAAGGAATTAGAGCAGGGGGTCCTCAAACTCCGGACCCCAGATGTTGCTGAACTACAACTCCCATGATTCTTTGAATTACATAGATAGCCAGAGAATCATGGGAGTTGTAGTTCAGCAACATCTGGGGGCCCTGGAGTTTGAGGAACCCTGAATTAGAGGGTCTATCAAAAAAATAAATAAAGGTTTAGCCTCACTCACCTTGACAATTATCTATTTACATTAATCATACATTTTTGTTTCCGAATACAGGAGTAGCAGGATTTAGATATATAATGTTAAATACTGTCACTCTCTTTTTTCATGTCATAGCTGCCTAATAATGTTATGCTAATTTCAGACATCTGTATATTGCCTTTAATAGCTGTAATCCCAGTGTTGGTACTGCTATGGGTAGGACTCGGCTGACAGGGTGGTGGCTGTGCCTGGCAGCAGTATACCTGCTTTTTGAAATGCTGCCTAAAACTTCTACTGAGCCAGTAAAGCGCAAATGGGTTAACACAGGAATTGCTGAATGCCAAGACTCGAGCAAATATGGTGGCAGATAGATGGAGCACCGACGAGTTGATATCTGAATGATAGGTGAAGGATCGGTACAAGTAGAGGATGTGATTTGGCAGCCAGCAAAGGGCAAAGAGAGCAACCAACACCAGCACGGTTTTCGCAACTCTTTTACGGGATTCGATCTAGAAATGGGAAAAAAAGAGAATTTGTTGAGAGAATTACTTGCATAAAATAAACTATAATATAATACAAACTATATATGAGCTATAATATATACAATTATAAGGGGATTATAATTACAATTATAAGGAGATTAAATATGAAAATACCAGTTTTTTTTTTACTTTCTGACATTTTAATATCTCCCCCCTGCCCCCTGGGTGATGTGACATTTATCACATATAGAGCGCTCAGTGGCATACAGAATACATAGAGGTTGTGGGGAGGCCAGCAATTGCCCCCAGGCATTTAAATCATTGAACCCCACACTTTTGTTGTGATTTATTTTAGTGTTGTCAAGTTGCCCATTGAGTGCTGACGTCAGCTTGACTGAACATACACATATGGCTGCATGGGAGAGTCTTCAGCACAAATTGTAGAACATTTCTTGACCCACAGATAGCCATTTATGACAACTAGTATATTTTATTTAAAACAACAAATGCATATGACTTATCCAAACTGTGTAGCTAACTAAAGGCAAGCTATGGCTGGTAGAAAGTCCAGGGGCTTGAGATCAATGGTAAATTTCTATGGTCCATCACACATATATTGACTTAAGCCTGCCATAAAAACATCCCCATACCATGCCTAAACCTGAATGTGTTTTACAAATCACATTGCTACACCAAACCTTTGATTGAGTTCAGAGTATTACATGAACCTACATGTATATAAGCCCCACCTGCTGTATAATTCTTTAATTAGAGGTGTTATTTATCTCTTTGTATTACATGGTAGCAGGGCTAACAATTAAATGGTGCCAAAGTTAGACCTAAGCTTTTAGACCCCTGTCAGCGCCCCTCTAACAATGCCCCTGGTTATGTTTTTTTTATTTTATTTTTTTAAATCTCATCTGTTTTTTAAATTTAAATTTCAATCTTGCATGCGATACACTGCATGTACTTTACTTATTTCCTGCAGTGCTGTGCTGTGTGTATGACACTACTGAAGGAATGCACATACACTGTGGAGGAATTATGAGACTGCAAAGCCACCCATAATGTACATACCTCCCAACTCTGGCACCAAAGAATCAGGACGGCAGTGGGAGGGAGATAAAAGGGGCAGAATGTGGGCAGGTCCACCAGAGTTAATGACAGGCCCATGCCAGGCTGCCTGTCCTCATTCCGGACAGCTCACTGAGTGCAGGACATGCATGGAGCACTGTTTCATTGCTATCTTCAGGGTCTTAGTGCCCTGAACACCTTATGATGCGCTCGTGCTATGACTGTTTGGACAGTTCCCAAGTGTCCCCAAAAACGAGACATCAGGGAACCAAAGCAGAACAGGACCAGAATATTGTGACTCTACTGCTAATATCGGGATGGTTGGGAGGCATGATGTGGAAGTGCAGCAGAGGTAAGTGCATTTATAATTACCTCTGTTGCTTCATTCACCCAAGTAAACACTGCAATAGCGTTTACTCTGTTGAGAGAACATGGAACTGTCACTTCAATAGAGGAACACCCTAATCCCCGCGGCACGCCTATGGAGTGAGACCGGCAGGGGAGATCTCAGGATCTGCTCTAAGCCTCCCTCCCCACTGCAGCATGGAGGGAGGCAGGAGAGGACCCGGGGAGCTTAACCAGCAGCTCCGCCGGGTTCCTCTCGCGAGATCTGATCGTTGCCCAGGGGCTAGAGTTCACTCTCCACTGGACCACCAGGGAAAGCAGCAGGAACAAGAATCCCCGCTCCCTACATAAGGTGAGAAGGGAGGGGGGTTATTAAGTAATGTACCCCCACCTCCACACATATACAGCACACAGCACACACACAGCACACACACAGCACACACACACATACAGCACACTCACAGCACCTTCACACATACAGCACACACACACATACAGCACACACACACATACAGCGCCCTCACACACATACAGCACACACATACTGCACCTTCACACATACAGCACACACACACACAGCACACACATACAGCACCCACACACACAGCACCCACACACACAGCACCCACACACAGCACACACACACATACAGCACCTTCACACACATACACCGCACACACACACATACAGCACCTTCACACATACAGCACCCACACAGACACAGCACCCACACACACACAGCACCCTCACACATACAGCAACCACACACATACAGCACCCTCAAACACACAGCACCCTCTCACACACAGCACAGAAACAGCACGCTAACAGGACCCTAACAAACACACACACAAACACCCTCACACACACAGCACACAAACAGCACCCTCACACACACATCACACTAACAGCACCCTCACACACAGCACCCTTACACACACACACAGCAGTGTATGTATGTGTGTGTGTGTATATATATATATATATATATATATATGTGTATGTGTGTGTATATATATATATATATATATATATATATATATACACACACACATATATATACACGCGGCGTGAGTTTGTGCTTTAGGGTGCACACCCTAATGCAATAGGCTGCGCATGCAACTGGTATTATTATAGCAAATATTATTATTATTATTATTATTATTATACCAAATATTCTGAGCTCAAATCTAAGAGAGACATAAAGATAGCAATTAAAAAAAGTCAGGACTTTTCAATATAATGCGAATTCTTGGAATTCAAAGGGAATTTAAAAACAAATATGTTTCAACTGCGCTTTTGAAGCCTGAAATTAGAAATTTGCAGTAAATTCCCATTCCTTTCATGAATAATTTTCAGAGTGATCTGGGTTCCAAATTGATACTATTCCTCCTAAAATAAGATCAGCTCGCTGCAGTGGTTATGGTGCCAAGAGTCCCCTGAAGCCCCCAACCCCCCCAATGACAGTAGTCGAATAATTTTAGAATAGTTTGGCACCTTACTCTCAGTTCTCCATGTGATGCTCCCCACCTTTCAGAAAGCTAGAATCACTCCGTATTATTTATGGAGCTTTAGGTTTTCCTCTTTAATACGTACTTTCATAACTATATATACTCAGTTCAAGAAAAATCCAAATAAATTCAATATCTATTTTTACTTAGAATAATTAAACGTTACAAACCTGCTTTCGGGCGTGTGTGTGCTCTTCAGCGGGCATGTTACAAGTGCTTCTGTACAGTGTTCTTGCAATGAGAAAGTAATATGCAGAAATTATAGACAAGGGAACAATGTAAAACACCAGGAAACACATCAGGGAATGTGTCTCCTGTAATATTTTCTCAGACACGGGGTAAGGAGCGCAGGCTTTGAAAGATGTATTTTTTTCAGGGTCTCCAAACTCGTACAAATCGGAGAACACTGCTTCTGGGGCAGCAAGCAGCATGGAAATTATCCAGACACAAAGAGCTTTGCCACACGTTTTCAGAACCGCATCTGAGGTCTGCAGCTCCAAGGGTTTCACAATTGCTCTATACCTGTATGTGAAGAACAAAATCATTAGAATGTTGTAGATGGCACACTCCGACAGCCATAACTGGGGGCTTCAAAAATTTGCATAATAATTGCAATCACAGAAAAAAAAAAACATTAACAAGATCTGCACAAAATCATTATACCAGTCAGCTGAGAGCTATTGGAAAACAGTCAATTTGTACTTTAGCTGTTTGAATGCAAATAAGAATGCCCCTAAAATATTAGATTTTTTTTTCTAGATAAAACTTTCTCACAGATAAGTAAGATGAAAAATGCAAAAAGTATTATTTACTAAAGAAACACTATAGCGTTAGGAATACAAACATGTATTCCTCTGTTATTATAATCTTTATTTGGTTTTGTTTCGTTTTTGTTTAGACATATTTAAACACAAAAATTATAAACAAAAAAAAACGTAACATTTATACAAATTTCATTAGAGTAGTTGAGGAACCGCTGATAGAGATGGAAAACAACCAGATAGCGATGGTTATAACATCTCGAGGGTCTAGAGTTTTATGAGATTTTTTTGATTTGGGAGTTGGTTAAGCCATTTGATACATATTCAGTTAATCTTTGACAACCATTGATCCCATATAATACACTTTCTTGGCGAATTTAACTAATTTCTCTTTCCATTTGGATTTGAAAAAGCACTTGAACTTTTGCTTTATTCCAAGAAGGTTTGTTATTAGATTAGTTTTCGAATTGTGCGTTATATTTAATGCAAATATGTATTCCTAATGCTATAGTTTTACTCTACCTGTGTTGTAGTCCACCACCCCCTGTGAGCATTTAAAAGGTGATTATAACTTACCTTTACTCATCGTCAAGCTGGTCTCGCTGAGAAAGCTTCACCGATTCATGATTTTAGCTAATCCATTGCTTCTTCCAGAAACCGCATTTGATTGAGAACCGAGTCTGACTCGATTCTCACAGGGAAGAGCCTCGAGTTGCTGTCAGGTAGACAGTCACAAGAGGTGTGTTTAGCCCTGCAATGAGAACATGGCAATTTCAACAAAACTGCTATGTTTTACATTGCAGGGTTAATAGTAAACGGCCACTGCATTTAGAGAATTCACTGAAATGAAGTGGTCTGGTTGCCTTTAGTGATCCTTTCCTAAAGGCCCATTTAGATTTCTGGGACCAGAAGTAAAGATTTTAAGGGACTAACTTGTATTATACACACAGTTAGGGAACCATTCATATGCTTATACATGCATTTTGCTAAAAAATAAAAATAAAATTATGATAATGATGAACAACTATGATATCCTTTGTAGCACACACAATCCGTTTCATATCCCCTCCAAACATCTGTGTAGATCCAGCGGTGGCTGAAGTTAAAATATGGTGGGGTGCTGCCTCCCCACCAACTTGTTTGGCTCTACCTAGTTAACCCATGAGATGTCATGTTTAAAATCAGCTGCATTTTCAATAATCAATAAAGGGCAGAATGGATACTGCACACATAATCAATGCAGGCACATTTTGTTTTAACACACAGTTATCAGTAGTCCTTACCTGGGTTGGACTGGTAAAAAAAAAACTTTGCCTTTGCATTTTTTTAGTCAGTGAGAAGGGTGTTTTGTCATCACTAATGACAAGCAGACCCCCTTTCAAAGGGAGAATGTTGGCTTAAAGCTCTTTCAGGACAGACCATGCACAGAGCTCTGCTGAAGAGCTCTCACATGAGAAAAAGGCCCTGCATTTGTTCTGAGCAGCGCAAATGAATTTAATGACACGCTTGCGTTGTGTTTGCTTGTGACTTGTCCATACCATACCATAGAGCAAAAGGGCCAGGGAAGTGTATTGTACATGTGTTTGTAGGCTGCTTGTGGGATTGCTTATGTGTAGAGTGAGCTGATTGTGGTGTGGTGTTTTGTGTAAATTGGTCAGTTTCAGTTGTGTTGTGTTTGTGGTGTAATATGTATGGATATGGGCTGAAGAAAGTGAGAGTGTGTGTATAGGGGATATAGCGAGTGTGTGCATATGAGCTGTAGTCTCTGTGTGGATAGGTGATGTAGTGTGTGTAGGCAGTGGCGTACATACCAGGGTCGCCGCCCCTGCGACCCGGTATGTACCCACAGGGCCAGCCTCTTCCCCTGGGGGGCCCAGGAGCCGGCCACCCCAGGGCCCCACGAGGCTGGCCCTGCTGACCCCGGCAGGCTGGCTATCTGGGTGGACGGTGCGCGAGGGAGCACTCAGTGCTTCCTCTTCAGCTCCCTCGCGCACCGCACTGATACCGGAGCCGGAAGATGACGTCATCTTCCGGCGCCGGCATCCCCACGCGGTGCGCGAGGGAGCTGAAGAGGAAGCACTGAGTGCTCCCTCGCGCACCGTCCACTCAGATAGCCAGCCTGCCGGGGTCAGCAGCACCACTGGACCCCAGGGAATCCCCCCAGCACTCCTAAAGGTAAGGAGGCTGGGGGGATTAAATTTAAAAAAAAATGTGTGTGTGTTAGTGTTAGTGTGTGTGTGTTAGTGTGTGTGTGTGTTTGTGTGTGTGTGTTAGTGTGTGTGTGTGTGTGTGTGTGTGTGTATGTTAGTGTTTGTGTGTATGTGTTAGTGTGTGTGTCAGTGAGTGTGTCTGTTATTGGGTGTGTGTCTGCTAGTGAGTGTTTTACTGTGTGTGTCTGTTACTGAGTGTGTTTGATGTCTGTTAGTGAGTGTGTGTTTGTCAGTGAAAGTGTATGTTTTATGAGTGTGTATGTATGTCTGTCACTGAGTGTGTCTCTGTCAGTAAATGTGTGTGTCTGTTAGCTAGTGTGTATGCGTCTGTTCGTGAGAGTGTGTGTCTTCAGCATTTACCTTTCTCCAGCGTCGGACTCCCTTGGCGCTGGGGATCCCTCCGCCTCTCAGCTCCGAATGCACATGCGCAGCAAGAGGCGCGCGCGCGCATTTAAACCGCCCATAGGAAAGCATTACTCAATGCTTTCCTATGGACGTTCAGTGTCTTCTCACTGTGATTTTCACAGTGAGAATCGCGGAAGCTCCTCTAGCAGCTGTCAATGAGACAGCCACCAGAGGCTGGATTAACCCTCAGTGAAACATAGCCGTTTCTATGAAACGGCTATGTTTTCAGCTGCAGGGTTAAAACTAGAGGGACCTGGCACCCAGACCACTTCATTGAGCTGATGTGATCTGGGTGTCTGTAGTGGTCCTTTAAGTGGGTGTGCATACCGCGGTCGCGGGGTCGCAGCCCTGCAACCCCTGCGACCAGGTGCCCACCGCCATGTGTTGCGGCCCCAACCCGCGCCAAGTAAGCGCGGGGGTGGGGGGGGGGCCCACGGATCAATTTTCGCACCGGGACCCCATGGGTCATGTGTACGCCACTGACTATACAATCCTGTCCCTAGTTAGTTTTTGCCCATCCCCTCCTCCCGTGTGTAGTATAATGTAAACCAGTGGTCCCCAACCCAGTCCTCATGGACCACCAACCTTCCAGGTTTTGTCATCATCTCCATTGGAATAAAAAAGGGAAATACATAAATCCTGGGCCATTGGTGGTCCATGAGAACTGGGTTAGGGATCACTGATGTAAACTACCTTTGCTTCAACACCAAGTCTCCCTTGGCACTGCCACCCGCTCATCTCTGTGTGAGTGATGGTACAATCCAATGCTCCTTATAGAGGAACGCCGGGGAGTGTAGGCAGATGCACGGCACTCGCTGGAATCCGCCAATGATTTTTCATAGAGAGTCATTGAATACCTTAATTCTCTATGACAAGCCATGATGAAACTGCGCATGTTGTGTTATATTTCTGGGTATGAGAGCCAGAACTAACATTCCTGGCTCTCCTTTCCAAGTTTGAAGGTGTGGCGTGATGCTAAAATATTACATTTTGATGGCAATTTAAAGGAGGTAACTACTGTAGGCACCGTAACAACTTCAATTAGATGATGTTGTTATAGTAATTACAGTTTTCCTTTGAGTTTAAAGGAATACTCTAAGCATCACATCCATTACAGCTATGCTATGGTACCAAGAGTACCCTGGCAAACACCAGTGTAAGGAGTCAAAGTGTTTTAGAATCGTTTGAGATCTTACCCAGGGTCTGCCACAAACCTCTCCCCACCTCCACCAACTGAGCCAGATAGACAGAAGCTCCTGCTTAGTAGTTTTCATTAGCTCTCCTGGGCTAAGCCTTGCAGTGCAGCTGCTGTGGTGATTATGGTGCCAGGAGTATCTAGACATAGCCCAAAATAAACAATTTGTCACTCCTTGTCTTTCCAAGTTACTAATACAAAATTCCCTACATCTGCATTAATATCTCAATTCTACTACGTTTGGATGAACTTCATTGGCAGATAAAATAAGCTGAGATTCTCATTCGATTTATTCTGTAGAAATAAGGATGAAACTGGCTGTATTTGTGTATGTTAGTATGTATCTATGTCTGTATGAATGTCAGAATGTATGTATGTATGTCAGTATGTCTGTATGTATGTCAGAATGTCTGTATGTGTGTCTGTATGTATGTCAGTATGTGTGTATGTATGTATGTGTGTATGTATGTCAGTATGTCTGTATGTATGTCAGAATGTCTGTATGTATGTATGTGTGTATGTATGTCAGTATGTCTGTATGAATGTCGGAATGTCTGTATTTGTGTCTGTATGTATGTCAGAATGTCTGTATGTATGTCAGAATGTCTGTATGTATGTCAGAATGTCTGAATGTATGTGTGTCTGTATGTATGTCAGTATGTCTGTATGTATGTCAGAATGTCTGTATGTATGTCAGAATGTCTGTATGTATGTCAGAATGTCTGTATGTATGTCAGTATGTCTGTATGTATGTCAGTATGTCTGTATGTATGTATGTGTGTCTGTATGTATGTCAGTATGTCTGTATGTATGTCAGTATGTCTGCATGCATGTGTGTCTGTATGCATGTCAGAATGTATGTATGTATGTGTGTCTGTATGTATGTCAGAATGTCTGTATGTATGTCAGTATGTCTGTATGTATGTCAGTATGTCTGTATGTATGTCAGTATGTCTGTATGTATGTCAGAATGCTGTATGTATGTCAGTATGTCTGTATGTATGTCAGTATGTATGTCATTATGTCTGCATGTCTGTATGTCTGTATGTATGCCAGAATGTCTGTATGTATGTCAGTATGTCTGTATGTATGTCAGAATGTCTGTATGTGTGTCTGTATGTATGATAGAATGTCTGTATGTATGTCAGTATGTCTGTATGTATGTCTGTATGTATGTCAGTATGTCAGAATGTATGTCAGTATGTCTGTATGTATGTATGTATGTGTGTCTGTATGTATGTCAGTATGTCAGAATTTCTGTATGTATGTCAGTATGTCTGTATGAATGTCTGTATGTATGTCTGTATGTATGTATGTATGTATGTGTGTATGTGTGTCTGTATGTATGTCTGTATGTATGTCTGTATGTATGTCAGTATGTCAGAATTTCTGTATGTATGTCTGTATGTATGTCAGAATGTCTGTATGTATGTATGTATGTATGTATGTGTGTCTGTATGTATGTCTGTATGTATGTCAGTATGTCAGAATTTCTGTATGTATGTCAGTATGTCTGTATGTATGTCAGAATGTCTGTATGTATGTTAGTATGTCTGTATGTATGTCAGAATGTCTGTATGTATGTCAGTATGTATGTGTGTCTGTATGTATGTCAGAATGTCTGTATGTATGTATGTGTGTGTAAGTCAGTATGTGTATGTATGCATGTCTGTCTGTGTGTATGTATCTGTATGTATTTCAATATGTATGTATATGTCTGTGTCTGTCTGTTTTTTATATGTATGTATGTCAGTATGTGTATGTGTGTGTATTTATGTCCTTATGCGTGTGTGTGCAGTGTGCATAGGAATTTGTTCATATTGTTTATTGTCCGGCCCCCAACAGTGTCCGAGGGACCGTGAACTGGCCCCTTGTTTAAAAAGTTTGAAGACCCCTGTCATTATGTATGTATGTCATTATGAATGTATGTCTGTGTGTATGGATGTCAGTATATATGAATGTATGTATGTATGTCTGTATATATGTGTGTATGCCAGTATGAATGTATGCCATTATGAATGTATGTCTGTGTATGTATGTGTGTATGGATGTCAATGTCTGTATGAATGTATGTTTGTCAGTACATCTGTATGTAAGTATATATATATATATATATATATATATATATGTATGTATGTATGTATGCCAGTATGACTGAATGTATGTCTGTGTGTATGTATATCGGTGTATGTATGTGTATGTCTTCATGCATGTGTGTCTGTACGTATGTTAGTATGTGTCTATCTGTCACTATGTATGCCTGTGTGTCTGTATATGTGTGTATATCTCAGTATGTGTGTGTCAGTACGTATGCCTGTATGTGTGTCTGTTAGTATGTATCTTTGTGTGTGTGTGTGTGTGTGTCTGTGTCATTTTGTATCAGTGTGTGTTTTTGTGTCTGTGTGTGTATTCCTGTGGGCGGGATTTGGAGGCGGACCCTGTGGGCGGGATTGGAGGCGGGCCCCAGGCGGCCCAGACCCTGAGCTGAGTTAGGGGCCCCAAAATTTCTGGTGGCGGCCCTAATGGTGCCTACACTGCCCCATTGAGCTAATTCTCCCTTACAGCTGTGTTTCAATTCTTTAGAACATCACAGATTTCTAGAAGACTGTATCAAACATGGACTTCACGTTCACTCAAGTCATTGGATACATTTTTCTCTTCACTGTTGTGGAATACCAGTTGAAGACGTTCTCCTTTATTCTTAATCCTGTGCAATACCTACATTAAAGATGATATAAAATGCAATTTGCAAGAAAACAGTTTCAAATGGCACTTATTAAGGAATATTTTTAAAAGCAAAATCAGCTGCTGTCCTGGGGCAGGAGCTAAGTAAGGAGACATCACCGTGGAAACCAATAAAATATCTCAAGATTTAGCTCTAAACCTAGAATAATTATCAACTCTTAATTAAATAAAAATACCCAAGAGAGATTTAATGAGTGTAACGGCACCCCCAGGCATAAAAGGGTTAAACCGCCGTTTAGTAGATCTTCCCCTTCCAGAGATGTAGGCACAGCTACTGCAGAACACCAATCCGCCGAACAGGAAACCATATGAATGCTGTAAGCAGCCGAATAGGAAAAACCATACGAATAGGTTTACACTCCTAGCAGTCAAACTGTAACAGCATACAATAAATCCCCCCAAGAACGAGACAAAGCTCCGTGTTGAGGGTCAAGCAGTGAACAGTCAGATCTGTGGGTTTATTGTTCTTATGAACACATTCTTACACATTAGTTCCACCCACAGGGTTTTGGAACACAACCAATAAACACATACAATACACTCAGACACTCCCACTCAAAATCCTCCCCTCTGCCTGTGATTCAATTACCTTACACAATGGGTAATGTAATTTAGCACAAGCAGAGAAATACAATTTTTCCACATTATTCATAACTTGAAATGTATGCATCACATTCACATAAACTTACATTTTCAGAATCAGCATACTCCAAATACAAACATACGTCAAAATCATACAAATTGGTCCAGTGGTTCAAAAGATAGATAGAGTCCTGCTGCTGGGGAAAGGAGACTGGGCTCTCTATTCCCGGTAGGACACTCTGCCACTGGGGAATGGAGACTGGGCTCCCAATTCCCTGTAATTCGTACTGCCGCTGGGGAATGGAGACTGGGCTCCCAATTCCCTGCAATATCTCCCGCTGTGGATTGGAGACCGGGCTCCCAATTCCCAATAAATCACACTGCCGCTGGGGATCTGAGCCGACTGCCCAGCATCCCTGTAGCTCACACTGCCACTGGGGAGGGAGGACGCTGCTCTCCTCTCCCTGCAAGGAACACTGCCGCTTGTCTCTGCCGCCTGTAACTCAGCCTGCCGCTGGGGAATGGAGCTAGGGCTCCCAATTCCCTGCAAAATCTCCCGCTGGGGAATGAAACTTGGGCTCCCAATTCCCTGCAATATCTCCCGCTGGGGAATGGAGCTTGGGCTCCCAATTCCTTGCAATATCTCCCACTGGGGAATGGAGCTTGGGCTCCCAATTCCCTGCAATATCTCCTGCTGGGGAATGGAGCTCGGGCTCTCAATTCCCTGCAATATCTCCCGCTGGGGAATGGAGACTGGGCTCCCAATTCCCTGCAGGACCGGTAGAGAGACCTCAGCCCCATCTCCACCAGCCACCTGGGGTTCTTCCCAGTAATATCTGCCCAGCTGGAGGGGTCTGGATCTGGGTCTGTCACCTTGCTGTCCTGCTGAGCCTTCCCAATGGAGTGGAAGAGATCTCGGTAGTTCTGCTCCAGTTCCCACTCCAGGGTTGCTAGGTGAGCCAGGTCTTGCTCTACCTCATGGGGGTCATCCCAGTCATGCCTAGCCTCCCTCTCGTAGAAAATGTCCTGAAGTCTGGTCTGCGCAGGGCTCCCGAAGTCAGGCTCTGCAAAGGACTCCCATAACAAGCCAGGACCATCAAACTCCTCTCCCTCTGGCTTGTCATGCTCGGCTGTCCAGGGTATATACTGTGCCATATACCACCAGAGCGCCTGGTAGGCATGCTCCAGCCATAGCTCCTGCCATACCCGGTGCTCTAGTTCCTTCACCCATTCCTCCAGGGGCTGCTCTCCCAGGAAGGGCATCCGCAGGGCCACTTGCTTCTGCAACCGCTGCTCTTCACTGGGGAGGCTCTCACCCCGCTGGTATTGTACATTATCCAGGGCCTGGTACCAGATGCCTTTCCTTAATGCATCCCGGGCCATCCAGGTCCTCCTCCTCGTATAACACTGCTGGTTCCATTCTGTTGCTTTTAGGGTCGCTGTACTGGGACATGCGTTGCCCCCACTTGTAAATCCAAAGAAATGGTGTCTCCTGTAGCTGTCCTTCTGGCTGTAGGAACGATCCCACCGCTTGCCACCAATTGTAACTGCACCCCCAGGCATAAAAGGGTTAAACCGCCGTTTAGTAGATCTTCCCCTTCCAGAGATGCAGGCACAGCTACTGCAGAACACCAATCCGCCGAACAGGAAACCATATGAATGCTGTAAGCAGCCGAATAGGAAAAACCATACGAATAGGTTTACACTCCTAGCAGTCAAACTGTAACAGCATACAATAAATCCCCCCAAGAACGAGACAAAGCTCCGTGTTGAGGGTCAAGCAGTGAACAGTCAGATCTGTGGGTTTATTGTTCTTATGAACACATTCTTACACATTAGTTCCACCCACAGGGTTTTGGAACACAACCAATAAACACATACAATACACTCAGACACTCCCACTCAAAATCCTCCCCTCTGCCTGTGATTCAATTACCTTACCCAATGGGTAATGTAATTTATCACAAGCAGAGAAATACAATTTTTCCACATTATTCATAACTTGAAATGTATGCATCACATTCACATAAACTTACATTTTCGGAATCAGCATACTCCAAATACAAACATACGTCAAAATCATACAAATTGGTCCAGTGGTTCAAAGGATAGATCGTAGTCCTTTGTGACCACAGGAAGCATGGCTTTTCTGCCCAAAACCAGTTCCACAGAGTCTTCTATCCTGGAGATAATTGTGAAGTAATCCAATTATCTCCAAAGACAGAGGCAAAACTCCATTGAACACATGGCAGCAAAAAGACAGTAAAATACAATAAAATACACAAGGTTACATTTATGACATAAAAATGCAGACATGCAACATATGCCCAGATAGCTAAGGTCTGAGCGCACATTATTACTGAATGGCACTCAGAGCACACACATACAGTTCAATTGCCATGAAGCCAAAGTCTTTCCCATAGTCTTTCATTATACGAATGGGCTCCATGGCATAGCTATCTGGGGTATCACTGCTCAAACAGGGCAAGCACCAAATGACCCGGCTTTCTTGTCTTTGCAGGGGAAAATTAAGCCTTTTAACATGGGGCCATAATCCAAAGGCAACAGGCGAGCAACCAGGCTTCTCCAATGCAATGTGGCGAGATTGCTCTCGTCACAATGAGTGCAACGAAGACACATTGATACGTAATACTTAAGACTAAAACTTTTCATTCTTATTCTCAAACTGCTACATAAAGAATACTGACCCCCATCACTACCCAAGTCTTTTGTTTAGCGATAAATGAGAAATATTTTTTAATTATTTCTCTCATTACTATATTGAAATCTCCACGGCAATGTTTTAGACTATTGTGTTTTAAGATGTGATGGCATCTCAGTCAGAATTTTTCAATGTACAATAATGTAACATTTAAAAACTGGTATTGCCTTGTTATGTGCTTTTTTCCATTTTTAATAAAATAACATCCTCTATTCTTCTACTTTGCAAAATTGTAAAATGTCCAGGAAAATTAATTTTCCATATATACAATGTACAATATGCAGTGTACAAGTCAGTTTTATTGCACAAGACACAGCATTTTATGTTCAACCAAGATAGAGACACAATACGCAAACAGCATGCTTGAAATGTACAACTGGATATGGAGCACCATTTCTTTGGACAGCTACTAAAAAAGGGTACTTTGTCTTCCCCATTGCTTCAAATAAATAGGTCTGTGTGTAATTTGGATCCTGGTTTCTCAACCTGTGGTACGAGTACCCCAGAGGATACGCATACGAAACAGTGGGTACGCTGGGAGCCAGTGGTGAAACTACAGAGGTCGCTGAGGTCACGAGTGTTAGCGGACCCTCTGTTCCACCTGTCAGGGCCACCGTAGGCCCCCTGAAAGCAGCAGCCGTGCAGTAAGGTATTCCAAAATATAGTGTCCGAGGAGAGGCTGAGCATGGGTGGTGAGGGAGCTCTGATCTTTCTGCTTTGCTCCCTTGAACATCCTGCTGGATCCTCTGTAGACAGAGCCAATTCTCTGCACTGATTATGGCTGGGGGATTAACACTTCTAGATGGTGGTCGTTCCACCCTGTGTCTAGAAGTGTCAGAAAGAGGAAATATACAGAGACAAACTGGTCCCTACTTTGTCTCAGTATAAATCTTAACTGAGTTGGATTTCAGTGAAAATGAGTATTTCATAAAGATTCTATCTTTATGAAATACAAATTATTCAGGGTGGGTGACAGTGTCACTTTAATTAAAAAATAATACATTGTGAGTGAATGTGCTTGTCTGTCAGTGAGTGTATGTGTGTCAGTCTGTGTGTGTTTCAGTAAATGCATGTGAGTGTCAGTGAGTGTGTGTGTCTGTCAGTGAGTGTGTCTGAAAGTGTGTCTTTCACAGTGTTTCTGTCTGTTAGTGTGTGTCTGCCTGTCATTGTGTGTCTGTCAGTGAGTGTGTGCCTATCAGTGCGTGTCTGTCAAAGTGTGTCTGTCAAAGTGTGCTAGTATTAGTGGTAGGCGTGCCCATGATTGAAACTGGCTCTTGAAAATTTTGATTCTCTCTCTGTTTATTGGACAATTTATGCATCCAACATCTAAGACAAGTGAACCCCACTCTCTGAATCTTTCACTCATTTACTTCAAAGAATTGTCCAACACATGCATGAAAGGATCAGCAAGTGGTTTTAACACTAGCTTAGAATCTTCATTTAACGGCACATTTATGTTAAATAGTGTGACCACATAGGCTTATATGACTATAATGTCTATGAATGTCAGTTTATGAATCTGTCAGTTGAATTAGAAACCCCCATCCACAAACAGACTAATCTTGGAAACATTAAGAGGGTTATTCACTAAATTGAAAATTCAAAGTGAATTTCAAATGTATACCTTAAATTTCTAATGTATACCTTAAATTTCAAAATCACTTTTAATCCACTTTGATTCTCAATTTAGTGAATAACTCTGTAAAGGACATATAAGGCTAGAGGCTGGGTAGAGCCATACAAGACATTATAAATGTTGAAGAATTCATTTCAGTAAATGTTTTTTTATCTTTCTCTTCCAGTCGCTTGTCTGTTCATCAATTATCTTGTCATGAAATTATTTTGCAGACTTTTCTTCTGTGTTAGATTATCCGTTGAAATCAGATTCTAAAATTATTCCAATTATAATGTCAGGGAGGAGTGGTATTAAAACTATAGCCATTCAACGCTTGAGAGAGTATGACACTATTTTAGATAAAAATGGAGAAATGTATTTAGGACTGATTAACTTCAATCATGTAGAAGCCATCTTTCCTCTAGAATTGGAAGAATGAAGCCATGTGCTTTAAAAAATCAATCAAAGCCTACAAATACCGCAGATATATGACTTGCACCTACATCACAGCTATAATGGTCCATAGATTAGATCTCATATTATAGGTAAACCACTGACTGAATACATTTAAGACGATGTCAGGATCTCATTTGTTAGGTGATTTGACCCATTACACTATTTTCTCTTGTGTAACTTTAATAACAATTAGTTTAATTGACATGCTCTTATATTGGATTTTGCCACATCTTAAACTGAACCCTTTAGTTAGCATAATATGGACCAGGACAAGGCTATCTTCGGCACTTCATATGTTGTGGACTACATCTCCGCTGATGCTTTGCCGGCATTCTGGCTGTACGAATACTATGGGACATGTAGACAACAACATCTGGAGTGCTGTAGGTTGCCTATTCCTGATATAGACCTTTTTATATTTCTCAGAAAATCAGAATCATTTCTTACCTGTCAGCACTGAGGACAGTCAAAGTGAAAACGGATACTCCAACAGAAGTGAGTTGTATGAAAGATATGACCTTGCATCCGATTCTTCCAAATAGCCACGTGTCTACCATATATCTTGAAGCGTCCACTGGAACACAGGTCAACAGCAGAAGCAGATCTCCGAAAGCCAGGCTGGTGATAAATATATTAGGAACCGTCTGCATGGACTTAATCTTGAAGAAGACTTTTATGAGAATTGCATTACCAAGAAGACCAACTGATATAATAACAGCATATGTAATGGAAATCGTGGCCAGTACTTCCAAACCCGGGGATACATTTTCGTTGTCTTCTTGATACAAAGTTGCATTTTCATATGATGATTTCAAAAAAGCCGTTCCATCTGCTGCAGATGATAACGTCAGGTTAAGTGTCGTAGAAGCTTCAGGCATTTTTCTTTTATTATTTCTTCAAATAGAATTTATATTCTCAAAAAATCTTCCCGTTCAGAACAGAACTGACATGAAGCATAACTAAGTGTCTCAATATTCAGCTTCGGAGCCACTGTTTCACTTGATGCCTTACAATTTGTACATGTACTTCGGGAATCAAGCCATAGCTTTCAGCACTCATCAATTGTAAGGAGTGTTTAGACTAGTGCTCACAGTTTCTTTTCTGAACAGTGTGGGAGGCACTGCATATTAGTGTTCAATTTTTACACAGGAATCTTGGGAAATGGGTCTGTTCGCATATTTCTCTATGCTCATTTTAAGCTAATTTCCTTGGTGACGTTGGCAAAGACACCATTAACAATTTTTTTTACTAATTTAGTTTCAGCACAAAAAAACATTTGAATATTTGTACACAATTTACACAACTTGAATTTAGCTGTGATTTAAAATCAGAAAACAGACTAAAGCTGCTATTGTACAAAAACAAGCCCTGCGCTCAAACTCCCATCACTCCTGGGCGGCAGCAACGACCATAGTACACATCAGCCCCAATACATACAGTAAAAACCAAAGAAAAACATTACCTGCGCTCTTCTCAAATCCCTATGTATATTTAAACAAATGGAGGTCATTTAGTTTCTCCAATGGCCATGAAAGACTTTAGCCCACCTGCCACGTCAAGGCTAACCTCTCAGGTAGGTCCTACACTAACCTTTCACCTTGCTTCCTTCACCTTCTGGCAAAGATATCTCTAATGAGACAGAGAGGGGTATTTTTTTTATATACATGCTTATTAATAAAGACCACATGGGGTTAGGGGCAGCATTGGAGAAACTAAATAATCTGCATTTGTTTCAATATGCATAGGGATTTGGGAAGAGCGCAGGTAACTTTTTCCTTATGATTTTTAAAGCTGTTATGGCTCATGATATTTATATTTACTTTATTTCTGGGATGTTTTCTGTTTTTTTTTGTGTGTTTTTTTGTTTGAAAAAACATACATGTGTGCTTATTTGGACAAATCCCCATATTTAATTTTGCATCCGCTGTTTATTACAAATTATGTTTTTTCACCTGCATTACTTCAAATCCTAAACCTACATACCTACTGTATTCAGTGGATACTGAAAATATTGTATGTTCATCAAATGAGATAAAATGTTTGTGTTTTTATTTTTGTTTTGTTTTTGTTTTAAAAAAATCGTATGTGTACTATGGTTGTTGCTGCCGCCCAGTAGTAATGGGAGTTTGAGCGCAGGACTAGTTTCTTTGTAAAGTATGTATACAGGGCTGGCCTTAGGCCTTTAGGCACCCTGTGCGCAAAAATCTTCACAGCACCCCCCCCTCCCATCATCCATGTAAGATGTCATATTTGTGTTGTCTGTGTATGTGATAGGATAGGTGTGATGACTGTGTGTGATATGTATGCTATGTGTTGGCTCTGTGTGACATTCGTAATGGGTGTATTAACTGTGTGTGATATATGTGTATTGGTTGTATGTGATATTTGTGCTGGGTTTATGACCTGTGTGTGGTGGTTATTTACTTCAGATAAAAACATGCATTTAGGCCTGTGTGTGAATGCAGGTGTATATTTTTGCAGAGTTATGTGCACTCAGTCCCATAGTCAGATGCACACAGTTATACATATACACTGTCAAATCCACCACATGCACATAGTTGCAGGCAGATAGTCACATACACAGGATGAGGCAGAAACACCCAGGTATAGACAGTAACAAAAATACACAGTTACTGGTAGATAAACACACTCACACACAATTAAAGGCAGACAGTCACACACACACACACACACACACAGGGAGACAGCCACACACACACACACACACACACAGTCTTACATACACATACTTACATGCAGACAGTCACACACATACACACACAGGCAGACAGCCCCCCCACACACACACACAGGCAGACAGCCACACACACACACAGAGAGGCAGACGGCCATACACACAAAGGCAGGCAGTCACATACACAGGCAGACAGTCACACAAACACACACAGGAAGACAGTCACTCACACACACACGGGCAGACAGTCATACACAGACACACACACACACCCAGGCAGACAGTCATACACACAGACACACACAGGCAGACACACACACACACACACAGGCAGACAGTCATACACACAGACACACACATGCATAGGCGTGCGCACGGGGTGTGCCGGGTGTGTCTGAGCACACCCTAATCCCTGCGGCACGCCTATGGAGTGAGACCGGCAGGGGAGATCTGCTCTAAGCCTCCCCTCACCGGCCCACAGGCAGTGAGGGAGGCAGGAGAGGACCTGGGGAGCTATTGCCGGCAGCTCCGCCGGGTTCCTCTCGCGAGATCTGAGCGTTGCTGCAGCAACGCTCAGATCTCGCGAGAGTGAACTCTAGCCCCGCAGGCTAGAGTTCACTCACCACTGGACCACCAGGGAAGGCAGAAAAGATCCCCCTTCCTACATAAGGTAAGAATATCAAGTGGAGCCCACCTCCACTGGACCACCAGGGAAGGCAGCAGCACGGTCCCCCCTCCCTACATAAAGTAAGAAGGGAGGGGGTATATTTATTAACTAATGTGCCCCCACCTCCACCCCCACAAGTCACACACACATACAGCACACACACATACAGCACACAAACAGCACACACACAGCACCCACACAAACATATAGCACACATACAGCACACACACATACAGCACACATACAGCACCCACATACATACAGCACACAAACAGCACCCACACACACAGCACCCACACATACAGCAAACAGCACACACACATAGCGAATAAACAGCACCCACACACACACAGCATCCTCACACATACAGCACCCACACACATACAGCACACACACAAACAGCACCCACACACAGCACAAACACACATACAGCACCCACACACACAGCACCCACACACAGCACCCACACACACAGCACCCCCACACACATACAGCACCCTCACAAACACACACAGCACCCTCACACACCGCACACAAACAGCACCCTCACACACACACAGCACACTAACAGTACCCTCACAAACACAAACAGCACCCTCATGCTGCACACTAGCAGGACCCTAACAAACACACACACAGCACACTACCAGTACCCTCACACACAAACAGCACCCTCACACACAGTACATTAACAGCACCCTCACAAGCGCACACAAACACCCTCACCCACATAGCACACTACCAGCACCCTCACACACACATCATACTAACAGCACCCTCGCACAGCACCGCACACACAGCAGTGTATGTGTGTGTGTATATGTGTGTGTAAATATGTGGGTATATATATATATATATATGCGGCATGTGCTTGTGCTTTAGGGTGCACACCCTAATGCAATAGGCTGCGCACGCCTATGCACACACACACAGGCAGACAGTCATACACACACACACAGGCAGACAGTCATACACACACACAGACACACACACAGGCAGACAGTCATACACACACACACACACAGGCAGACAGTCACACTCACACTGACAATCACACATAGTTACCTCTGTTCATTGTGGAGGCAGTGCAGCTCCTGGAGACTGTTTGTTGGGGAAGCAGGGACTCCTTCCTGCTTCCCCTGCAGCAGTTTTCCGTAACTTTTAGCTCCGCACCCCGCCGCACGGGAAGCTCTGCCCTCGCCGCAAATGTATTATTTTTTTAAAATCCCGGCCAGTCATGTGTGAGCTGTGTCGGCCACATGGCACACCCTGCTCCATGGCGCCCTGTGGCACAGCTCGCACACCCCTAAGGCCGGCCCTGTATGTATAACCCTACTTAATTTAGCAAAGTTGTTTTGGTGACTATAGTGTCCATTTTTGTAAATAATCTTATGTAATGTGATATGCACAAAAGGCCCACTGTGGCAGTTGTAGAAAATACATTATTAGGTAATATTAATGTTTATACTTGTGTTTGTACTGCATTTTTTTAGAGAAAGTATTTATCTTATATCAAGCTCTCAATGATTCCAATAATAAAAAAAAAGATAAAATAATAAAAGCACACTTATAATTTATTGGATATAGAAATGTGGTGCCGGGCCCAAAAAGTCTATATTGTTTTTGCTATAAGCACAATTAATTAAATTACAGTACTCAATAAATATAATTTAATTCTTTATTAACTGTCATATAGTATCTTAATCCAACTGGGAGACTACTCCTACACTGTGTTAGAGCTCTGCTTGTGTCATCTGTTCACCCACACATTAATATTAGTTTACAATATGAATAAATTATTATATAAATAATACCATGTTGTTATATCTCATACCGTTATCATTCCTGTCACTATGTCCTGAATATCGTATTGTAATCTGGTATTATATCGCACTCTCACATTTATTATTTATAACATCCCCGTCCATAAAGGGTTACTCCACATACCAAGACTATGTCACTGAGTTGAAGTGGTTATGGTGCGTGGAGTCTGTGTTTCAGTGTTTCACTATGAAATGCTGCACATACAGCATTTGACCCCACTACTGCCGGAGGTATAACTCCACTTTCAACTGCGTCATTGGAGCGACATTATACAGCTGTATTATAGATAGATATTAGTATATTTAAATATATAGATATACAATGATCAGCCACAAAAATTAAACCACTGACAGGTGAAGTGGATAACATATATCATTACAATGGCACCTGTCAAGGGGTGATATATATTGGGCAGAAAGTGAACAATCAGTTCTTGAATCCCATGTGTTTGATGCAGGAAAATGATCATGCAAAAAGATCTCGGTGATCAGGGCCAATAGTAATGGTTAGGCAACTGGGTCAGAACAATAATGTCCAATATTAAATTAGAGTCCAATTGTTAACAGTCTATTTGATGAAAAGCTATATCATAATAGCAATAAATAAAATAGAATAATAGTCTTTTAAAGTCTTTGTTTGTATTCTAAAAGACTTTAAAAGACTATTATTCTATTTTATTTATTGCTATTATGATATAGCTTTTCATCAAATAGACTGTTAACAATTGGACTCTAATTTAATATTGGACATTATTGTTTTATTTTATTTTAACATTTTATCGCAATTTCTATTCACAAGCATTGCACAATTAGTATCCCTATGGCATATACTACTCCTGGATACTTTATTAAATTTTATTTAATAATTTTTCTTCTATTTGCACTATTAGGGATTTTTAGTGGAGTCTCTATTTTCCAGTAGAGTGGTTTAGCCTTGCCATTATTCATTCTCTAACCAGAGATTTACTTTTAAAGTAATCTCACCTATTAACCCTTAACTGGGTCAGAACATCTCCAAAACGGCAAGTCTTGTGGGGTGTTGCACAGTATGCAGTGGTTAGTACCAACCATAAGTGGTGCAAGAAAGGTCAAATGGTGAACTGGCATCAGGGTCCTGGGCACCCAAGGCTCATTGATGCAAATGAGGAACAAAGGCTAACCCATCTGGTCAGATCCCTATAGGTCAGGTGGATAGCCGTCTGCGTGTGTTGTTTACCAGGGTAGGAGATGGCAGCACTATGGGAGGGACCCAGAGGCATTGTTATGTTCTTGGCAATGTTCTGCTGGGAAACGAGAGGGACCTACATGATATTAGGCAGGTGGTTTTAATTTGTAGTTGATCAGTGTGTATGTTGTACATTTCCTATTACTTTCAACAATTATGGTCTATGTCTCTTAGTTTTTGGTCTGGACAGACAAGGACATGTTCCCATATTTTTATTAAATGATTGATAATGAATTATGTTTTTCTGAGACTTAAAGTGTAGATGCTAATGGCTTCCTTTTGATGTTGTGCATCTGATAGCTTATTCCTTTTATTCAGACATTTGATATAAAACTAATAAGTGTAAATAGCAGCTATTAGTGACTGAATCTTGCATAAGTGGCAGCATTTTCCCCATTATCTTCTCCAATTCTCTTGATGTACTTGCCTCTTTTCTGAGAGTGATGCTTACAACAAACCATCTTTATGCATAATTCGTAACAGTTCCTTCTATTAGTTCTCATAGCCTTCACCTTCTGATTTGTAATTCTTTAGTTTTTTGGGGTGTTTTTTTTCTGTTCTTTTTGCAGACTTTTTATACAGTTATCTCTAATAAGAGGAAATATTTCCCCATGAACAACACAACATTAAATATACCAGAGGATACAGCTACAAATGGGCTCCAAGCCCTAAAGATCGTATTTGCATTGCTCTTCCTACGTGTCTATATCTCATAATCTATTTTTTTTAATTTCAATTTGACAATTTTTATTGAGTCAAGATCATTGCAGTTGGATACAGAAGAGAAAAGGGGTAAGGGTATACGTATTCAACCCTATCGCAGTAGGGAACATAGCGTGATTACATTTCAGCCAGCAGTGAGCAGTAACATACGTACAACATTTTCTTTTTCTTTTTTTTTTTTGGAGAGCGGTATATATTCCCGCGGTTATATGGTGCCATGGCTGTACCCTGAATTCGTTCATCCTACCTCCATTGCAGTGTTCCCTGGATAGTTCCCAGGGCTTCTCTCTAGATACCTCATGACTTTAGCCGCTAAATCTTGGCCTTCATGGTCCACCATTTCCTTTCTCCCTGTCTCGAGGCCTTAACTGATTGGCTCTGTCAGCTGAGTGTTGTTGATCTATATTTCTACCGTCTGTCCCCTTGTGTTCCCAAATCGTACCCTTTTAGCTGGGGTCCATTCCCAATTCTAAACTACCCTCTCTTTCGTGCTTGACTCTTTTGATATACTTTTAAAAGGAAATAAAATGAATAAAAGGTGAGTGGTGAAAATAGGAGAAAACTCAGAAAAAAGGATTCTAACTATTTACAGAGCGAGTTTGAGCCTGCGCAGGCATCTTATGCGGGATGCCCTGTGATACTGTATTCGTGATAGATGCTATGTTCTACATGCTATGAGGCTTTTGCGGAATCTCTGGTGCACCTTGTGGTTATTAGAATCATTTCGAGCTCGGTTATGCGATACGGTTGTTGTCCCCCTCTGTCCAGAAACCTCCCTACAGTACGTCCGTCATCTATGGTGTCCCTTTCTCCCCTGTCTCCCCTTCCCCCTTGTCACCCTACTCCTGTCCCACTACGCCTCTTCTTTCACCTTTTTTTTTTGTATCAGTCCATTTCACGCTCCCCTCACCCTTCCCTGCATGCGTCACCCCTGCTGTCCACTGTCACCGGTCATTTCAGCTACAGTATTAGTGATATAGGTCCCCCATTTTTTAAATGCCTCCTGTAAGTGCTTCTTGGGTCAGAGGTGTTTATGCGCCATCATTTTATAGTCTAAATTCAGTGAGATTTGGTTCAATAGGGCTGGTGTTGCTGGGAGATCTGTGGTTTTCCATGCTCTAGCTATTAATAAGTTTGCCGCAATTAGTATATGAAATAGCAAGAAAGATTCTGGACCGAAGAGGCTATCTATCGATGCAAACAGGAGACAAATTTCAGGGGTGGGTTCAACATGTGCACCTATTGCATCGGTCGCGATGTGCACCACTATTTGCCAGAATGTTTTAATTTCTGCACATGTCCACCACATATGGTGCATCGTGCCCACCTCTTGTGTACATCTCCAACACACGTTGGAAGTGTTTGGATACATGTTTGCCAGTCTATCTGGCACCATGTACCATCTATATTGTATCTTCCTCATAAGTTCTAGATGTGAGGCACAACTCAATCTACCCCTGTGCGCAATAAACGCTTTGTTCCAAAATCGTATGTGTAGTGTCTGGTTGAGGTCACGCTGCCAGTCCAGTCTAAATTTGTCCTGTGGTTCTTTCTGTGGGTCAGTAAGCACTTGTTACATGGAGGAGAGCACTTTTTTCAGGGTGGTGGGAGCTGAGAAAGCTGTCTCAAAATAAGCCATGATAGGTGTGGGTGGTTGTGTTGGGTGTTGTGTGAGTTCTGCTTTGATTTGTAGATAAGTGAACAGCGCCCTGGATGGTAGATTAAACTTCCCCTGGAAATCCGGAAACTGGAGTTGACCTGTGTTGTTAAACAGTTGCCCTATGGTGTTGCAGCTCCCGGACACCCAGGGTTTAAAAAATTAAAGGAAGGGTTAATTATGTGTAAGCAATTTATGGGGGTGGCATGAGACCACGAGTGTTCCGACCCTAATTGTTTTTTTACGTTATCCCACGTGAGTAGAAGCAGCGCCGTGTTGCTGGGTATATTTGGCACCTGGGGTCTTTTGGAGCATGGTATACTTTTAAAAGGAAATAAAATGAATAAAAGGTGAGTGGTGAAAATAGGAGAAAACTCAGAAAAAAGGATTCTAACTATTTACAGAGCGAGTTTGAGCCTGCGCAAGTATAGAAGGACTCAATCTCGATCCACTTGGGGGGGTTTACCTTTGTGTAGGAGAATATGACCGAGGAGAACAGTGCTGCCTTGTAGTATGCTTTGATGTCAGGCAAGCCTAAACCACCCTGGGTTTTTGCAGTATCCTAGTGGCGACCCGGATTTTGCGGTTGCCCCAGATGTTTTAAAACTACCATGATGCTTTGCCATTCTAAAGGCATTTCAAAGGCATGCAAAGAATCATGGGAGTTGTCGTTCAACAACATCTTGTAATCTACCATTTGGGCACCCCTGGATTAGAGGTTCTTAAATAAGAATTAAGGTGCATAAAATCTCTGAACTTTTGTTAGCAGTAATATTTAATATCGCTATGAGCAATGATCATTAGCTCCCTTCATGGTGCACAGGCTGATTTTGGTAACAAGGACTATTCATATTTCTGCACTATATACATTCAAAGAGGGAGAGAAGACATGCATAAAAGGAGAGACACAAAGATGTATGGATAAACAGATAGATAGCAAAACATATTTCAGACATTTATGGGGTTAAATACATTTGCATTTATTTTTTTATTTACTTTGGCTTTTTTTTTTTTACCAGTACTTTCTAACAAGAACACCATGACTTTAACCAGTCATTATTGGTAATGAGAAAAAAAATCACGAATGCAAAGAATGTTCTATTGGTCTAGTGCCTGTTCTCTTAACAATCCTCTGTACAATTATATGACAAGATGTCATGATAAATACTATCTAATAGGGGAAGGAAATAGAATCTCACTTGTTGTAAATAACATTCGGGTACAGAGAAAATTACACTTCTTCGTTCCAGGTGACAAGTTAAACAATGCAACATTTAGAACATACATAATATCGCTCTTCATTATAAAAACGCAAGTACAAGTAGAAGTAGAAACAATTAGTATAAAAACAAGTCACGCTGCTTTTTATATATTTAACTTTGGAAATTCACATCACATTGCAGTTTATTTAACCCCTTAAGGACACATGACATGGGTGACATGTCATGATTCCCTTTTATTCCAGAAGTTTGGTCCTTAAGGGGTTAAACACATTTCACTGGTCAGAACAGGCTGGGCAGGGGCACATTTGCCATGGCTGGGCCATCTCATTACTATATAAGTGTACGAGCAAGAATAATTTGAAGAGTTCAACGCCCACTACCACCACCGCTATTTACACAAAAAATAGCTGCATGCCCACACAAACATACATAACTAGCCATATACACCAACATAATTTTCTAAATGTTTACACAACAGACACACACATAGCATACACACACAGACACACTTTGACACCATAAATAGATACATATGCTCCTACGAATCTATTAGTGTATGTATCTTTTGATGCATGTCAATGTGTCTCTGTGTATACATGTTTGCAAAATGTTATACTATGCCCCCTGAACTCCTGCTTACCTGCTGTCTGAGTGAGGGAGAGGAGAAGCTCCAGGCTGATGTGCCTGATATCTTTTGCTGGAGGAACAAGATGGCTGTGAACCAGCTCAGCCTTTCCTGTGGTTCCCCTTCTGTTATGATGATGTCACATCTGGATATCTGCTTTCACTGATTTATCTGAGCCATGCCGGTAACCAGGGGAGTGGAACCATTTTGGTGTGGCTCCACATGTATATCCCAAGGATGCTGCTTGGGAAACAGAATTTCTCTGTGAGGAATCCAACATGATGTGAGACCTAGAGCCAGAGCTCCACGTGCCCAGTCCAAAGGGTAGCCTTGGTCTAAAGCAATTTATTTGTATCAGCTGGTTTGATGATATTTTAGAAAAGATGAATGGCTTTTTTTCTATGGATGATATCAGAAGAGACAGTGAGACTGCTGAAAGGAGTATAGCTCTACATTACAGATGAGTTTCCAAATGAGTTTATTGGCTTTTATATTTTTGGTTTTTTTTTTATATTAAACCACTTGGGCCTGAATTTAAAATAGTAAAAGAGCGTGTCAAACTATGTTGTTAATATTACTAAGTACTTGGGTATAAATAATAATTTATATTTTTTTTCTTATTAGTAGTTTGCTGTATATCTAACCAGTCAGGTAATCAGGAGGATTGATCAGTCAGGTAATCAGTCATTGAAGGCCCAACACTGGAAGGGAGAATGGTGGCTTACCCAGTGTACCAGCAGTTATGGGCGCCTCCACACAACCTGCCCTGCGGTAACACAAAGATGGCCACCACTGCAGGGAATGGGAGAGTTCTGTTAATTCACCCAGCCTTTCCTAGTGATGATTGTAGAAATTATTGCTAATTCTCACAGACTGCAGTGATCTTGCGTGATAGTCCATAGATATCAGTGTTGTTCTCTTGCGCATACACCAACGCTTGCTCCTGGTAGTGGAAGCACCAGGAGCTGTATAAAAAAGATGCTTGTATTAGGGCAGGGTACTCTGGTTTTGGTGGAGGGGGGAGTTGATCTCGTATTACCTGGAAGCCCGGTAAGTAATCATTCCGCTCCTTGGACTCTCCTAGGTAGTGCCCAATGTGCCTGATAAAGAGCAGTAGCACTTACCATAACTAAGCTCATTCACATCATCTCTTCCCCATTCAGAGGAATCTATCTGGTTTTAATATTTTTTGTTCAAATCATAACCCCATTTATTTTCTCGAGTCCTTCCTCCACTAAATCCCATCACCCTTATACTGACTCTACAGATGTCAATAGAACCAGATACCAATCATTATAAAAACTCTCACAATTATCTTCAGAAGTACAGATTGTTCTATTGTGGCGATAGGATATCTCATTAGGTAAGTTAATCATTTCGCTAAATATTATTTATTCCTTAAACCTGCCTACCCTGCCTTATAACATAATCTCCTAACATAATAACTCACCAGTACTATCCACTCTTTCACCATTCCACCATACAACTTTCCAAAATGCTTCTTCCTCGTCTTCTATTAATTTAGCCAGATTCTTGTGTCTTTACACCTCACCTCCTCTAGAGTATATGTTTGTTTGGGCAGATACCTCCTTAACCTCTTGCCATATTAATATTAAGAATAATCTATGCTCCAGGCAGCAATATACTCTCTTCCCTGCTCCCTCTTAGAGTGCTTCCTGGCATTAGAACACAGGATATATTATACCTCTAACTATAATACATGATTTATAGGAGCAGAGAACAATGGGTTTTTACACTTTGAGCAAAAATAACTCATATATTACAGTCATCCACCACTAGGGAAAAGGCAAGTGACCCCATTGTATGTCAATAAAGTCTAAAGAAAAAGTGCATCTTATAAAATATCATATATTATATAGGAAATACGCATACATCAGGTAAATGGCATTTTTAAGTGCATATTGATAAAATAAGCTACAAGTTACTGTGGACCTGTATGTAAATGTGTTTGCACAGACATAGAGGGAGGAGAGACAGACGGACAGATACAAACATGCACACACTTTGTTGGTACGTGTAGAGTTTGTAAATGCAATGCTAGCACTGTGTTTTTGACTAGTTTGACTTCAAAGGGATCTGGCACAATGACAGCTGTTCTTTGGTGTATAAAACAAATGTTAGAGATGAGCAAGTTGAGATCACAAATGTTGCCATGGCATCAGAACCTCTATCAAACCTATTCTACGTATATAGTAGATATGTTGCCAGATGATGGGAAACTTGGGCAGAGTGTCTTTGGAAATCTTGCCAACCACACAGCTGCCAAATAGATTAGCAATCTATTACATGGCAATGTGATCTGGCAGCAAATGAGTCAAACATTAGAAATACTGAAGAAGAAAAAAAAAACATGTTTCTATTATTATTATTATTATTATATGTGGAAAATACATCAGCTTAATAAAACATCTTTCAATTTTTCATATTCTTATATATAACTAAAGAAACTACATTATTCATTCAAATTCGCCTGTGACAGTCATGTCATTGGCATGGGGACCAGTATGCTTAGATCATATCATATCATATTGTGTTAAACTGTTAGGGATTACAAAATGTAAGTCACAATAGTAGTTGGAGAACTGGCTCTCACATGTCTAACTATCCAATGAATGACCCTCCATTTATTTTTTAGATGTCATTGCAAGATTTCTTTTTCACCGGTAAAGATCTTTTGTTTTGGTTCCAGGAGGTATCACCAGTGAAAATGAAGTAGACATGACTTTCCTGAGAACAAATATTAGTTTCTATCAATTACACTACCACCTGTAATTTGTGCTGTTGTTTACAGTCCTGGAGAGGATATGTGCCCCAGAGTATTATATTGAACCAACACGCTAACAAAAAACTAGAAATCCTACGATAAAACAGGAGAGAATCAAATTCCACCTTAAGAAGCCTTCTGGGCGATATCACATTTCAATATAACATACCCATCTTATAGTCTCTGATATCTTCTTTTGGAAAGAATGGCAGTTATCAGCCGTGTATGTGTTTCACATGGTTCCAAAAGCTTTGAGAAGTCTGTACATTTTCAGCAGAATACATATTTTACAGACAAACGTAACTATGGGCAGTATTGTGGACAAACGTAGCAAGCAAGTTTGTTCATTTTATATCTAGAAATGTGAGGGTTTTTCTTCTCTCAGGATGTATAGTCATTTGATTTGGAGGATCCAAATGAGCTGGGTTGATGAATAGTCCACCTAAGTAAAGAAATTTTTTTTTTACAATTATTAAGGATTCTTGTCTTCCTCAACGATTCAAAATAATTATATTGGGTTTCATAATGATATATCCACTGTATGAACACTTTGCTGTAACAGTAATTGAGAAAACTGATTATTCTTCAGAGAGAAAAAAAAGTCAGAGACGAAAGGAAATATAATACAAATTAAAGGAATAATGGGGTGTCCATCATAATAGCAAGGCACTCTCTATTTTAAGCTGGATTTGAATAGCTAAAACGTTAAATCGAGGAGAAAATTGTGGGTAATATTTGATGCCCATATCATTTTATTCAAAATTTGACTCATACTTTTAACACAATGAGCCCAATCAGTGATTTTGACAGGGGCCAAATAGTGACAGGTGAACGACTGGGTCAGACCATCTCCAAAATGGCTAGTCTAGTGGGATGTTCCCAGTATGCAGTGGTTAGTACCTACCAAAAGTGCTGCAATCGAAGGATAAACACTGAATTGGTATCAGTGTCATGGGCTCCCAAAGATGTACATGGGGAGCGAAGGCTAGCCCATATGCTCCGGTCACACAGAAGATCTATTGTAGCTCAAATTGCTAATATACTTAATGCTGACCATAATAAAAAGGTGTCAGAACACACAGTGCATCTCAGTTTTCTGTGTATGGGGCTGTGTAGCTGCAGACCAGTCAGAGTGTCCCCCATGATGACCATAGTCCAACCCCCAAAGTGCCTTTAATGTGTAGGTGTTAAAATAAAATGATGCAATGGACACTATGGTTGCCTGGTCTGATAAATCACTCTTTTATTTAGATCAGCTGCATCGCCGGGTGCAGGTGCATTGTTTACCTGGGGAAGAGATAGCAGCAGGATGCACTATGCGAAGAAAGCAGGCAGGTGGTGGTATTGTTATGCTCTGGGCAACGTTCTGCTGGGAAACCTTAACTCCTGGCATTCATGTGGATGTTACTATGACAAGTACCACCGACCGAGGGACGTATACCCGTCATGGCAATGGTGTACCCTGCTGACACTGGCCTTTTTTTTACAGGATACCACACCATGCCACACTACAAAAAATGTTCAGAAATGGTTTGAGGAACATGACAAAAAATTCAAGTTGTTGTCTTGGCCTCCAAATTGTCAGTATATTTATATCGGCAGACATTTTGTGTTAAGACAGAAATTAAAAGTGTATACTGCCAGTCACTCTCAGAACAGAGGTGACTCCATTTTGTATTACAAGGCTAAGACAGATACAATATTTCTCTCTATCACTCTGTTCATACAAGTCTGAACTAAGGAATGCAACTCATGTAAACAAAACCTGAGATGAGGCATGATGTCTAACAGCAAAAGGGGGATGGAATACTAACCGAGAGACAAATGTATACATAATTATATATACATATACACACTATCCACTTTTAAATTACTATTATTATATTAATCATATATAATTAGTATCATGTTAATAATATAGACTATTCATGGATAAATATCAATGAAGAAATATCATATTATTTACTATTAGTGGAGTATAAATAATCTTAAACACAGTTTCACACAAGAACACCAGACATCAATGACAGATAACACTAAGTAATTAATTTTACTTTCTTAAAAAAAACAAAAAAAACTACCAGAATCTTACAAAGCTCCATTGTAAGAAAAGGGTGAAATTAAGGTTAGGAGGTGTCAATTCTAAAATTACGATCGAAATTGACAACACTCTGTCTGGTATAAGAATGAAAAAACATTTGAAATTGGCAGGAATTTAGATTTATAGTATCCATAAAGATAACCGAAAAATTACGTAAAAAGCATCACCAATTTCAGTTAACTCATTATACAAAAAGGTAAATGGATCCCCTGACAAGAAATTTTGGTGATGTAATTGCGCCACCTACTGACCAAAATCTAGATGATAGTCTGTAGGGAAGACACACCTACAGTTCCATATTGGTCCTATCAATTATTGACGTGCAGAAAGTTTTTCCCTTTAAAAAGTAAGGACAAAGGGAAGAGAGGGAGAAAAAAAATGCAGTTCTTCACTGAGTTTGAGTGTGAAGTGAGGCCTGAAGAATAGAGAAGAAGATTAAACAGTTATATGAAGGTATTAACAGCTGGGAGGAGAATATGAAAGAAAGGGGAGGAGGGCAGGGGGAGGGGGGGAGGGGAGGAGGGCAGAGTAGCCATGTGTTATATGCTATTGAAAAGTTTAGCAACCAAATTCTATCACCCAAAAAATTAATAACTGTCTACATGAAATATTGGACAGAGACATTAAATAACAATAGTACAAACTGCATGCACAGAAAATTACAGTGGCAAACTACAGGTATAAATGGTAACAAATCTATTTCCAATTAACACAACTCCAGAGCTGAGAACTTTTATCTATCTCTATACAATCCTCATCATACTTTTAGTCAAAATTCCTGGTACATATCTACACATCTGAGAGAAAATCTACAACATAACTGGTAATTATGCTGGTTTTATTTATTTAAATTAAATTAATTACTTTTTACTATTAGCAGGAATATATATCTGGATAAATCTTGGTCAGATTTCAATTATTAGAAATCATAATTAGCTAAGGAATATATGGTTATAGAAATTCCATTCCTGCAGGTGGAATTAAGATAACGATATATTAAAGGTAAATTTGTCAAAATGTTAGCATGCCACATTTTTACCCAGAAGTATTGAATTGTTCTGATATAAGATAGTGAATCTTATTTAGGAAAGTTAAAATTCGGCAAACGTAAAATCTGGTAGAATTATTTTTATTGTATGGTCCTAGGAATGGTCAAATGATCTGGTATGAACATTACTTTAATTGTAAAATTGCCTATGAGGATTGTAGCGAGCAGTGGAAGAGTTAATTAGTGTGATTAACTGTCAGCCTAAAGTTGTTGTTTTTTTTTTTATTGCTTTTCGCTGCACTGTTGTATTTTGTGAAGTTCTGTCTTCTGTGTGAAGTTGGTTTCTAAACAGTGTCCTATCATAAATCTTGTAAGATTGTTGACAAACTGCATACAACCGTTGCTCTTAGCTATCTATGTTAAAAATATTGTCATATTGTATAATTACGTTATACTAATTATGTCACGCATGTTACATATTATTATTTTTATTATTATTGTCACAATAAATTATATTTTTATAATTAATTTGTGATTACTGTGTGAAGTAAAAATCCTCTTGTGAACTTCCTCTAGGATAAAGAGAATTAAAAATCGTGAGTAATTCTCTGCTTTATATTATTATTATTCGGGGAACAGTGCCAAGATATCAATTTTGATATAATAAAAATTATTAAATTAATTTTTGATAAATTTTATGAAAATATTATTTTAATATTTATCACCCCATAAATATCCTCACAAAATTTCCCAGATCTCTATTTGATTAAGCATCTGTGGGAAGTCCCGGAACAACAAATCCAATCCATAATGGCCTTACCTTGAAACTTGCAGGACCTTAAATTTATGCTGCTAATTTCTTGGTGCTAGATACCACAGAATATGTTTAGAGGTCTTGTTGAGTCCATGCCTCAACACATCAGAGCTGTTTTGGAAGCACGAGAGGGACTTAGATGATATTAAGCAGGTGGTTTTCATGTTTTGGCTGATCAGTGTATTATCTTTTGCCAATAACTTTTTTCATGGAATTTTTTATTTATTTTTTCAGTTACATTATTGTAGCCATGGGACTGGCAGCTGCACTCATATAAAGCAGTGGAGACATCACTGCCCTACTATCATCTCAGGATAGTGGGGGGAAAACCTGTTGATATTATACAAAGTTGTTTTATGGTAGTCGCAAAAAGTTACACACTGAAAACGAGGTAGCAGAGACAGAGAATGGGTGAATGAGTGTAGCTATTGTGCAGTGCTGAAGTTTATTCAATTCAACAAAAATAATTAGAGCTGACATAATAACTGAGCAAAGCAATACACTACAAAGAATTGGACTTCAACATAGAATAGAACGGTGCCAGAATGGAGGCATGACTTGTGCCACTTGTGGGTGTCCCGTATT